TATTAAATAAAATATATTTAATAATAATTTAATTAAATAAAATTAAAAATAAAATAATAAAATAATTTTAATTAAATTATATTTTAAAATTTATTTTTAAATTTAATTATATAATTTTAAATTATTTTTTAAATATAAAATTAAAAAATTTATAATTATAATTTTATAATTAATTTTATTTAATTATATTATATTATTATAATTTTATTTAATTTTATTTAAACTTTTAACTTTTAATTTTTAAAAAGTTAAATTTAAAAAAATTTAAAATTTAAATTTAAAATTTTATAAATTTTAATTTTTTAATTAAATTTATAATTTTTAATTTTAAAATATATTAATTATTTTAAATATTAATAACTTTTAAAAATAAAAATTTATTTTATATATTATAATTTAATTATTAATAATTATTTTTTATAAAATTATTAAATTTATAAATTTAAATATTATATATAATAATAAAATATAATTATTTTATTTAAAAATTATTTAATTTAATTAAATAATTATTTTTAATAATTTTATTTAATAAATATTTATTTATAATATAATAAAATTAATAATTTTTAAATTTATTAAATAAATATTTATTTAAATAAAATTAAAACTTTTAAAATAATAATTTTATTTTATTATTTTAATTAACTTATTTAAATTATATAATAATTTTATATATAATATTTAATAATATTAAAATTAATTTATAATTTATAATAATTTTAATTTTAATAAATTAATTTATATTAAAATTAATAATAATTTAAATAAATTAAATATAATTTAATATATTAATATAAAAATATTTTTAATAATAAATAATATTATAAATATAAATTATAAAATTATTATAAAAGTTTTATATAATAAATTTAATTAAATTAATTTTTAAAATATATTATATTTTATTTTTAAAATTTTAACTATTTATTTTAATTTAATAATAAAATTAAAAATATAAATAGTTTATAATTTTAAATTATTAATTTATTATTTTAAATTAAATTTTAATTAAAATTATTAATTAATAATAAATATTTATTTAATAAAAATAATTATATTTATAAATAAATTTTAATTTAAATTATTTTATTAAATAAATAATAATAAAATTATTATTTATAATTAATATAAAATAAAAATAATTAATAAATAATTTAAATTATATAATTTTAATTAATAAATTATAAAAAATTTATTATTAATTTTTAAATTTAATTTATATAATTTAATTAATTTATTAATTTATATATATATATATATATATATATATATAATAATTTATATTAATAATTAAATTATTATTAAATTATTATTAATTATAATTAATTATATTTATATAAAAATATTAAAATATTTTATTAATTATTTTTATAATTTAATTAAATAAAATTAAAATAAAATATTAATAAATATTATTATTAATTATTATTTTATTATTTTATATTTTTATTATTTTATTATTTTATTATTTTTTATTTTTATTATTTTTTATTTTATTATTTTATTATTTTTATTATTTTATTATTTTTATTATTTTTATTATTTTTATTAAAATATTATTAAAATAAAATATTTTATATTTAAATTATTTATTAAATTAATAAAATATTTTAAATTTTATTTTAAATTATTATATTTTATTTAATTATTTTATATATAATTAAAATATTTTAAAATTTAAATAATTTTATAAAATATTAATAATATATTTATAATAATTATAAATAATTTTATTATAATATTAAAAATTTTATTAATTTAATAAATAATTTATATATAAAATTAAAAATATATAAAATAAATATTAAATTAAATAATAAATAAATAAATAAAATTAAATTAAAATATTAATAAAATAATTTAAATTATTAATAATAAAAATATTATTTAATTAAAATAAATTATTATAAATATTTAATTTTAATAATATTTATAAATAATTTTATAAATATATTATAAAATTTATATAATAAAATAATTTTATTTAATAATTAAATTTTATTATTTAAATAATTTAAATAATTATTTTTTTAAAAATTATAATAATAATATTACTTAATTTAATTAATTTAATTTATATAAATATATAATATTTTAATTTTAAAATTTATATATAAATTATTTAATAAATAAAAATATTTAATTATATTAATTAAATTTTTTATAATAATTATTATAATATATAAATTAAAATATTATTTATATATTTATTTATTTATTTATATAAAATATAAATATATTTTATTATATTTATTATATTATTAATATATTTTTATATAATATTTTTAATATAATATTTTATTTATTTATTTATTATAAAATAAAATTTTAAATATATATAAAATAAATATTAAAATAAATAATAAAAATAAAAAATAAATTAAAAATTAAATTTTATTATATAATTTAATAATTAATTTATTTTTTTATTATATTATATTTATAATATTTTTATAATATTTATTTTATTAAAATTTATATATATAATTTTAATTAAATATATTAATAAATTATTTTTATAATATTAAAAATATTAATTTTATTTTTAAATATTAATAATTTATAAATAAATTTTAATATAAATAAATTAATTAATAAATAAATTATATAAATATTTTAAAATAATTATTTAATAAATAATATTATTTATTAAATAATATTTTAAAAATACTTTTAATATTTTATAATATCTTTATAATACCTTATACTTTTATATTTTTAATAATAAAATTAAAATAAAATAAAACTTAAAATATTTATTATATTTATTATATAATTTATTTAAATTTTAAAAATTATATTTATTTATTTATATAAGCTATAATTTTACCTTTAAAATACCTTAAAAGTACTAAAGTACCTTTAAAATACTTTTATTTTTTATAAATATTTTTATTTTTTAACCTTTTATTTTTTCTTTAAGCTTATTATTCTTTTAAAGGAATTATTATTAATATTTATAAAATTTTTATAATTTATTTATTAATAGTTAAATTAAAGTATAAATTATAATAATTTTTAAATACTATTTTTATTAATTTAGTTTTTATAACTATTTAAAAGTATTAATAATAACTTAAATATTATTAAATATATAATAAAGCTTATAAATAAGGGTTTTATTATAACTTTTATTTAATAATAAATATTAATTACTATACTTTTAACTATTTTTAAAAACTAATATATATTATTTAAATAAATTTTATATTTAACTAATACTTTTTAAAATAATTAATTTTTAAACTTTTTTAAATTATAATAATATTAATAATATTATAAAAGTACTATTTAAAGTATATTATTATATATTAATTTTCTTTATTATATTTTAAGTATTTTTATTTTAATAAAATAGGCCTTTATTTTAAAAAATAATATTATATTAAAAATAAATATTTTTTAATTATTTTTTTAATTATTTTATTATTTTTTAATTATTTTTAAAATATAATTTTATTATTAAAAGTTAAAATATTATTAATTATATTTTTAATTAGCCCTTAATTTATTATTAATTTATTATAAATTAATATATTTATTAAAAGTAATAAATATTTTAATATTATTTTTAATAAAGTTTTATAAGGCTTTTAAAAAAGTTAAAATATTAAAAATAAAATAAAGTTTTTTAAAATAAAATAATTTTTATTATAGCTATTTAATAAACTTTAATATATTTTTATAAATATTATTATAATATTTTTAATTAGCCTTTATTTAACTTTTATAAACTTTATTAAAAACTTATTTATAAATAAAACTTTTTTTAATAAAAAAGAGCTATTTTATTATTATTATTATTATATATTTTATAAACTATTTTAAAATATTAAATATAAAATTAAATAATTTTTAAATTTAATTTATTATATATTAGTTAAAATATTTTTAAATTTTTTAATAAATACTTTTATAATATTTTTATATTCTTTAATATAATAAAAAGTATTTTTAATTAAATAAACTTTTAATTTTATTTTATTAATTATTAAAATAAAAATATTAAAATTATAAAACTTTTAATAAAGGCCTTATATTAAATAATATAAAGTTATAATATATTAATTAATTTATTTTTATTTTATTTTAAATAATTAAAAATAAAAGTAAATATTTATATTAAAAATAATATTAAATATATTTATAATTATTATTAATTTATTTTAAATTATATTTAAAAAAGAAAAAAAAAATTATAAAAATATATATTTATAAATTTAAAATTTTATATAATAAAGGGTTAAAGTTTAAATATTACTACCTTTAGTATAATAGCGCTAATTAGCTAATATATAATTAATATAGTAAGTAAATATAAAGTAAATAATATTTTAAAAGTATTTTAAAGGTATTTTAAATATTTTTAAAATATAGTTAAAATATAATTAAAATATAATAAAAGTAAGTTATAATTATAATTAAAATATATTTAAAATAAAATATAAATATTATTATAATATTAATTATATACTTTTTATTTATATATTTATATTTAATAACCTAATAGTTTATTAAGGGTATTTTAATAGTATATTATATATAAAATATTAAATTAATATAATATATATTTTTACTTATATTAAAAAAATACTAGACTTTTGCTATTTAGCCTAATTAGGTTAAGGTTTTTAAGCGAGCTTTAGCGTATTTTAAGCGAGCTACTAGCCCGTTAAAGTTTAAAGTTGTCAAAGTTGGTGGGTTGAGCAGCAACGACGCGCCTCCACTCTTTCTTGTGTCTCTCAGACCGCGTTTAATGGAGGGCGATCGCGCCTGAGGGGGGACAGGGGCTTAAGGTCCCTGGTCCATATCATGACAAGGTACGGGGGTACTTGCAGCAAGAGTGACGCGATGGGTCATTGATTGGCAGTGTCCTGAGTTACTAGCGCGACAATGAAGCTTCGCAATCGTCCCCGGCAGGCAGCCTTCCCCATTGGGGCCCACTCCGAGGAGTCTGCCCAGGTCAAGGTGGTCGCAAAAACACCCAGGCTTGGAGTCAACCACCGACATATTCTGCATGACCTACCGACCTCAAGCCCAGCAACAAATCGACGAGGGCTTTATCTTCAAGCCAGCATCTAACATCTCATCGCTTACTGCCTTCTTTTTTCCTCAAGATCTGCCCATCTCTCCCTTGCCTAGCTTTCCTGTTGCTCGGTGGCTCCCTGTGGCCTTGGCTGTTGGAGGCTTGTCCTTGCGTCAAGGGCCAGCAGCTGTCCTCTGTCGCCTCTGCACAGCCGCCCCGACCCCAAACGGCCGTCCTTTGTCAAAGAACGACTGACACCCCTCCGACTCACTTCGATGTGCTTCACATAGACACTGCGACCACCTGTCTCGCTGCTGCGGCCAACCCTCGCTCGCGCGACCGCGACACCCGAGTCGCTTTTGAAAAGTGCCGATCCCCTCGTACTGATTCATCGATTCGTCCGCTGTTCGAGTTCGACCTACCCGTCGGTGAATCACCCACAACCAGCACAGACGTCGCAGCCATGGCGAGCGAAGCTGTCGAGGAAAACACATGGGCGCAGAGTGATGGCAACAATGAAATCGAGGGGGGCAATGAGAATATACAACTTAGTGACAACACGCAAGACCAAGACTTGAATCGTTCCGCTCCCGCTTCTGCTCATGCTCCCGCTCCCGCAGCCCCTCAAACATCTGGTGACTCCGCACCCAATACTGATGGCGCTTCCGAAGATGTGGGTGAATACGACCCAGAGTCTGTCTCCGTGACTCCGCTGCCGCATGTCGGCCAGCAGGTGTCCCAGGCGCCTGCTGCTCAGTCTACTCCTCAGTCTACTCCTCAGCCCGCCAACAAGAAGCGCAAGACGGCAGGGGGTTTCCTAGTGGGAGACTCCGAGTCGGAGGATGATGATTCCCCGGCCCCTGCTCCTGCTTCCAATGGCGCCGTGGCCGATCCAGCCCCAGCTCCTCACTCTGTTCCCCACCCTTCCCCTAATGCTTCCACTCCCGCCCAGGAAGCCCAGGGAGCTGTGTCTAATGTCCCCCCAACTTCTCAGGCGAATACTGCCCCAGTTGCGTCGGTCGAAGAACCTGACAAACGCGCTGTTGCCCCGGCGGAGCCCGTCAACAACGGTGTCAAGCCTCCCCAGGATGTCGTCACCACGCTCGAGGCCCGCATCAAGGAGGACCCTCGCGGGGCCATGGATGCCTGGCTTGACCTGATGGCCGAATTGAGGGCGCGAAACAATATCGAGAATATCCGGTCTGTCTACGAGCGGTTCCTGGCTGTCTTCCCCCAGTCGGTAAGTCTGCGCGTCCCCAGAGTGGCTGAGCGAGTGCTGATAAAGACCTAGGCGGATGTCTGGACTGCGTACATGGAGTTGGAGCTGAGCATGAATAATTTCGGTGGGGCAGAGGAGCTTTTCAAGAGGACTCTGCCGACCATCCGGAACGTGAGGCTGTGGACAGTGTATCTTGACTACATCCGACGACGCAACGACCTGAGCGACACGACGGGTCGGGCCAGGGAGACCATTGCGCAGTGCTTCGAGTTTGTCCTCAGCAGCGTCGGTGTGGACAAAGATTCGGGTCCAATCTGGGCCGAGTACATCCAGTTCATCAAGTCTGCACCAGGCCAGGTCGGAGAGACAGATTGGGCTAGCCGACAAAAGATGGACCAACTTCGAAAGACATACCAGCGAGCGATTGCCATCCCCACCCGCAACCTCAACACGCTGTGGCGTGAGTATGACCAGTTCGAGTTGGGAATCGACAAGAAGGTCGGCCGTGCGTTGCTCGCCCAACACTCCCCAAATTACATGTCTGCCAAGAGCACCAACATGGCCTTGGACAACATCAATCGAGGCCTACAGCGCACCAACCTCCCGCGTCTCCCGCCTGCACCTGGCTTCGATGGCGATGACGAGTACACCGAGCAGATTGAGCTGTGGAAGAAGTGGATCAGCTATGAGCAGTCTGACCCCCTCGACTTGAAGGCAGAAGACCCAGCGACTTGGAAGAAGAGAGTACACTATGTCTACCAGCAGGCCCTGATGGCCCTTCGCTTCTGGCCAGACATGTGGGTCGATGCTGCTGAGTGGTGTTTTGAGAACGAAATGGTCGGCCCTGATGGCAGAGACATGGGCCTTGAGTTCTTGCTGCAGGGTATTGAGGCTAACCCGGAGAGTGTTTTGCTAGCTCTCAAGCATGCCGATCGCGTCGAGGCTACTCATCCCATTGTCGAGGGTGATGAGGCAAAGGCTAACCGTGGCAATGCCGTCAAGGCTCCTTACAATAAAGTTCTGGACACCTTGTACGACCTGGTCAAGAAGGCCAAGGACCAGGAGAAGGCCGTCATCGACAAGATCAACGAGAATCATGCAATGGACTCTGCCCCCCACGGAGCTGCTGGTGACTACGAGGATGCCGCCACGTCCGAGGAGAAGGACTTCAAGCTTGCAGCCAAACAGGCACAGATAAAGGCCATAGAGCAAGGATTCTCGGCTCGGACAAATGTGTTGTCTCGGACGATTTCCTTTGTCTGGATTGCTCTCGCGAGGGCGATGCGCCGTGTTCAAGGCAAAGGAGTTGTGAACAGTGCCATAGGTGGCATGCGCCAGGTTTTCACAGACGCCCGTCAGAGGGGCCGCCTGACTAGCGATGTGTACGTGGCCATCGCTCTCATGGAGTGGAAGGTCTACAAGGACAATGCTGGTGTCAAGATCTTTGAGAGGGGGGCGAGGCTCTTTCCTGAGGACGAGTACTTCATGGTGGAATACCTCCAATTCCTTCATTCCAGGGATGATTTCACAAGTGAGTTCGTGCCTGGCAGCACTGCACTCAGAGGGAAGCTAACAGACAACGCAGATGCCAGGGTCGTCTTTGAGAATTGTGTCAAGAGGATGGCAGAGAAGCCCGGCTCTGTTGAGAAGGCCAAGGCGTTGTTTGCCTACTTCCACAAGTACGAGTCGCAATACGGAGACAGATCCCAATTCGTCAAGTTAGAGCAGCGCATGGCCGAGCTCTTCCCTGAAGACCCCAAGCTGGCTCATTTCAAGGCACGTTTCGCAACGGCAAACTTCGACCCAATCGCAGCTCGCATCATCGTGTCACCATCCGCTCAGCTGCGACCCAAGAATATCATGCCCTCGATTGAGCAACGAGCGTCAGTGCTGAACAGCCCCCGCCCTTCTGTCCGACAGCCAGTCAGTCCCCGGCCACAATTCGTCAACTCGCCAAAGCGGCCCCTGCCAGTCGAAGATTTGGACGACTCGTTGAACCCTCCCCGCAAAATGCAGCGAGGCGAGTCGCCGCTCAAGGGCGCAGCTGGTCGGCGTCTCAATCAGCAGAATCGCATGCAGGCCGCCCCTATCTCTCGAGACATCACTTTCCTCCTGAGCCAGATCCCGCCGGCTTCGGCCTACGATTTCCCTCGTTTTGACTCGGGCAACATGGTTCGATTCCTCCGGGAGATCCCCGTTCCAGACTTTGCCTCTTGGAAAAACAGCCAAGACCGGGGCACCCGCGACGCTGGAGCCCGCATCCCACCGTCGCATGGCCGCCAGGTTTCCGCCGACGTCACGCATTACCCGTTCCACGGCCGCAACTCTCCGCGGCCTCAGAGCCCCTTTGGCGCCAGCCGTGGACAGATCGCCTCTGCTGCTGCCACCTATAGACAGTCGTCTCTCCGCCCCGGATCTAGTGGCTCAGGATATGAGCCACCGCCTCCGGCTGCAGTATACACGCAGACTGCGCCACCTGGAGCGCCAGCCATGGGGTACGGTCCTCCGGCAAACATGTCCGTTCCAGATAGTAGCTGGCCACCACCGATTTATGGCGCTCCTCCGGGCCAGGCCCAATACACTGTTCCTGCCCCGCCTTTTGGGCAGGCTCCTCCGCAGCACGATCAGTACAATGGCCGCTATTACTAGTTTGATCAACAGGTGATGCGGGAGGTTCCGTGGCTTCGGGCGAAGAACGCTGCTCCATGTGTTGCATCGCGCGGGTGCCAACACGTTCTTGGCCTCCCCGCCTATGATCAGAAGTCGACGGTGATCGGCACTGGTCAGCATTGGGAACGCGCAGGATTCGGTTTGATCAATCGACAGGGATGCAAGCAGCGCGCAGTTACTCGGTTGGTCTCGAAAAATGCGAACTCTGGTCACATTTGATTCCAAGAGTTAAGTCTGCCTGGGTTGCTGCAATCGATGGAACAAGATGCTTCTCGAGCCAGTGCGCCGTGTATTAATAAGAGGGAAAGGAGTTCAACTGCGTGTCATGGTCCCTGCGCTGTTTTCTTGGGCGGAGTTCAAGGATATGAAGGAGTCTCGAGGTGACAAAATCGCATGGGGTGGGCAGATCCGACGGTCTTTAGTTGATGAAGAGAAGCCAGGTCAACACATGAGCTTCTGATGTGATGATGGCCTTTAGGACGGAATGTGCTAGATTCTCGAGTACCGATGGCCACTCATCGGTTCCTTGCGCGCCATCTGGGCCTTCAATACAAAAGAGGCACATCATTCCAAGTTAGTGAGATAGATCATGGAAGAGCATATTATGAAGACCACAGTTTCATCTGCTTTTTAGCATGTTTGTTAATCACGAGCAGTGCATGCTCGACCGTGTGTGGACACCGAAGCTTGTGGGTAGAGAGCAAGAACGGCATATGTTGGAGACCATCGCATGGTGAGATGCGGAGCCTTCGTTCAGTCAACCGTCAAAGCTTTAAGCGAGTTGATTAAGCCACAATCTCCGGTTAAGGATTCAAATGAGTTGCGGCCTCGCTACTTAGGAGCAATGCTATAATTGTGTGAGCACAACGGATTCGTGTCACCACTTGTGTTCAGGATGGAGGTCTTCGGTGGTCCTAGAAGACGGGTCTCCCGAGCAGCTTCGATGTCCGCGACTTCAAAGTACATTAAGCAGGGCGTGGCTCTCCATGCACACGAAGAGTCTCATGCAATGCGAAGTTCAATTCCGTCTTGCCATTGAGCTTTCAGCCCCCCTGGGGCCCCCTCACGCTCATGCACCCAGGTTAAAGCCAACCACTTGTATAGTGTGTTAGCATTTGAGACTGGCCGCCCGTGACAGACCTCTCACCTCGGGCGTCTGTCGGGACCTGGAAGCTCTTGAGTCTTCATCCGAAGCAGCTCTGGACGACGCAAGCGCTCGAATTTGCGAGATGATGTGCCACGGAATGAAATAGTTGTGCCACCTGTTCCTCCTGGAGGTGGAGGCCTTGCCATACTTCTAGGCCTCATGCATAACATAAATGTTATTCTTTTCGTCTCCGATACGATGAGCCGCCCTCGAGACTTTTGCTATGAAAGGGATTCTACTACTGCTGTCGTATATCTCGGAGATCGGATATTCGCACCCGCCAAAACGGACGGTACACCCATATCAGGGAACTCGGAGATCAAGGTGCGTAATTTAGCACCAACCCACGAGCAATTATCCCATAGGATGTTTTCCCATAGAAGCTTACCCCATAGGAGACTATCCTATAGGAGGTTGTCCTATGAGAGGTTATCCCTTGGGGCTTGGGTGTGCCCTCCATTTCGGTGGGTGCGAATATCCGATCTCATATGTCGAGTCCTCCTGTCTGTTTGAGGTGGCCAAGGTTTCCAAGACCTTAATGCTTCCCGTGCGGCCCCGTCATGATGCCTAAGACTTGTAAATAACAATTGAGCTCTCCGTTACGTCTGGCTCTTGGAAAGCTGAGTGTGTGACCTTTAAGGTGGATGTCTCTGGGCATCTTTTTTCACTTCCAGATTGAGCACGCTGTTATGTTGAGTTTGTCACAATTCAATCATTTACGTGGCAAAGAGCGTGAAATCCAGTCAACGGTTTCGTCCGAATCATCACATCTTTCGTTGCTCGTTTGCACTTTCGCAGATTTTGCAGTCCAGGAGGAAAATAGTAGAAAGTTATCCCATGTCTTCAAAATTGGTACCAACTCAACGTAATTGGCAACAGGAGAGCATCTAGGAAATGGCAGAGTGCCAACTGTGGTTTCCCACTTCGGATCCCCTTGAACGCCACTGCCGGCCCACACTGCCCTTGTTCTGGCTATTTCAATGATATCTGAGGGCCAGGCTTTAAGTTGAATTTGACTGAGAAATCGATATGGAGTTGGAGGATTGCGTGGTGGTCCTCTTGGTCATGCAGTGACTGCAGTGTTCCCGAAGGTTCTGGGAGACGTGCTGCCCACCTGTCACACTCTGGCAAGACTGCTGAATAGGACAATGCGAACGAATGCTGCACAAGAAAGCCCTCAGCACCATTGTTGACCTGCCAGTTAATGTGTGACTCGGGTCCCTGTTGATTGGATCCCCTTCCAAGTTCAAACCACAAGACTTCTGGTCCAACCACAGTGCCAACCACAGTCGTCAATCCTTCTCATCCCATATCTCTTCTCAGGACAGCCTATTGTGTGCTTGTTTCCCCTTCGAAGCCAGCCATTCCACAATTGCAAACACTCGGAGGATTCTGGAGCTGAACGCGTCCTCCCACACCCTGAAAAACATTACTTAAACCCACCTTTCCTCTTCCCCCAGACCTGCCAACCTTTTCTTCCCTCAACAACAACTTCAAGCAACCTCAACCGCGACTCGATACTGGCCACTCACTACCTGGACAGTTACCAGTCGATCACCACTGCCTTGAAGCAAAAAGCACTGAGGTATGCGACCGTCTTCCCCCATTCCTTGATCTTAGTCTGCTTCGCCCTCTCTCTGCCTCTCTCTCCCAACGTCAACCATCGCTGCTGCCACTTCCACTTGCCCAGTCAGCAGAACTGCCCAACACCACCGAGGAACCTCCTGCCTTACTACGGCTAGCTTTTCTTTTCCCTTCCCCAAGCTGTCTCCAACACCTTCCTACACGCTCTTCTTCGCACCACACCACCACGTCCTCCCATCAACACTCCTGTCTCTCGAGCCTTCCTCCTTCCTAACACACCAAGGCAGCAGCACTTCCAGCGGCACCTTTCATCACGCCCTGTTTCGTGCGTCTTCACGACTGGTAAGCTTTCTCTCTCTCACACACACGCTCAGTCCCAATTGATCTCTGGCTCAGTTTCCACATCAATCTGATCCGTCACCCATTACATTACCCTTCCCAACCCAGCAAGCACACTGCTTCCTTCAAAACTTCACCATCTCCAAGACACACATCTCATCCTCCCTCCTTTTACTGACTCTACGTAACGCAGTGACACTTGTCAGCAAACCAAACCGCACGGTTCATCAGGTCCAAAGACCAGACAGGTTTTCAGCCCAATCAAGGTATGTTTTCCCGCCGCGAGTGTTTGCCACCACGCCGAGCACAAACTTGGTCCCCTACATATCTCTTTTCCTCACTTTGCCCCCCTGGACTCTGATGAGCCAAACCACAAAGCAACAGCAATTGCCTGGTCTGTGTCCTCGGCCACAGTCTAAATTGATCTCGTCACGATACCCATCCACACCGCAGCATACAAGTCAAGTCAGACCATTGACATCTCGCGCCAAGCATTGCTCAGCTTTGCTGGCAACGGGCAACGATCCCTTCTTTCCCAACGTTTCCTGCTTGATTCTCCTCCTTTCAGGCGCGCTTCGTTCCGTCAAATCCCCTGGCCAGGTGCAAAGCTTGCTTCAGCTCTGCTCCACTAGCACCTTCCTAGGAAACCTCAACTGCCTGGTACCTACCATCCCTTGCCCAACTCCCACGCCAGCCCTCCAAAAGCAAACCCACCCTTCCATCCACGCCTTCTCCAAACAATCTCGGGTCTCCCATCTGCACTTACCGGGTCTGTCTTGTACAGACGTCTCTGATACAACGCACTTGGCCTTTCCGCAAACTTTACCCCTCCCCAACACCCACAGTACTTCCAAGGTTAGCCTTGAGTGCTCTCCGACCGCTCCATCTGCACCTCACCAGCTCTGACTTCAAAATCCCTTTCTCGTTCTTTTCCAGCTGTTCAACGCATCTCTCAGCCTCTCCCTACTTCTGCCTTCGAGACTGTCCTCCAAGTCTGACCATCTCTCACACACAGACCCATCCTACTTCAGACATCATGTCTCAGTACACCGGTGGATACCTCCAGGTCCCATCTTTCGATGGTCCGTCCGACACTCGCTCCCAGGGTTCGCACCACTCTGGCAGCGGTTCGCGCTCGCACTCGCGCCGGACCTCCCAGGTCAGCGGATCTCATGTGTCCGCATCTCATCCGGGCTCCCAGGCCCCAGGATCAGCCCCACCTAGCAATGTGGGCGCTCCCTCTGGTTCTGTGGGCAGCCGACCACCTAGCAACGTGGGAAGCCGCTCGCCGCCCCGGGGCTACCCCGAGCCTCTCGGTTTCGACCCTGCCCGTGAGCCCGTGGGAGACATCTTCAAATCCGAGTTGAACAAGAACATCGACCTGCCCCCCGAGGCTTACGTCATGGTAAGAAGCACGCTTCATAACACACTCAATCTGCGCCTTTCACTAATACTGTCATCAGGGCAAGCTCGACCACCCTTTTGCCAAACGCCCCGGTCTGGGCGTTGCGGGAAAGAAAACCCAGATCAACATCAACCAGTTCAGAGTGACGGCAATGCCTTCTTGTGACATTTACCAGTACGATGTAGGTGTCAGCATCCTTCATACTCCTCGTGACTTCTCTGACAGTCTCTCGTAGGTCACCTTCAGCCCGGTGCACAAACTCTCGAAGCCCTCGTTCCTCAAGACACTCTGGAACACGAAGACCGTCCAGAAGAGGCTCAAGGTTGACGACAAGTACGGGCCTTTCGAGTTCAAGTGGATCCACGACGGGCGTGCCCTAGCTTGGTCTCGGAACAACATCCCCGAGATGCGCATCCGAATCGACATGGACGCTGAACGCAACAGGATGACAAGGCCGGGACAAGACAACTGGCATACGCTCTACATCAAGCAGAGCACCAAGATCCGCCTCGCTTCACTCAAGGCCTACCTTGAGGGCCAAGCTGAATGGGACAAGACAGTCCTGGAATGTATCAACTTCTTCGACCACCTCGTCCGCCAGTTTCCATCGGAAAACCTGCTGGCAATAAAGAGGAACTTTTATGATTACGATACGAAGGAGTGGATGATTCTCAACCGCCGGTCCTTCGTTCATGCCGTCAAGGGAATCTACGCGGCGATCAAAATCAACTCTTCCATGAAGAGCGGCGGCATGGGCATGGGCATCAACGTGGACGTGACCAACACGTGCTTTTGGCGGGGAGGAACGCCTTTCATTGAACTGGTCGTCAACTACCTCGCCAGCGTGAAGAAGGAGTGGCAGTACCTCGACCACCAGGGAATTGCGGACGGACTCAAGCCAGAGAAGTGGGAGCGCACTGATACGAAGCCAACCACGTACTTCCCCGCCAAGTCTGAAATGTTCAGGTCCCTTCGGCGCCTGGCCAAGTGCAAGTTCCATGTCAACCACCGTGGCAAGACAAACGACCCAAAAACCTACACCATCAAGGACTTTGTCTGGGACGTTGATAGGTTCGGTTGGGACGGCGCCAACGCCCGCAACTTCACATTCACGCTGAAGAACGGCGAGGAAATCACCGTTACCAAGTACTTCCACACGCGGTACAACGTCCGGCTTCGGTATCCGGATTTCCCCCTGATTCAGACCACTCGCGACGGAGTCTTTCCTATGGAGTGCGTCACCATGCTGCCGTGGCAGAGGTACAACTTCAAGCTGGATCCTGATCAGACGGCCGCCATGATCAAGTTTGCTGTTACAAGACCTCCGGTCCGTGCAAATGCCATCATGACTAACATCAAGGCCCTCAGGTGGGTTGACGATCCTTATCTGCGCGAGTTTGGTGTCAAGATCAGCCCGCAGATGCAGTCAGTGCCAGCACGCATCCTTCAGAACCCAGTTGTGCAGTTCGGCAAGAAGACAGTTGATCCACGAACCAGCGGCAGGTGGGATCTGCGTGACCAAGTGTTCGCTGAGCGGAACATCCGCCCTCTGAAGTCGTGGTCCATCATTGTGGTCCAGAGGTGTGTCGATGAGCCCACGGCCGCGCGTTTCGGAGCAGCGTTTGCCGAAACTTACCGGAAGCACGGCGGCCAGGTCCCGACAATGAAACCCAAAGTTCACCAGTTAACTTTCCAAGCCAGCGGAGCGACCGCTGAGGACATTGAGAAGCTGTACCGCCAGACTGGTCAGGAGAACGGCGCGTTGCCGGACCTCATCTTCTTTGTCCTGCCAGTCAAGACCACCTTCATTTACGAGCGCCTCAAGAAGAACCTGGAGATCCGATTCGCCATGCTGTCACAGATGGTGTTCTGTGATCACGTCAAGAAGTGTCAACCCCAATACTGCTCGAACGTGGCCATGAAGGTCAACGCGAAGCTGGGGGGCTTCACTTCGAGGCTCCAGAAAGTTCAGTTCTACACGGTGCCCACGATGATGATCGGAGTTGACATTTCGCACGGCGGCGCGGGTTCGCAGGCGCTGTCCGGACCACTGGCTTCTATGGCTGCTATAACCATGTCCATGGATCGGGAGGCGATCAGATACTCGGCCGTCTGTGAGACCAACGGCCACCGAGTGGAGATCATCACGCCTTACAACATCAAGAAAATCTTCCCCGACGCCGTGCGCCGATGGTGCCAGAAGAACAACCGCGCTCCCGAGCACGTCTTCTACTTCCGCGACGGCGTCGCTGAGGGCCAATTTGCCCACGTCATGGAGCATGAAGTGCAGGGGATTCGCGAGGTGCTCCACGAGATTGGGAAGAACAAGCCCAAGATTACTGTGGTCGTCGCTACCAAGCGCCACCACATCCGCTTCTTCCCGGGCAGTGGTGCTGGCGACAAGAACGGAAACCCTCTGCCAGGCACCATAATTGAGCACGAGGTCACCCACCCCTTCCACTACGACTTTTATCTGTGCTCCCATGTCGCGATCCAAGGCACTGCTCGGCCTGTTCACTACACTGTCATCCATGACGAGGTTCAGTACCCTCAAGACAAACTCCAGGCCATGATTTACCAGCAGTGCTACCAGTACATCCGCTCCACCACGCCCGTGTCCATCCACCCCGCGATCTACTACGCGCACCTGGCTGCTGCTCGCTCCCGGGCTCATGAGGACATTGCCGCGTCAACCAAAGACCCATGGTTCCAGCAAATGAAGAAGATTGAGAAGATGGACGAGAAGAAGGACGAGAAGAAGAAGAAGCCAGCGGAAACGGAGCGGTCGAGCAAGACCCCTCAGGAGCCTGCAAAGCCGCTGTTGAAGATTGGTGGAGATGAGGGTAAGGCGGATGCACAAAACATTAATTTCTTCAAGGGCACGATGTGGTACATCTAAGGAGATTACAAGGAGCATCCTGAAATTTCCTAGATGCGAAGAAATGGCGTTGCTTTATTTTTCTTGTTGGAAGGGGGGGGCTTCCAAAGAGAGCAAGTACAAGGCGATGCCGGGAGAACTTTTTGGACGAGGGGGTTGTGCGTTTGCATTCTTTGGGGATTTTGGTCCACCTTTGATACTCTTCATTGGTAGGCCATAGTCTAGAGTCCGTGTGGTTTCACAGTGAAGAGCCACAGACAGATAGAATGACAATCAAGTGCGATGCATTTATGAATTCAGTCAGGCGAAAGTGGGATTCCCACAGACAAATGGGATGACTGCAGTTCGTCCTCAGTGTCTTGTTGGCCAGGCAAAATTCTTTGCAGTAATCCTCCGAGTTGCCGGCCCTCTCGACACACTGAGGAGATATTCACATGGCTGCGCCAGCACAGGAGTGGGCAGATGCGAGAAGAAACGACAGTTGCTGAGGAGGTCCCGTTGCTGAACCGCAAGCAATTGGTGAGGTTTTGAAAGAAGGGCCAATGATGCGGAAGCCATGACAGCATTCGGCGACGCTGTATGTATGTGTTTCTGCCGCACCTCAAGGGACCCAGCCAGTCTGAGATGGCAGAAATGGCGTGTGTGGGAATAGAAGGGAGGGGAGAAGGTCTGTACATGGCACGATGGCCAGGGGCAAGGCGCGTCCTGAGGCTCTGGTACTGAGTTCCTTCTAGTAAGGCTCGTCCGTCAGCGTTTGGTGTACATGTATATATGGAATGGTCTCTATCTGTCATGATCTCTCCTCCCCGACCTCGTGTCCGACCTCGTCTGTGGAGCTGACCCCAGCCCGGCTTACCCGGTTTGCACCAGCCCGTCGGGCCGGCCTTGGCTGCTGCTCGTGGGTCAGCCTGCTTGATCCAAGCCGAAAATTTCTTGGCTGAACGCCATGCGAATATCTCGGGGGGTTGGGGACTTCTCAATGGCTACGTATAGAAAAAAAAAAAAAGTGTTAATTCCACCCCATCTGCGCCTAGGAAGCGGAGCGGAGGTTTAGGCTTTGGGTGGCCCATGCCGCCCGCGCTGCCTTGGGCCAATGATGGGCGGCGCGGCGGCCGAAAGAGGAAGTCGACAGGGGTGGGCTCGTCCCGGATTGCGCAGCCGGGCCGGGCGACAGAGACAGAGTACAGTGCACGACAGAGTCACACTGTCCTCGGCGACACAGACACAGACACAGATTGTATATGAGAAGCAGCCAAGGGATGTGGTACATGCATGTGAGGGCAGCCGTGTCCCATTCGTCTTCTGCTCGGGCGAGCCGGACTAATAAGTGCTTGCTTGGGTCCCGCCACTGAAGCAGGAGAAAATCAGAGAATCTTGAAGGACAAGATGGGCACATCAGGATTCACCCGGGAGCGATGGAGCGGAACTTTGGAGGCTCTAGACACATGGAGAGATTCAGACCAAGGTGAACCTCGAAGGGACGAGGACCGAGGACCGAGGACCGAGGAACTGGGACGGTGGATAAGGGGACAAGTGGCGATGAGAAGTGTGTCGAACCGGAAGGCAGATCAGCCGAGGATATGACAGCCTCGGGGAGCATTTGAAAGTGATGATGTTGCGGTGTTGGGTTTGTGGTTTCCACAGAGTGCAATTAGGGGTGGCAGTGGCAGCCGGATGGTGCTGTCGAGCTTGGCGTCTCGGTGAGGGGCGCTATTGGAGCACGTGGGATGAACAGGATGGTAGATGAATGTTTCAAGGCGATATAACTTGATGAGGATGCGGCCTAGGGCAAGACCAGAGGCTGGGCAGCTGGGCAGCTGGGCAGCTGGGCAAGCCTGGCAAAGCTGCCTCGGCCTGGGACACTCGGAATGCCCAAGGAGAGTGCCAGGCCGGCACTATCGAAAAGGACGTGAGCGTGTTGTGTGGCAGATTGATATGTGCTGGCTGGACCCAACAATCGGAGGATTTCCAGGGGCCAAGCGCGGGCAGCAGATGCGATTGGACTCGATCAGGGCTGCAGTCCCGGCAGCTGGATTGCAGTGCAGGCAGGGCATGGCCGAGACCCAGTCGAACATCTGGCTGTCTGGATCGGCGGTCGCACGTGTGGCAGCGACCAGATCCGGCACCCGTGATCTGGCACCCGTGATCTGGTATCTGTGATCTGATATCTGTGATCTGGCATCTGTGATCTGGTATCTGGGGTGGATGGTACGGCGGCTGGGAGGACAATTCCATGTCGAAAATGCACCGTGACAAAGGGAAAACTTTGGCCAAGACAAGACGTGTTGGTGGACATCAAAGGTTATGGCAGCACCAGGGACGAAAGAGGAAATGGCCGCGAGGGATCAGGGCTCGTGCCTGTTGTCAAGGCCTGTCTGTTGTCAACTCAACCCATCAGTGGTGGTGGTGGTATATCATACATACCATGCATGGTAGATACCTACTGATGAGAACAAGTGGAAAGGGGGTGGGAAGGGATGGAGGCAGGAGGCAGGTGGCAGGGAGGGACATGGAGAAGCCACACCTTCCCCAGATTCCGGGGGCGGGCCTCAACCCGCCTACCTGCGTGGGGAATGGGGTAAATGGGGCCTCTTCGGCCGTGGTAACCACATGCAGCCTGGGCCGGTCTGGGCAGCGGCTCAATTGCATTGCGCCCAGAGGCCAGCCTGCCTTACCCCAAGCCCTGCAGATGTCCCCGCAAACAGTCGAGTGGGCCCCGACGATGTCAACCACACACACACACACACACACACAGACACAGCACACACCGCGACGTGAACTACCCCGCGCACCAGCACCTCTGCCTGTCTTGGCCTTGGGCCCAGGCTGGCCCCGGATTGGACCACGCGACCTCGGCTCCATCACATCGGGCATCTGGGCAAGGAGGCAGCGAGGAGGGTCCTTGGAGCACACGAGCCCTCGGCCACAGCAGAGGTGCACATTGCAGTTGTATACGAGAGTGGTACTATGGGGTACGGAGTACCGTGGTTATATGAAGCCATGCTGGCCCCCGACCGATCGCCAGCCGTCCGAGTCCCACGCAGCAGTGTCGCATCCGCTCCGACATTGGACCTTGAGCCCCGGCCTGGCTGGAGTTGCGCTCCGTATATTTACTACAGATTAAGTTTAACCAAGTGAGCCCTGCCTGCCCTTGCCGGGGTGGTCGCCGCGATACTAGGTTCCACATTTTGTCTCCAAAGGCTAATCCACTTGGCAGATAAAACCCAATCCGCCCTCTCTTCCTCCTCCTTTGCCACGGAGAGAGCTCGAGGCCCTTCTCTCCCTCTTCTTCTCTCCCTTTCCGTCTTCCGACAGGACCAGCCTGACACCCCACGGCGGCAACATGGACCGCAACAGCGAGAAGCTGGGCGTCGACCAGATCGACGACAATGCCGCATACCAGACCGACTCCAACATCCTCGACAATGAGTTCACCCCAGCCGAGCAGAAGCGCATCATCCAGCGCATCGACCGCCGCCTCGTCACCACCGTCGGCCTCATGTACTGCGTCTCCCTGATGGACCGTACCAACCTGGGCAATGCCATCATTGCTGGCATGGGCAAGGAGCTCATGCTCATTGGGGACCGATACGTAAGTATACAGCCTCTCGCCCATGTCCTGCTGCCCTCTGCGCAAACCTCTCCGGCCTGACCCTTGGTGCACAGTCAATCATCACTCTGCTGTTCTTTGTGACCTACATCATTTTCCAGCCCCCTTCGACCGTCATCTGCCGTGCCGTCGGCCCAAGATTCCACCTTGCCGGAATCACTCTGCTCTGGGGCGGATGTATGATTGGCATGGGGTTTGTCTCGAGTTGGGATCAACTGGCCGGCCTCAGGGTCGTCCTGGGTCTGCTCGAGGCTGGCTTCTTCCCCAGTTGCGTCTATCTCCTCAGCACCTGGTATACAAGATGTAAGTGCTCCGCCCAGTCCCCGGCCCCTGTCTCCCCGCCGCCCATGGCCACGCAACTCACAGCTACCTCAGATGAGATGGGCAAGCGCTATGCCGTCTTCTACCTCCTGGGCTGCGTCGCGTCCGCCTTCGCCGGCATCCTGGCCTTTGGCCTGATGCACATGAACGGGCTCGCAGACCTGACTGGATGGCGTTGGATTTTCATCATTGAGGGTGTCATCACCTGCGTCGTGGGCATCGCCGGCTACTGGCTGCTCGTCGACTTCCCAGACTCCAAGAGGAAGTCGTGGCGCTTCCTTCCCGAGCGCGAGCGCGCCTGGGTCGTTGCTCGCGTCAACGCCGACCGCGGCGACGCAAAGGTCCACGCCTTCTCTCTGGCCAACTTCATGCGCGGCGGCACCGACTGGAAGATCTGGGCCTACGCCCTGATCTTCTTCAACACCACCACCATCAGCTACGCCCTCGCCTTCTTCCTGCCCGTCATCTTGAACGAGTCCCTGGGCTTCGAGGTTGGCGCCGCCCAGTGCCTCGTCGCGCCCCCCTACGCCTTTGCCGGCTTCGTCATGTTCGGCACCGGCTGGCTGGGCGACAAGTACAGGACCAGGGGCATCCCCATCCTCATCAACATGACCTTTTGCATCATTGGCCTGCCCATCATGGGCTTCCACCCCAACCCCGCCGTCAGGTACTTTGGCGTTTTCCTCGTTACCGCCGGCGCCAACTCCAACGTGCCCGCGACCATGTCTTACCAGGCTACCAATATCCGCGGCCAGTGGAAGCGGGCCTTCTGCTCCGCCACGCTGGTAGGCTTCGGCGGACTCGGCGGTATTGCCGGTTCCTTGGTCTTCCGGTAAGCTTTCCTTTTGGGTGACGCCCTGCGACTGCGGCAGCCGCCTCAGATGTTGCATCTTCTTTCCATCTCCTGTCCACCCCTTTTTACTAACGCCTGTGTATAGAAACCAAGACAAGCCCTCATATCACCCAGGCTTGTATGCCTGCATTGCCTGCACCCTATTGAACATCCTCTTGGTCGGGATCCTTACTGTCTACTTCAAGATCGAGAACCGCCGGGCGGACCGCGGCGAGAAGGAGCTCGAGTCCAACGACGAGGACTTCCAGCCTGGGTTCAGGTACACGTGCTAGAAATGTTACGGGGATTATGCCGCGCAGGCGAGTTGGCCCTCTGTAAAATTGTATCCTTCGGGGATTTATCCGAGCATATTACCCTTATGATCTGGGCTCCCGCCCGCTAGAAGAAATACCATCATGGATATGAGTGACGACCTTGAATTGCTTCGGTGCGCTTGATACAAATTTGAACGTGGCCTCGGGAGGCTGTGCCAAGCCGGTGGGTGTACAAGTGGGCAGACGTGCTCCGTCTTGGCCCCTGGGCTAGTCTTCGATGCAGAGTTATAATTTCGTTTTCTCATCTCCCGCATTCTGCGCTACGACACGGCCTTTGGTTGGAAATGGTCTGGTGTGGACATGTGCACATGCTTCTCCAGGAGGTCTCGGAACCCAGGTGAGGTCCAAATATTTTCTCGTTTCACTATATTTGGATGGCATAACCAATTCCAGAATAAAATGATCTTATCCAAGACCCCCATCTTAGATTGAGCATGAATATTAGAGTCTCAGGAAGCGAGAGTACATGTTGACAGGCACCATGGGGCAGTCTTCTCTATTAGCAGAATATAGTTCCGGGGCTTTGAACTGGCGTTTTCACTCAGCCCTGGCCATTGTTGCGCTATTTTTCCCACACCAAACTCTCACTTAATACCTGCCTGTTTCGTAAGGGAGAGGCAGGTATGAACTTCCTGAATGGAAGTGGAGTTCCTGGAGCCGTTGCGCCGGGTTGCCACGGCCAAACAGCGCCATCAACACGGGTTGGACTTCGAAATGAGTCCACTGCGACAGTCTCAAAAGCTCCCTAGTGGCGTCTTCCCAGGCCGAGAATAATAATCTGCCCCGGCCATCATTAGGATGATATTATTCGGCCAATTCCAGCCATCTTTACTACACGTCAGATTCAGCTCCCGGCTCACTGGATCTATCGGTCGTAGCACTCGACAGGACCCGTGCCATATCGCAGTGGCACATGACAACCAAACTGAGTCCCGGCGCGTCATTGAGAGCCCTCACGATTTTTCGGTGTGTCACACGATCCGTCATGCGCTCCTGCGAGGTCCCCGATCACTTCTCACCCACATGTAAGCTGAGTCTTATGGCCGGTTGGTCAACCTCAGCAGCTGACTGGACGAGTATGTTGATGGCCTGGAGATGGCGACGCAGGGCACCTGAATCCCTGGACACAGCCTTATGACAATTGCGAGAGTGTCATTTATCTGTGAGGTCTCGACGTTCCAAATTTGAGGGAGGCATTGAGGCTCAACAGCCATGCAGTCAATGTCCCCCGGGACATTTCAGATCCCGGCATTGTCATACGGTAGTAGCGTCGTTCATGCTAGCGCGGACACTCTCTTTCCTGTAACGTAAAGGGTGAGCGTTATCCCGTGGAAGATGTCCCATCAGGTTTTGAAATGACACAGCTGCTGGGGAGTATTAAGAAATTTGAACGTACCATGGCTGCAACTCAGCCACCTTTGCCACCTCTCCCCACTCAGTAAGCCAATCCTCGAGCTTTGTGAGCTTCTGGAAGAGGAGCGGTTTGGCCCCGCCTCGCTTGACCCTGGTGTCAATTGCAGCTCGTAGGTAGGCCTCGGCGAGTTCCCTATTGCCCTGCTCCTTGGCGATGCCAGCCATGTACAGCTCGCAGTTCAGCTTCGCGATCTGGCACTCTCCCTCGGGTATCCGCTGTAGTGTCAGTGTGAGGAGGGATATCAGGTAGTCCTTGGAGCCGCCGTGGGCATCTACCCTCTGCCGCTCCAGCTCGGTGAGGAAGAACAGCTCGCCGACGGCTTCGGGCGAGCCCTCGCCGAACTCTTCTGCTCTCTGCCGGCATATCTCCATTTGCCTCTGGGCGAGGTATGCGCTCGGCAGAGCGTCGTAGCCGGCGGACTCGCCCATGTCTAACCACCGAGGAAAGTTCACGGCGCATTCGGGCGTGCCCAGTACGGTATCCGTCGCGTCCAGCAGACATTTCCAGGCTCGCACAGCGAGGTCATGCAGGGCGAGAGTGTCCTGGTCGTCCAAAGAAGCCAGGCCCTGCAGTACCCTGCGCACGGGATGACGGTCGGACCAGCCCTTGTGCAATCCTGGGTCAGTGTCCGGTCTGGTTGGCCGCAGTGTCGTTCCACCGGGAGGGGAGCAGACGGATAACTAGCATACCAGGTTTGGCTCGGCTGCAGCGGCTGCAGCGTAGTTGACCAGCGCCTTGACGATCCTCCCCACCCGCTCCTGTTGCCCTGGGACACTCAACAGGTGTACGACCATGGTGAATATCCTGTTCAGGATCTGGGGAGGCTCGTGGCGGAGCAAGGCGCGTATCTGGTCCGGAACCTTTCTCAAGAAGACGACGGCCTCGTCCAACTTGTCGGCCCGAAGGAGACCCCTCAGCATATGCATGGAGTCTGTCACCTGCTTGGTCTCTGGATGGGCAGTGCGGCCTGAGACGAACTCGACATCTATGGTTTGCCCATACATGTACCCGCGCGTATGGGCCAGAACGGCCTCTGATATGTGGAAGATGTCCGGAGGCCTGATAGATGGCGGGTGTGGCAAAGGTGGCAGCGTCGCCCGCACGAGACCCTGCTTCTTTCGCCGCAGGTGTAGAGCCAGACGCTGGGAGTCCACCACGCGGCCTGTTGCTAGCACGACAGAGCGATCCGTTTGGTTGACGGAGTCCATAAGGGACCGGACGTCCTCGGAGACAGTCCTGATATTTTTGGAGTACCCCCACTGCTTCATGCGAACCTTGTACATCTTGGGCCTGTGCCCATGTCAGACTCGTGATGCGACATTGTAGCATTCAGAGGGACTCACGACGCCACGAGGTTATGCTCCGTGGCCATGATATCCATGACCTCTTTGAGCTTCCTCTTCTCGTCTATGTAGAGCCGTCTGATGGTCTCCCTGTGCCGGCTCCAATCACTGATGCTGGGGCCACCGCCTCCGTCACCCAGCGATCTCCTCATGCTGGGCGTCGATGCGGTTGACATGGCGCCAGGGGTGGCAGTACGCGGCATCGCCACAGAGCATAAGCGCACCTCGCCTCGGCTGGCTCTGGTCAGCCGGGTTCTTTAGGTTTGGGCGACACAGACCTCGGGGGGATTGTAGATGAAGGGATGGACGATGGACGACGGACGACGGACGATGGACGTTGAAGCCTGTCGAGCCCCTGCGCTAGTTGGAGCGGGTGCCTAGGTGCCGCTTTCCAATGGGTGGTGCTTGGCACTAACATTGCCCCTGCAAACCCTGCCCCGGCCCGGTCCTTGGTGATGATATCCGTTGACCTGGTTGTACCGTCCGCAACCTCAGTATTACAACCTCACGGCATGGGAGCATTTAGACTCGGGGTTGAAACCACATCTCCCGGCGGAGGCTCCAGCAGAGGAGAGATCACATCAAGGCTTCGTAAAATGATCCATGCCGCGCCGATTTGACCACGGCACTGCCCCTGGCGAATGTGTCTGAAGTTGTAAAACGAGCAATAAGCTTTTGTCGTCCGTTAAGCCCTCAACGGTCTCCAATCACACCCGAGGTATCAGGGCTGTGATCGTCCTGGTCCAGAACATCATGCTCCCGTCTAGTTCCAGCTCGCAGCCTCGCGATTCGAGTAAACTTAAGACTTGGTATGGATGCCCCTAGGCACTGCCTGGCTTCTTCCTAATTGGTTCTTCATAACCGGGTTCCTGGTATCTGGAAACGGGGTCATGCTTCAACCGGAAATGTTGCGTTTGTGCTGATGAGGCAGGACGGTCCGGGCCATCGCCGTAGCAGGAGTAAGTGACTGCGACGGCGGCGATGACAATTCCCGGGCGCAGAGAGCGAGGGACCAAGCTGACCAGCACCGGAATGTAGACTGGGTTCTTCACCGACAGCTACGACATATTCGCCATAGGCCTCGTCACATCTCTTCTCGGAATCGTCTACTTTGGGGGCAAGATCCCGGATGCCGACGACACAGCCATCAAGGTAGCGACATCCGCCGGCACGGTTGCTGGCCAGGTTGGATTTGGCATACTGGCCGATGTCGTAGGACGGAAGAAGATGTACGGGCTGGAGCTCATGATCATCATCTTCTCCACGCTCGCCCAGAGCCTGTCGTCCAGCTCGCCAGCCAGTCCATAGCCGGGCTGGTTGGGTTCTTTATGCTGACGGTGCTGTTCTGCACCATCGGCTTCGGGTTCTGGAGGTTGTCGGGCGGGGCCTTCATGGCGCTCTTCACGCTGAGCCAGTTCTTCTTCAAAGGTGTTACCGACGCGGTACCAGTCCACGTCGCACGGCATCTCGGCAGCGTCTGGGCCTCTGAGGACCATCGGGGCGGATGCCGCCAAGGCCAAGGCGGACCCACGCTGGGCTGCGCCTTGGACAGCCCACATCATGCAGATATTCGCTGCTCTCATGGCCCTGGGCTTCTGCACCTCGTGGCTGGTCCCCGAGTCCGCGAGGAAGACTCTCGAGGAGCTGGCCGGGGAGGATGCCAGCGCTGCCGGCCTGGTCGACACTGGCTCGGCTGGCGACAGGCCGAGCCGCTCTGCGACACGTAGCTAGTGTCCTTTTCCTCCTCTTCTTTTTCTTTCTTTCGTTTCTGACCCTGGAATATCCGAGATATGGAGTCTGGCTGCTCTGCTGCATTAGAAGAAATAATACATCAATCAGTATACGGTCGAGGTCGGGGTACCTGGGTACCTTGGAGACCTAGGTACCTAGGTACTTATTGCTGGCCCGGGTACGGGGGACCCCTGCCATCGCACAACTCCATCTGACAGGACTGACGTAGCGCTGGTCAGGGGCTGAGGCGGAGCTCCAGTGCCCCTCTGTGGTAGTTCGCAGCCGGCCCTCTACTGTCCAAACCTCGTCCCAGACCGCACGCAGCCTCTGGGTCTGATGTCGCCAACAACCAGCCGACAGGACCCCAAGACCCAGGCAACATGGCCTCGTTCCTCCGAGGAAAGCAGGCGGGCATGCAGAAGGACCTGTCTGCCGCCATCCTCCCGCACCTCTTCGCCCCCGACGAGCAGGCACGCTTCGGCATCAACTCGCAGATCAGGTAAGGAGAAGAGGAGAAGGGTCGACCGTTGCACCGTTGCACCTCGCGACAGACAGACCGTCTGCCTGGGCTAACCCGTGCCGTCACAGCTGCCTCGCCTACGAACCGGTCCAGTCCCTCCTCGCCGTCGGCACCAACGAGTCCAGGTTTGGCAGCGGGCAGATATACGTCTTTGGGCAGGGCAGGATACAGAAATACTTCCACCTGTCCAAGCCCGGGTCCATCCGAAGCCTGCACTTCTCCGCAAATAGGCTGATCAGCCTCAACAGCAGGGGCGAGCTGACGATATGGGATCTCGACACGGGCAAGAGGATCGCCGGGGGCTCATGTGGCAGCGCCGTCGTCACCCTCGTCACAGACCCCATGCTCGACTGGGCCCTCATCGGCCAGTCAACCGGCGAGGTCTCGGCCTACGACCTGGACCGCGAGAGGATGTCTCCCTTCCGCACCCCAAACTTCTGGCGTGAGAAGGACCCAAAGTCCACCATGGCACACCTCGTCTCCATGCAGCTACACCCTCGCGACATCGGCAAGTTGCTGGTAGCCTACACCCACGGCGCCGTCATCTACTCCTTCAAGCAGAACCAGCCCACCAGGTTCTTCGAGTACGTCTTGGCCCCCGGCGCCCCCGGCGGGAACTCGGACAACGTCGACTCCCTGCGCAGGCCCAGGCTGCTACATGCTGCCTGGCACCCCACGGGCACTTTCGTCTTGACCGCCCACGACGACGGCAGCCTCGTCTTCTGGGACCCCAAGGACGGCCGGGTCGTCATGGCGAGGTCCATCTACGACATGGCTGTCGACCAGGTCACTTCGACTCCTCCGCCTCAGAGGCTCATCCAGCCCTTCACCAAGATCTCATGGTGCTGCAAGGAGAACCCGGATGATACTGCCCTCCTCATCGCCGGGGGCCAGGCAACCGACGAGCCGCAAAAGGGCTTGACCTTCCTGGAGCTGGGCCAGACCCCCGTCTATGCTACCTCGTCCTGGCAGGCACTCAGCGACCACTTCAAGGCAAAGCGCCAGCAAACTCTGCCCATCCCACCAGGCACCGACGTGACCAACTACTGCCTGATCCCACGGTCATCGCCTCACTTTGCCGGGGCTCAGGACCCGCTCGCCATCCTGGCAACCCTCTCCTCGGGCGAGCTCATCACCATGAGCTTCCCCTCCGGATATCCAATCAGCCCCACCAACCAGCTCCACCCCTCGCTGTCCTTCGTGCATCCCTTCGTGACCAAGGTCGCAGTCTCGACTCTTGACCGGGGACGGTGGCTGGGGATGATAGAGAAGCGCAGCAAAGGCGAGGATCTTGTCAAGGGGGGCGCCGAGGCCCCGAAGCCGCGAAGGCGATACGAGGGCAGAAATATCATACAGGTGGCCCACGCCGACAGCACCGTCCGCCTCTGGGATCTCGGCCACGCCGATGAGATAGAGAATCCCGCGCAACTGCAGGTTGATATCGCCAGGGCTCTCGGCCGGTTCGAAAACGTAGACGTGTCTGCCATGCACCTAGCACCAACCACTGGTGACTTCGCAGCCGGTACCACCAGCGGTGATGTTGTCATCTACCGATGGGGGGGAAACCACAACTTCGGCCAAGAGGACACCAAGCAGCTCGAGAGCAATCCTGGCGGCCTGGTCGACATCAGCTCGAGGACTGAGCCTTCTTTGAAGGAGGGTCTTCAGCCATACGTCCTGTACGAGACCGGGCAGGGGCCAGTCACCGCCCTCTGTGTTTCCGATGTCGGATTCGTAGCTGTTGGTTCCGAGGGCGGTTCTATCAGCATCATTGACCTGCGAGGCCCATCTGTCATTTTCAAGGCGTCCGTGGGAGAGCTCGCACAGAAGGAGAAGAGGTCGTCCTTCCTCAGGGGCCACTCGAGCGCTACCGCCACAAAGGACCACCCGGTTGTGATTGAGTTTGGAATAATGACACTCGATGATGACAAATACTCTAGCATCGCATGCTTCGTGGGCACCGCTCAGGGTAAAGTGGCCACGTTCAAGCTCCTGCCCTCTGGAAACAGCTATTCGGTGGAGCTGGCCGGCGTTGCGAGCCTTGGCGACAAGATCATCGCGCTCTGTCCGATCCAGGCTGACACCGGCCGGCCTGCTGCAGCTACTCCAGAAGTGATGGGCGGCCTAAGGAGCGGCCACCACGTCAATGGCGTGCTGGTAGTTGGTGAGTTTTCCTGTCTCAATCTTCCCACCTTTTATTGCTCCTCAAACCGGATACTGACCAAGACGGCCCAGCTACTCAAACTGAGGCCCGTATTTTCAAGCCGTCTAGTTCCAAGGGAGCCTCCAAATCCTTTGACGATGTCCTTTGCGACGCAGCCGCTATCACCGACTTTGAGTTGCACGGTTTCGCGCTGGTGGCCACCTTCGGCGATGGTAGCGCTCGCGCATTCTCTCTGCCAGGCCTGAAAGAGATCAGCAAGGCCCCGCTCCCCATGCTCGACCCCACCCGAAGCACCAGCAGCATCGTCTCCTCGACCGGAGATATCATCGGATGGGCTGGGCCTTCCGAACTTGTCGTCATTCCCGTATGGGGCACGGGCAAAGGCAAGGACCATCTCAACAACGACGACAAGCTTGTCAACCCCGAGGCCGTGATACCGCCCCGCCCAACGATTTCCAACGTGCAGTGGCTGTCGGGGACGCAATATGTGTCGCCGACAGACCTCGACCTGCTGATTGGTGGGCCCGACAGGCCGGCCTCGAAGAGGATGATGGCGGCAGCAGCGGAGGAGGCAAGGTTGGCCAGGGGAGGCGCGGGTGCAAGTTCTTCCGGGACTGGAGCAGCAAATGAGGGATGGGGCGAGTATCTGCAGCGACAACTCAACGAAAGGACGGAGAAACTAAACCTCATGGGAGACAACATGGAGAGCCTCAACGATCAGAGCCAGGGCTGGGCCGATGATGTGAACAAATTCATTGGCAAGCAAAAGAGGAACGTGGTGATGGGAGGACTGAAGTCCAAGTTTTTCTGATCCCGGCGCTCGGGTTTATTCATTTGACGGCACGGCTTAGAGATATCCAGGTATATTTTCTATTCTTCTCATTTGGCTCTCAGAGTCTTGCGCGACGCTCAAGCAAGGACTTGTGTTTCTGTGACGCGTCTTGGAACCCGATCCCGTCTGAGTGATCAGCCTTGCGAGATCCATGACACCACGCAACTGGGCTGAGTATCACTGCATTAGAGACTCCTAACATGATTGCAATCAAAAAAAGAGTGGCACAGCAAAAGGCCAAGACCAGCAGGTCGGCCTTTGCACTGCTCGAGTCGATGTGAGGCTTCATGTGCTCGACGGCCCAGACCAAGCTGCCCATGCATATCGCTTGAGATCCCACAAATGCGCCGAGCCAGTGTAACAGGTCATTGTCGGAGATCGGTCTCATCATATTTTCTGTCCTCTGTTGTTCGCTTTCTTTTGTTGACTTCGTAGCTTGAACTCCCTGGGTTCTGGACTGGTGGATTGTGTGTGCTCAAGGACAGGGAGCGAAGAGCGCTCGGTCCAAGGATAGAAACGATGGGCTTTAATATACTCTCGGTCGCACGTAATCAGCCACTAACTCTCAGTTATTGTCACACATTTGCGAGTCACTGGATCTTCTTGGTATGTAAAAAGACACTACTCACTTTGTTTTCGGCGCGCAGATTTTCTAGTACTGCTCTTGAAAGGGGACTGGATATTCATTGCGACGCCATTCCGAGTCTGGAACCCATGGCGGGTGGTAGTTGATCAAAATGACGACTCGGGACATACACACGTGCAGTGAGCAAGCGCGGAGCACTTTAACTTGACATTAAAGAAATCAGATTTTAGAATTGAAACGAAACTCATATATTATGAGAGCATGTAGTTATATAGGTGTGGAAGGGACGTCACCTGGAGGACTCAGATAGGCAACAAATCATGCATCGTCCACTTCTGAATCGTCTTCAGAATCATCTCCAAGATGGCCTTCCAGCTCCTCAGCAAGGGTCATAGGTCGGGTGCGAGCCGCCATCTTGTGGCCGGTCACCATTCCCTGAGATGGGCCCCGGCCGGGACCGGGGGTCGCAGCAGATGCAGCAGCTGGGGCCACCGCAGTGTTGTCATGCCCCGCGGCCGCTGGGTCTGCAGGCTGTGGCTCGGGCTCGGGCTGTGAGAGATTTTTAAGAGGCGTGTGTATTCTGTCGAATATCCTCTGTAAAACCTCGGGGTCTGGACCTTCCTCCAGGGCCTTATTTTGCCGCCGGAGGTCGTGAATGAGTGTGGCCTGGGAAGCTGCCAGCGCTTCAAGCGAGCCCGCCAGCTCTGTTGTCTGCTGTACCTGAGCCTCGAGGTCTGCGATCCTCATGACCATAAGCTCGTGTTCGGTGGTTTGGGCGTCCGCGAACGCCCTCCACTCTCTTGTTCCAAAGGGGTACGGGTTCTGTGTCGCCTGGGCGACGGAACGGTTGGGATTCCAGCGGTTAATATACGCAAATATGGTAGTGAAAACGACCATGATTGACTCTAAAATCGAAAATGTCATTATTATGCTCTGGGCGTTGGGAGTACTATGGCCTTGACGCTCGTCTAGCAAGCGTTGAGGGTGGTGAGGTAGGTAGTTGGAGAGCTGGATCCGCTATGCGTTGGGCTCGTGTATGACAATGGTCGGAGTCGGAGCCGATGGACAATTATGGCTGGCTATATACATAACCATGTAAATTTATCTCTTCAACAATGTAATATTAGGACAATCGCCTTGTGGCGATGCTCTTGAACACAACAAAGAGCGGGAAGCCACATTGGGCTGTGAACAAAGCCGACGTGGTGCCCATTCTTGGCCAAGAACGGGCAGCTTTGTAAATCTTTACCGCCATACCGCCACAGATATCGAGATCACATAGTCTGTTTTGAAGATTTGTTACCTACCTAGGTATTTAGGTAGAGATGCTCGCCAGCTGCCAACATAGTGGGCGTAGAGCACTTGAGTTCACAGGCACCTTTGTGTGGTGCGTGCCAGCACCCGACACCTGATGGGTCTCAGGCTAAAGTGGGGCGAGGGCGGAAACCGTGTTAGTCCATTGGCTACCAAGTACTTGAGTACTTAGGTACTTAAGCACTTACCTGGGTGCTTGGACCGAGGTGTTGTCTCCTGATGTCGTGCCTCCTGTTCAAGCTTGTGGTCAAGCAGAGCCGCGTAGCGGACACCTAAACAATGCTTGATCACCTTGCTGCCTGTGTATGTGTAGATTGACGAATATTACCCGTCTGTTTTAAATGTTTAGGGCGGTAAGTGGAGGGAGAGGCCTGCAGGTTTTCCTAGAGGGCTGTAACGGAAGTGGCATTGTACACCTGCCGACACATACAGGCAGAAGAAGCTGAGCTTTGAAATGAGGCGCTCACTGCAGCTTAGATTGTGGCACCGGTCAGCGCTCCCCACGAAGCGCCGGCCGCATGTTGGGCGACCGGCGATCTTATCTCCCCTGCAGCTCCTCGTGCCCAGGCCATCTCATCGGTGAGCTCCGGCGCGCCCCCCCCCCCTCCAAGTAGAAAGCGGGCAACCTCGCTTCTTTCGTCGTATAGCACGGCTTGTGCTTTATTTGGGCTCTTCTCACATTACTTTCGCCCTGCTGCGGATCGGACCACACAATGTACCACCGGCAGACGCTCCTGCGCTGAGGCCAAAGCCTCGGGCATCAGTTCTCAGTCTAGTGATATTGTGCTTGCTTGGAAGCGCTGTATGCGATTTCTTATGATTTCGTAGAGCCTTTTCATGAAGCCGATATTCTGGATGTACCATGTACGCGCCCGGATCATGCAGGTAATGGTCGTAGGGCAGATACTCAGTGTGCCATTCCGAACGCCATCACGAAAGCCTTGATGCCCACCCAGATGGATAATTGAGCTGTGCCTTCCTCTATAAAAGACGCTTCTACCTGCGCATTCAAAAGAAGCCTTGGGCATTCACTCGTGTGAAGAATCAATCAAGTCATTGTACAAGACGATTCCATGTTACTGAGCCAGCATTTAGACGGCCATGTCGAATTCTCGTTCATCATCGCTCGACGTCAACTTCAGCACGTGTAATAAGTATGTTGTTTCGAGGCTGTGAGTCAATCTATGCTAATGTCATCCCAGCTCCAATAGCCGACCACACTTGACGTCGGAAGAGCTGCTGCGGCTTCAAGACGAACGGTTAAGAATGTACGTTGCCGACAGCAGCAGTAGCCTAATAGAGCGTCTCTGGGACCAGGCAAATGTTGAAAGCCAAGCCCATCCTCCAGCCCAGTCTGGCAGCGACCGGGGCAATTCTCGTCCCCAGGAAACTACCTAGGTACAGATAAGCAACATGGGACATAGTATCTTCGGGTATAAAAGCTTATGATATGGTGGCACAGGCTACTCGAGGACAAGGAATTAATTGTGTTGTCATGTTGCGCGTCATGCCAACCCCTGTATCTATCCCCCTGTCGTGCTTCCACACATCTATATCTCGCATTTCAATTCCATATCCATTTTTGTCTTAGTCTCTGTGGTACTGCATTGTCATATCCTCTCATCCACTAACCTGCCCAAGGTTGCTGGTTTATACAAGAGCTATCTTGCTACAGCGGCGGAAGCCGATGGAGTATTGGGCAGTTGAGGTTGAACTCGTGTGACAAGATTGAACAACCGTTGTGGAATGGCACACAACTTGCTCGGCATGCCTGCCTACTGCCTACTGCCGTAACCAGGTTCAGCCCCTGAGTGGCGCCTAATGCCCGTCTCTCAACTGCGAACTCGATAGGAAAGGCAGAAGCATTGAAAGAAACAATCATTGATGGTAAAATCCTCTACCGGAGCTGGCCGGCATCTCATTACTTACAGCCTGGTGTGGGTCCCTTTTGTGTGAGTTGTCTTCCAAGGTTGTTTGCGGCACTAAGAATAAGCCCATGCGCCTTCACAAAGAATTTTAGCTGATCCTTGATAACTTTTGTCTCGCGAGGTCAGGCTCTGCAGACAGGTATTCGGACCCGATAAAACCGTGCGACCACACCACTCTTGCTGCGCGTCGATGCTGAAACGTGAAATGGCCACTCCTTATGCTGGTGAGATTTATTTGCGGCCCAAATGACCGTGGGAATATCAAGAGGGCGGCCAGTAGGATTGATTCGACACGGAAAGCACGCATTTCCACAGCCTGCTTTGATGTCCTGTTTCAGCCCTACCACCATCATACGGGCGTGGCGCATGTGCAATATTTCTTGGACGGCCGAGGACATTTAACCTGACGAGTTGTCTGGGCTACATGCAAAGGACTTTGCCAGCCGCGAACTGGTGTAGACAGTCGCCACCACAGCCCAGCGTTGCAATACATCAGCACACTTGGGTCTTGTTTCGGGTGCCACGTTGCACAGCATGCAGAGGAGCCATCTCGCGTAACTATACAGGCGTGCCGGATGATGAAGATCCGTATGTCGTACCTGGGAGACTTGACAGGCAACGGGTGTCCCCCGGGACCCAAGTTGGACAGGGGAGCACTATACCGTAGCGGCACCAGTCTCCACAGATCCAGTAGAATTAAACGATATTAGCACAAAATATAATGTGGCTCGCGGGCCATCAGAGGAGAGGAGAGAGGGGAAGTGATACTTCACATCTGAAAAGTCAGCTTTTCCCGCCCCCGCGGTCAGCGTGTTAGCGACGATGGTTTTCACGACCTCCCCCAGGCTGCCGTCCCTCCCCGATGGCAAGAGTGGCGGGAGGGGCCGTTCAGGCATAGGGACTGTGCCGAAAGCCGACGGCGATTTCTAAAAACACTGAGAGAATGGGAAGGAAAGTTTCCCGTACAACACATTTAGAAGCGAAGGGGCCAGTAAGTCGGGTCAGCACCAGCGCGGGCGCTGCCGATACCATTATATGTGCTCTCAGAAGGATTCTGTGACGCTCTCATGCCGGTCCAGCCTCCAAGCAACTTCTTGACTGAAGGAGGGTTTTGCATTTGCAGATTCCATCCCGGTGCTCCAATCTTGGAGCAGAGGATAACCGGATCGAGCAACACTTCACTCAACACCCAGGCACATCTCCAAGATTTCCAAGACCTGCTCCTTTCTCTCAAGAGGGATCACATTGAACTGGGAGCAGACATCCTTGAGGCTGCTCTCCGCGATGGCGTCGAGCTTGTCCCTCCCTACCCCGTACTCTGCAAGTGTCCTCGGGAAGCCCAGCTCGCGGATCACCGCGTCCAAGGCGTCGCCCAGGTCTGCCCGCCCCTTCACAAGCGAGTGCTTTGTGAGCGCCGCCGCAGTCTCCGGGTCATCCCAGAACGCGTCGACCACGAGCGCCTGTTGCTGCGCATTGACCTTTGCGTTGAACTTCTGCACAGCCGGAAGGCATATGCAAGTCGTTTCGGCATGCGGGACCCCCACGGGTCCAAGTTGGTGTCCGATGCCGTGTGATCCGCCTGTAATGATTCAGCCAGCCTGCTCCTAGGGACAGGCAACAAAGGTCCTATGTGAAGTCAGTTTGAACGTACCGACTTTGACATCATAGAGGTTCGCTGCCCGCATGCTCTCTGCTGCACCCAGTTGACACCGCAACCGGGCCTCGAGGTCGCCTGGCTCCTGCTTCGTCCTCAGCAGGCCCGGTATGAGCAGCTTGAGGCCGTGGAGCGAGTGCTTGGTCCCCTCCGGCTTGGGGTTTGAGCTGCAGATTGTCTCCACACAGTGATCTACAGCCCTAAGGCCAGTGGAAAGCCACACTCTCTGTGGAGTTGTCTGCGTGAGTGCAGGATCCCTAAGCGCGATATCAGTGACTGGCTCCTCGGACTCATGCACGGCCAGAAGACTTGCCTCTCAGTACACTTACATAATAATGACAGATATCCCGACCTTCCCAGGATTCTGAAAAAGCTGCTTGTGATGGGTGGCATCGTTGGTTGCGCCACCCGGCGGGTTGAATTCGCCGGCGCTGAGCGTCGTGGTGACGGACATTACAGGAATCACTGAATTGTGGACGGTCTTTGGAGCCCCCTCAGGCACTGGCTTGTTGAACCTGAGTGCAAGGCTGGTCCGGAAGAGGAGATCCATCGTCTCAACGTCGCTGACGTCGTTGGCTAAAGCCTGGGGAACAGTGAGATCACAGCTTAGTGCAGTGACGGGAGACTTACAAGAGACACAGCCTTGGCTCCATCAATGAGACTGCCACCCCCTACGGTGATTATCGCGTCTGCACCCGATTCCTTGACCTCATGCGTGACCTGTAGGACTTCGGAGTAGTACGTGTGCGGCCGCATACCGATATGAGTCCCTACCACCTTGACATTGTCACTGTCAAGAGCCGTTCTAAGCCTCTTGACTACATCTGTGGCTTTGCTGAGCGACTCAGATATCACCAGGAACGGCTTCACTTTGTTGAGTGTCGTGGCCAAGTGCTTTGCGCAGGCTTCCGGGTAAGGCAACCCGTGAGTGATGATGGGGAACTCCCTGTTAGGGTCGAATCGTTGAACGCTCTCGGTTGCCATATTGGGCATTTCAGTGCCTTTCCAGGTGTGTCGTGTCTCGCACAAAACAAGCACAAGATGTGAATTGAGCAGGATAACTACCGAGACGGGGATTTATTAGGAAGCGGGGTCGACATTTGGACAACTTCATGATGACACATTCCCTGTAATATTTTCCTACGTCAGACTGGCTAGTCTATGAAACCTAGATACGGCGTATCATCCAATTACAGGAACAGACTGCTGCATGTCATGGTTCCTCTAGATTAAATCAGTCGACAGCGTTCAGATGCATACGCAGTGAACCATGTCTCAGCGAAAAACACATCAGCAAGTGAAGTGTTGACCATGTACATGTCAGCATGCGAATCGGGCAAGCTACGCCGACGGACTGGAACGGCTGAGAATCCAGGACGGAGTAAATGTATCTATTGACTTCAAATTGGATAAGTTGCTTTGGTATTCGTGTACAACACCGTCTGCGAGGTTGCGAGACAGAAAATTCCCTGAAATTCCAGCCATGTTGTCCAACTTGACCCAGCCTCAAGTTGAAGGTTTGCCTCACTCATATGATCGCCTGGAACCCCCCCGGGGGCTCCAATCAGTTCAATGCATTGGGAGGTAGACTTGATGGTGGGTAGCAAAGATCAGTATAATCAGGCTGTGCCAACAGATCACCTAGTCAGCAAAGGGCCACACAACTTTCTGGATCCATTTGGGAACTCACGTTATTGCCCCACCAGGCTGGCATTGTCACTCCAGGCAAGTTGATGGCGAACATGATGATGGTGGCACAGACCTGGGTACCGCAGTCTAGACCAGTCCCCAGCAGGTAGTTGTACTTGCGGAACCACACGGGGTGTACTCGGAGGATATAACCCATGAAAACCAGAGAAAGCAGGGCGGATGTCATGAGATTCGTCGTCTCGTAGACGGGGAAGATGGTACCGCCGTAAAGCAGCATTGTCATATTGCATCGTGTCTCGATGCTCCAATCCGGTTTGTACCTGTGGACGACGAAAGTGATGGCCACCAGGGCAGGGCCGATGAGGAACGAGTAGTAGATCCAGCTGTAAGGGGAGCCCTTGTCGAAGAGAACCTTGGGGCCCAAGATACCCCATAGCACCGAGAGTGAATAGTAGCTCTTCGTCTTCAGGGCGAGCCAGGCATTCGAGTCCATCTTCCCGATCAGGGTCTCCTTACCGACTGGGCCATTGTTAGAGAACCATTTCTTTCTCAACCGCCCCAACGGCTGCGGAGGTTGAAGACGACTTACTGTGGTCTATCACTAGGCGCATGATGCCATAGTTGATGAAGGGTCCTAGCAAAGTGCCGTAGACTTGGCCCCAGAACATCTCTTTCTCCGGGATCTTCATGTAGAACCCAAACTTGTAGTCCGAGGTTAGATTGAGGTTCTGTTCCAGGATCTGCCGGCCGTACGTCATGCAAGTGAGAACCGCCGTCGGGTTCCCTGGGAACATGGCTCCAGCCATGAGCTCTGATAGAAATGCCATCCCGACCTGGACATTGGCCACACCCCATAGGATCCCGTTCGGAAAAGTGCAAATGACCGAGACGAGCGTGATGACAATGAAGCCCCACCAGGGCAGCCCCATCTCCGCGCCATAGATGCAACCCAAGGACAAGGCCAGGCAGGGAATTAGGAGCGCAATGTACCACCAGTGCGGTACACGCTCTGTACGGCTCATGAGCTTCAGGTACGGGTCGTTGTAGTCATCTCGGACGTTCTTGAGCGCATCGCGGAAAGCCTTGTACGAGTCTTTGCCGTACCACAGTATCGAGTAGGCCAAGGCGGCTGTGGATGCGGCGAACCCGAAGAAGAAATACATTGCGTATGATGTGGACCATCGGGGAGGGGAGTAGGCGTCCATTGCCGTCTGGTTGAGGGTGTATTCGGGCGTGAGAATGCGACTGATGTTGTAAGTCTGCCCAGTGAGGTCGAAAGTGCCAGAAGACATTGGCGGATAGTTTTGCGAGTTGATTGTGTTAGTGAAGTACATGATGGGGTACAGCATCCAGCAGCAAAAGATGGCACCAGCGATCTGGTGCGCGTTTGCCCATAGCGGTGTGTAAAGGGGAGAGAGGAAGCTGGCATAGTTCCAATCTAGTGTGAAGTCGAGCATTCCGAAGCCATCTTCTGTGTGTCAGCTTTCCTATCCCAAATTGAAAAGGGCGGTATCAAAGGCGATACCCGAGGACTCGCTTGGATTGCATGCACTTGGGTCTGCTGCGAGATTATACTTACAGTATCCCGAACCCATCAAATAGGCCTTCCATTGCCCATGCCCAAAGTAGCACAGCAGAGGAAGGGACGAGAGGAGGGGGAAAATGAAGCCAGGAATCCACTGATAGCAAAAAGTAGCGCAGGCGACAATGGCGAAGAATTTCAGGGACTTTTTGGTGACGGAGGGGTTTTTGTGCATGGCGTTGAATAATGCCACATTCGGGAGGACTTCGACGGGTCAGCGGCAAGATTGAAAAGCAGGGGATGGGACAAACGAATGCAAATGAAACCTATTTACCTCCGGGATAGTAGATCTTGGGCGGGCGAACGAGGATATCACGGTATATGCCTGTGAAGGCGTACCCGATCATCTGGGAAGTCAACAAGAAACAGATGCCCCAGCCAGCGTTGATTTTACGGCCGTAGTACAGTTCCAACGCGGATAGTGGCCCAAGACCTGACCGAGAGTTAGTTTGACGAGTCATCAAGTTACGAGGTAGCAGGTTGGGTGGCAGGAGATTGGGGACCCTAGTTGACTTTTTCTTGTGGACATGCCCCCCGGGAGGCATGTGGTAACTCACCATAGGCAGCGTAACAAGAACCCCAGTATGCGACGACGATCAAGGCGTGTTCCTTTGCGTTCCATGGGCCTGGATTCAGGCTGAAAGATTTTCCAAAGATGGAAAATGTCCTCTTGGGGAGATACTTGGCCACTGTGTGGTTGTTAGTGGTCTTTTCCTGCCCGTGTGGAAGCAGACCGGTGCTTCCTCAGCTCTGACGGCTGTTACATCTTGTCCAAACAAACAGCAACCATAGAGTCACTGTTGACTGGACAGACTCGGCCAGGCGCCCACTTACTTGCGTCTCCCATGCCCCATGAAAGCAACTGGACCGCGTAGGAGCTGAGGGTTTGGTAGTATGGTTTGAAGTAGTACATGGCCGAAATTGCGCAACCAACGACCACCCAGAACGTGGAAAGAAACCAGAAGCGAAACGTGAGAATGGGCTCGCTGCGGACATGTCAGGCTGTGTCTCGCTGAAAGTGCTGCTACGAGCCTACTCACTCGAAGTCATTGTGCAGGTCAACCGTCTTCGCGACCAGGGGATTCGGATCTGGTACGAGCCAGCATGTTGTGATTAGCCTTCGTAACATTACATCTCTTCAAACATGATTTGTAGGCGTGTGGGTGTGCTCGGGGAAGCACAAGCATCGTACGTACAGTCCTTCAGACGAGGGTCAATGAACTCTTCATTGTCCTCCGGCACATAAATTTTGGCAGCATCATCGTAGTCAGAATCCGGACCCGCAGACACGACTTCGATGTCCTGGTTCTTCTCATCGTACGGTTGGGTATGTTGAGTGGTCTTGTCCCTCGTAGGCTCACTCGGCTGTGTGATCTCCGAGAGTGTAGGGCCGTCTGGCCCGCCATCAGGAATGACAGCCATGATGATGGGAGGTGATTCAAGTGGGAACAATGGAGAATCTCCTGTGCAAGAAACCTGCCAGCCTTGGAATGACCTTCAGTGAGACACGCGACTTGGGACAAGTAGGAGTGGGCTCAGTAGGCTTTATACCTGGTGGCCGAGGTGCCGGTTCAAAGCAACAGCGCAGTGCCCATGGATAGCTCCTCACCCAAGATCAGTATCGCCATGTCGCCACCAGTCGGAAAGGGCACAGGATTTCCGTCGTATTTGATGCAGAGAAGGCGGGGTCGATCCATCAATCTGGGAGTGGGTGTGTGCCTGGGGTAGACGGGGTGATACGACGTGCTCGTTATCTCCCGCTACATGATTCCAGAACCCAAGAAGATTCGGTAGCTTCCTCTTTCAGGGATAGGTGGACCCTCATGTCCAGAAATTCCGAGGCAGATGCAAGCCTACAGCCCGTATCGCACCGGCTGAATGGTACCGCATGCTCTGGTTTCGCATCTTTGGGAAGGGGGAAAGTGAGAGGTTCGCCCCCGAGAAACGGGGCAAATTGAGCCTTGAGTCTAACAGCGGTTAGTAAAGCTAGATTCTATGGCCTCTGTCTTTGTTATCAGCGACCACGGCTTGCACGGCCATGGCAACGTATCGTCAAGTCGTGCCACAGCGACGACCGGGGCAGACATGATTGAAACAAGGGTGGGCCATGTCGATGCACATCAAGGCCGATTGCAAAGACCAAGAAGAAGGAGAGCGCGTACGGAGTAGAGAAAGTACTGTGGTATGTCATGGTGGCATGCAGGCTGTCTGGCTGTGGGATGCAACTCTCACCGCCCGGTCCTGAGTGCCACCGTGCTCATGATCGTGGCACGGCGGCAGGGCTTGTCTGATCCTTTTGGCCATCGTGATTGACGTTACATGTGCAGTGGCACTACGCGTGGCCAATGAGGCGGGTGGTGACTGCAACACCAGCGTGCCTCCCACGTGCCCGCGATTCCGCCATGTCCCTCCTCTGGGGGAGGGGGCCGGGGGCTGGAGATAAGGAGAATCCATCGATCCATTCATCCTTGCATCCGAAAGACCGGACGACAGCGCGGTGACGTGATCGACCGTTGAGAGACGCGTTCCGTTCTGGAAACAGATAGGCTTGAATGGAGGAGAGGATGATACAAAGCAGCAGGGCCGAGGTTTGCAGCCAAGCCCGTGGTTGCCGGGAGGCCGCTAGGAACGGATGCTTATCTGGCGCCGTTGGTGGAAGACGTGGTATGGCTGGTACTTGGGCCTGGTTTGTGCGCCTCAGAAACATACCTACTCAAGGACATATAGTAATGTACTTGACTGGGTAGTAGGTAGGAAGATACAAACAAGGCAGGTCGTCGGGCCACATCCGCATCTTGCATCCTGTTTGGGAAAGGCCCTTAGTACTGCAGCCCTTCCTAGCCCAGCCCTGCGGGACCGTCTTGGCCAATGCTTGACAGATGCTTCGACGGTGCGGCTACGGGCCCAATTTTGTCACATACACTATCACCACCACAACTTCCAAAAAGCAACTGTGGCTTACCCGGGGGCCTGAGCAGAGCAAGACACCACGCCCAGGATCAGAACGTCACAACATTGTCTCGAATTGCCAGAGTCTTCCAGATACCAGGCGAGTAAAGGGCAAGCCCCACCCACACTCAGGCACATGCATGCCAGAAACAGAGAAACCCATAAAGGACATGAGGAAATAGAAGACCAAGAACGAATCGAAACACATGAACCTTCTCTCGCCCAGCTAACCTTACATGGACCGTCAATGTCGATGGCACAGCCTCCAAAAGGGGGAACGTCCAAGAAGCTGTTACCAGCCCAACACCGCAAAGAAAAAAAAGCAAAGTCGTGGGGCCACCGTACATTTGTCATAAAGTGTTGGGCAAAATGAGACAAATTGACCTCCCGTCACCGGCCTTCGGCCCGCCTCACGCAGAAGGAGCATTGGCAGTTCCTATTCCCCAGTACTGCTCCGCGTAGAACGTTGGCGGGTCCGCCTTCTTCCACAGGTCGTTGAACGCCGAGAAGAGGACCATGTCCTGCGGGTTGCTGGCGAACGCCGCCCGGATGCTGCTGATAGCCGCCGCCTGCTGCTCGACCCCCGGCACCGCCTGTCCGTTGGCCGAGCCCTGCCATGGCCAGCCCGACTCGGTCACGCGCACGCGCGCAGACGGGTCACCCAGCTTGTTGCGGATGTTCTGCACCTGGTTGGCCACGAACACCCCGGCCTGCCCCGGCGCCGTGTTGGGGTCGAAGAACGGGTGGATGTTGCACGCGCAGTAGTCGCTCGCCTTGCACAGCTCTGGGTGCGCCAGCACGGCCACGAATGTGTCCACCGTCACCACCGGGCCCGTCCAGCCCGACTGCTTCAGCAGGGCCCTGCCGCTCTTGAGCGCGTCCAGGATCTGCTGGGGGGACGCCTGCCCGTTGTTGACCAGCTCGTTGCCGATGCTGACCGTGTCGACGATCGACCAGTCCTTCTGGATGCCCTGCACAAGCGTGGCGATCTGGTCGCCCAGGTCGTCGAGGCTGAAGATGCCGAAGAACACCTTGAGGTTGTTGGTCTTGGCGGCGGCGTAGACGTTGGGGATCTGGTTGCAGTCGATACCGTACACACGCACGAATCCGTACGTCTTGGCGATGACACCAAAGTCCTGCATGATCTGGGTGGCCGACTTGCAACCGCCATCTGCGTTGTAAGGGGCGTACGCCACCCCGAAAAGGCCATCGCCCGTGGCATTATTGACGGGCGAACCGGGACCTTGCGGCGGCGAGCCACCCGTGGGGCCTGCTGGTACTCCAGTCACAGTTCGGGTACCAGGAGGCGAATGGGCTGCCTTGCCCACCGCCGACGCACTGCTAGTAGGTGGGACGAGGACGACTATAGCCTCCGCCGTCGTCACAGGCGTGCCGTTCTTGTCGACAAAGACAACGATCTCCGGCAGTGAGGTCGCCTGGGTGCGCGAGCTGTCCGTGATCGTGACCGTCTTGCCCGCTAGATTGAGCGACCTGGCAGCGAGATTGTTGGCCTGGGCATGGTCGTGACCCAGGCGGCGGTGGTGGTGGTGATGGTTATGCTCCGCGGCTGCCAGGGAGAGCACACCAAGGCCAGCCACAGCTGTGGTGATGGGTCGCATTTTGGACCAGTTTGGCTGTGTCAAGGGAGGCTACGAGGGTGTCGGGTTTGAACGAGTGTATGACTGACTGAGTCGACGAGACACGAGAGAGTGTCGTTGAGCAGCTTCAGGGGTGGCAGGATGGGAATGGCCAGTTGGTCAAAAATGTCCGTTGGGAACAGAATTATGATCGGTCCACGGGCGCCTGCCTGCGGCTGCTGATGTTATGCATTCCAGGAGATGACAAGAGGGTCGTGCCTCACTCTGGGCATCCACAACCTGTCCACAGAACACAGGAACGACCAAGGCTCTTGGCTCCATCGCACCTCCTCGAGCGGATTCTGTGCCTTGTCCGTGACAGCATGACTGCCCAGGTGGACAGCCCTTCGTTCAGCACCATCATCTCGCCTTCAATAACCTGTGGTTGTATCCGTCCTTGTTATCATCCTGCGGGTTGCGCGGACGCCCCATTCCTGGCCAGCTTTGGCCTCGCAGATCACACTGCGGCGGTGGCTGCCAAGGCAGCTGGGCGGTCGCAATGGAACGGGAAGAGATGGGGGTGTGTTATTCCAATCTCACTTTGTGTCTTGCCCGAGGAACCAATTGACGCACGGGATACGGGGTAAGACAACACAGGCAGAGGCAGATTGGATGATTGAGCAAGGGCGCTTGGCACCCGAAGATGTATTATCCTCCATCATTAAATAAGTCTAGTTCCTCAAGTATTGTTGACCGCAGCGCCATTCTTGGGTGAATCGAAGGCAAGTCAGCCAAAACCGCAACCATTACTTTGCTGTGATCTTTTGAATACCGTGAATGCTGTACTTCTTGAGCCGCAACGTATCAAGATGCAGGGCGCAATGGGGACGAATGATGGCAGTTAAAACATTCGCATATCCAGTGGTCATGACCCAGGCAACGTCAGCTTGCTACTCGTCTTCCTTGTCATGACTTTGGTGATCGCATGCCGGATGGTTATTGCTGCCTTCTCAATCTCCTTCTTGGAAAGGCCATTCGTAACACACACTTTCAAGGCAGGTTGTGTATGACCGCCGCCAACGCTCTTGTTGATCAGGGCAGTCTTGAGCCTGGTTATCATGACACCGTTTGCAAGGGCCTGGGTCGTTCAATGTTTAGCCAAGGCACAAGAGGGAGGGAGGACCCTTGGGGAACAAAGCTCACCTCATCAACGCATTCCTGCAATACTCGGTCCTGATCCTCAAAGGACAATCTTCTCGACTGAACCACATTCGGCTTGATGACTAGCATCAGAATCGGGTTTTCCTGCGCACTGGTGCACATGACCCAGTCGCTCCGTGGGTCCAGCTGGGCGCGCACCGCGCGTATGTTCTCTCGCGAGGAGGCAAGGATTTCGGGGCTAGACTGCAGCATGTTGAGGGTCTCGCTCGCCGTCACGGCGAGCATGGCGGGTAAAGCCGCCGAGAAGGTGTACGCCATCGAGGCAATCCTCTGGTGGGCCACGACGTTCTTATCGCCAGCACAGAAGCCCCCGCCAGCGCACAAGGGGCCAGCCAGCGAGCCGATGATCATGTCGACCTGGGCAGGGTCGACGTTTTGCGCCTCGGTGACACCACGGCCTGTTCGACCGAGGACACCAAAGGACCAGGTCTCATCTAGAATCATGCGGAACTTGTACTTCTCCTTGAGTTCGATCTGTGCGATGGGATCGTCAGCTTTCAGGCAAGGGGGATCTCTGCAGGAGTCGCTGTCCCTACCATGCGTGGCAAGTCAATCGAGGCGCCCGTGGTCTCGGAGAGGCCCTCGGCCACGAGGAAGCGCCTCGTCAGCTTCTTTTGTTTCTTCTGGTCCTGGGCAACTTGTCTCATGACGTTTTCCAGATCGTCCCAATCGCCTGGGTTATACCACTTGATTGTACACCTCGACAGCTCAATGCCCTTGCGGACGGGGTAGTTGGTGGCGCGATCGGTAACAATGACGTCGCCCCTTTTGCAGAAGGCCGGGATAACACTGGAGCTGGTGGAGAAGCCTTGAGCATACAGGATGCATGCCTCGGTCCCCAGGTAGGCAGCAACGTCGGATTCGGTCTTCATGTGGACGTCCTGTGTTCCGTAAAACTGCGGAGGTCCGCAGGGGCCGACGCCGTAAGTGCGCAGGGTGTTTATGGCCTTCTCCTTGATCTGCTCGTTGGCGTTGAAGTTGTACACATTGTATGAGGCCAGGTTCGTGACGGTTCTGCCATTTGCTAGCTTGACCTTGGGACCAGTTGCCCTGCGGGTGACACCCTCTCATTAGTTTTGCCCTTGTCTATGGCCGTGGCCAACACGGAGGGAGAACAAACCCAACTATCACAGGAAGCCTCTCCATCTCCATCTCCTCGGCGGCGTTCTGCTTGCCAACCAGAGGCTCGGGCTGCCATTCTTCGACGAGCTCCTCGATCTCGTCCTCGCTGAGCTTGACGTAGTTGGAGTCGTTGGTCGCGTAGGACGGGCTCAAGAGGTAGCGGATGAAGAAGATGAGCAGGAACAGCTCGAAGATGGAGCGGATTGGGTCATTTTGGTAGCTGGCCTGGACGTAACGGATGAGGACGGCAGACCCGGGCACCTTCTGGAAGGTCTGCGAAGCCTCGCGCAGCAGCACGGCCACCTGTGCCTGGATCTCGTGCAGATCCATGGGTGATGGTGCCTCGTCTAAGCTGCTGGTCGCGACGTAGAAGAGACCGGCGATGTCGCGCGCAACGTACCGAGGGTCCCTGACGCAGTAAGTGGCCGGGTGCGATAAGGAGATGTTGCTGGCGATTGAGGAAACAACAACCCTGGAAGAGAAAAAAAAGTTAGGTCCCAGGCAGAGTGACGGTGATCAATGGAAGCGCGTCGTCGTTGCCGTGTCGGGCCGGGGCAGGATCAGAGAGGATCAGGGGCGATATTGCACTAGCAAGCGGTAACCGACCCACTGCGTTGGCGTGGGCCGATGAAACCCACCCAATGTGCCAGTCAGTCTTGTCAGCGTCACCAAAGTACCGGGTACATACATACCGAGTCACCCGCCCTTCCACGATCCATCCACAGCCCGCTTACATAACAGGTCATCCGCATGAAAGTCCTCATTACGCGGTACAGTACCCAGGAGGCACCCTAGGTTCTGTCCACAACGGTAGCGCATGGATTGCTGGAGGCTTTCACCAAGAGACAAAATGACGAAAAGGCTCTCTTTAGTAGCATTGCGACCTATGCATAATTCACGCCACGACCCAACGCATTACTCTATGACTAGGGCCAGCAGTCCCATCTCACGCGCAGCATGAGTCTGGGAAGGAGACCGACTGCTTCCTTCGCCGATGACGTCGATCTCGCCCCGGCCCATGAACAATTGTCGAGCGACTGACCAACTAATGCGGCAAAGCAGATCCTTGATTGTAGCTTCCAGACTTGAATTAAATATGCCATTCATGATGCCGCCTCAAGGCATCCAGAGAACGCATCCAGAGAAGTATAGAATGCGTGCCCGAGTGTGCGTGTGTGCGTGCCGGAGGGGCAAGTCTAGACAACCATTTACCATGCCCATGAACCTTTCATATACTTGTCGAAAGGACGCACAAAAATCAAATACAATGTACTCCCCCGGCCCCCCAATGGCAAAAGCAAAGAGCAATAAAAACACCGTTCCATGTGCAAAGGTCCCTCCCTCTTTTCTTCTTGTGATACAGACCCAGCCACCTTAGAAGAGACGAATCTTGGCGGCGTCTCCCGTGCTTGACGCCGCCGCAGAGGAAGCCCCAGTCATTGTCAGCAGTGCTCCCGAGTACGAGGGACCAGCAGTGCCTGTGTCGCTTTCCCCGATGGTGTTGTTCTTGTCCAGGCCTGTGGGTTGAACCAGGTTTGTGCTTTCAAGCATATCAAACAACGACGACGGCACGTACTTGCCCGCCAGGCTTGGACCCACCATCAGCACCAGGAACAGGATCAGCAGAATGAAGTAGAGCAGCGCATAGCGGAAAACGCGCTTCCTCCTCAGCTTGGACTGCTTGAGCGAGTAGATGGGTGGCCGAATTTGCCGGCTGCAGGGCCGTGTTAGCGTTTCTGTTCTCAACATGGGGAGCGTGTCAAAACATACCTAGGACGGAGCCAAAAGAGCATAATGGAATGCAGCTTGTCCACCTGGGGAATCAGGATCACAGGACACATTATGAACAGGAGTGCGTGTCCCAAGATGAAGTCGCCAGCAAAGAAGCTCAGCTCGGTGATCTTGCAGAGGAACTCTCGTGCAGGCTGCGAGACTGAGTGCCAGCCCATCGAGTACCATTTGCCGGTCCAGAAGGCGATATTGGCCTGGTCAGTCTTCATCTCTCTCGTCAGGGCGAAGGTGATGATTACTTTCATCACCCATCGCTGCACAGCAATGACCGCGATCATGCCGCTCATCGTGCGGGTGAAGTTAAAACCCTCAAGAACGTAGAGCACCTCGAAAAAGACGAGGAGCATGATGACGGCGATCGCGTGTGCAATAGCGGCGAGTACGCTGCCGAATTTCTTGCAACACATGCTGAACAAGGGTCCCATGCAACAAGCCATGGCGAAGAAGACAGCACACACGCCAGCGTTGACGGCAATGGGACCGAATGCGATGATACCAACACGCAGCAGCGCCGCCGTGGGCTTGGCGTCCTCGTTGTTGTCCTTTAGGACCCCACTTGTGTCATGGACTCCAGTCTGCGCATTGATGAACAGATAAGGAATCAGGGTGACAATGGCGAGAAGCAGCGGCGCGATGATCTCGGCAAAGAAGACATTAGTCACGTGAGCACGTGCCACATCGGCCGACAGCTTGCCCGAAGGCTCGCCCACAACCTTGCGCTTGTATCCAGTGAGCCGTGTACGAGACAGACGGCAGTAGGCAATCCAAGACGACGCGTGAGACACAGAGTTGCCGCGAGAAAGCCACCGGAGGAACTCTCGGTAGTCGATGAAGAAGTCGTTCCATGCAAACTGGTGAGGGTTGTAGAGGAACGGCGAGATGCAGAGCGCGAGCAGAGACATCCAGAAGTAAACCAGGGCAGCCTGCCAGACAGTCAGGGTTGCAAACAGCAGCATCAACAGCATGCGAGCTCCAAAATAAATAGACGGCCCGGCAAAACGCGAGAACAGGATTCCGAAGGGGATACGAGCGGTGGCGAAGCCACGGCCCGTACCAATGTATCTGGCACCTCCGAATGACAGGTTCTGTTGTACCGCGTTGGCATAGATCTGACAGACGAACACCTCAAAGAAGGGCGACAAAGAGCAGATCTGCTTGGCCAGACGGGTCGAAGCGCGGAGTACGCCGCGCTCAGTGAGCTCCTGAACAACCAGAGGCACGAATGCCAGGAAGATGACGAAGATAATGGAGATAACACTGCGGTAGACCCAGTCCATCAACGCGGGGGTGTTCTGGCAACCAGTCGGGTACAAAGGATCCGTGATAGGGACGTCCCTGTTGTAGTTGCAGGCAATGGTCTCGTGTCGAAGGGCCCCGAGGTTGATCAGGCAGAGCATAAACATGTGAACCGAAAGCATGATGAACATGTTGTTGACGTGGAATCCGGGATGTGCGTAGTAGAATGAGAGGAATCTGTCCAGGGGCAGTTGGGTGCCCAGGTAGTAGTACTCTCGAGAGAGCATCTGTTCACCCATACCTGTTCCGATCTTGGTCGTGAAGTTAAGAATGGAGCCAAAACCCAGATCACGACCCTTACCACACTGGTAATATTCACAGTGCTTGATGCGGCCACCACGTAGGACGGCATTCATACCGGCGTAAATATCCTCGTTCAGGTGCAGACCCTTCTGCGCCTTGGAGACACCTCCTCTCGTAGTCATGTAAATACCGTTGAGGAAATCGGGGTGACCGTAATGGAGCTTTCCGCCGATCTGGGCCAAGGTACGAGCGAAGAGGGTTCCGAATGTCTGTTCCTTTCCGGCGGCGACGTCACCAAGGATACCGATATTCTCAGAGAAAATGTATTCACGGGCACCAAGGATAGCAACAGGGGCAGGAGACTCGTTCTTGACTCCGGGAGTGTAAGGGGAGACGTTGTCAGTCTTCATCTCCTCGAACTCAGCAAGTACGCTTCGAATCTTCAAGCACTCCTCAAGGTAGTTGTCCTGGTTGGCGTCGATGAGCTGGATGTATTCACCCCGGTAGAAAATGATCGAGTGGTTCTGGTTGTCGGACTTGCCATCTCCCAGGATGGGGTTGCCAGAGAGTTGAATTCGGAACTTGGGCTTCCGCATGCCGTTCTCCATGAGCTCACAGTGGCCGTCGATCAGGGCCGAGTACAAACGCGGTTCCTCACCCTCGTTCGCGGGTGGCTCCTCATCCAGGTAAGCGATCTGCAAGTCGGGATATGCGCGAAGCAGGAACTCGGCGTTCTCCATTTCTTCCTTCTTGAACTTGGCGTATCGTTGCATGGAGACACAGATCTTGAACTTGCGGCGAGCCATACGCTCCAGCTCACGTTCGAGCTTGTCAGAGTTGCCGCCGAACATCTGGACGACTTCGGGGTTCTCAACGCGGTAGAGCAGCTTGATAGCACGGCTGTAGTTCATGAAACCAGAGATCGTACGGTAGAGAGTCTGGAAGCGCAGGGAAGCCCAGATACGGGTGCGCAGCGTGTACTCTGGGGCGGAAGACTTGAAACCGATGCAGTAGAAGGGGAGATCGTCGATCTTGCTCTTGGCGGTGTCCTTCTCAGCCTTCTCCTCGTCGCCATTGTACTGGGCGGTCTCGTCCGACAGGATCTTGGTATCCTTGACGAAGCAGTCCCACTCGTGGGGGTGCAATTGCTTCAAATATTCAAGGAGGGTCACACGAGAGTACGGCTCATCCTCACGGATGATTTCTCGTAGTGAGAGCAGAATCTTCTCGCTGTAGTGGGGAATTAGGACTGTGAATGTCGGCATGTTGTCCACGGGAAGCGGCTCAGGGATTGGAGTGGACAGGGATTGCGCGAAGAACGAGATTCGACGCTCTGCCTCACTGTGGCTGGGGAAGAATTCCGTCTTGAAGGAGTGATCCTCCTGCGAGACGAAAAAGGTCGGGGCACGTAGTGTCCGCTTACCCTCCTGCTCGGAAGGCACCTGGTGGTAGAGAAGTTTCTGCACGTGATCGATGGCGAGCAGATGCTCTCGGTACATGGAAATGACGATGGCGTTCCAAATCTGGGAGATGAGCACCTTCGGCTTGTATTTGATCTCCATGTCGGTTGTGGCCAACACTTTTGAGTAAATTCGCTTGGGCAGACGGGAGAAGACGTTCCTCCAGGGCGTCATGATGGAAGAACCCAGATAGAACGATCTGGCGATGGAGACCACGGCGTTCATGAGCACGTACCACAGGTATGTGTCGAGGAAGAAGAAAACCAAGTCCGTGAAAGCCATCAAAATCAGCAGGATCGTCGGGTGGTACTTGCAAAGGTTGTTTCCGATTATCGTGTCGCCCAAGCAGCTACTGGTGTCCATTATGGCCAAATAGCGGATGGTGTCACGGAACGACAAGGTCAAGAAGCCGTAAGATTCACCGAACTTGGCGCCAAAAATAACAACCCACAGCCCGTAAGACATGGCCATGTCGTTGCCCTTCAGTCGAGGCCAACTCGCGGTAAATGTCTGGCTGGCCACATAGCGTCGAGATTTCTTGCTCACCAGGTAGCTGCCGAACAGTCCACCAAGAGGCATGAGGGCGAAGAAGATCAAGGTGATGAGGGCGATGAAGAACTGCACAATACCGAGAGCCAGGGCGATTGTGGTGTTTTGGTGTGCGTTGTAAGCCGATATGGTGTCCTGTGGTAAGAAGACGTACACGCCAGGCGCGACGTTGATCACAAAGACCAGGAGGAGGAACAACAGTCGCTTGGTAAGATGCTGAGCACCGGCCCATCGCCTGGGAACGTAAGCCCATTCTGCAAGTGTCGCCAGGATCTGGATGAGAGATGCTATGCCTCCACCAAAACCGACAATAGACCATTGGGCAGAGCGAGCCGGTTGCTGGTTGACCTGCTGTTCGTAGTTAGGAACCAGCAGCGAAGGAGCGTTGTTTGCTGTGAACATCCAGAAGACTGTCAAGTGGATGACCCAGATACGGTTGAAGTTGACGATCAAGTGCATCCAAGAGCGGGTCTCTTTGTAGGTCTTGAAGAAACACTTCTTCCAGTTTACCTGGTTCAGTTTCAGGTACCGCTCAGCGGGAGGCACGTCGACCAGCTTGGACTTGTCCTCGAGGACGATGCGTTCGATACCCTCAGGATACCAGAATAACTGGTTGCAGTCATCGTAACCAATAATCCTGTTGTGGTCACGCTCACGTCGGACATAGACGCCGTTTACGATCTCGTAGCCTTGGTCTCTGCAGTACTGGTACAGAGGTGTGATGGCGTTGTTCAGAAAGCTGAATTCCGGTACGGGCTCGACAGAGTTTTGGCAGGCAGGTGAGTTCAGGTAGTCGTCGGCACACTTGAAGACGAAACACAGACACTCGGGCATGAAACGAACTTGGTTGGCTTCACCCCAGCAAAGGAGGTAGAGCGCAATTTGTCGCACACGATCGTGCTGAGACATGCGGTTCATGCGTGTCTTCCATCGGAACTCTGCGGCTTCCAGCGAATCGTCGCCTTCGAGATCCTCGAGGGTCTGCTCCTCAGCCTCGCCCTTCTTCTTCTTGGCCTTCTTCTTGGACTTCTTCCCCTTGACGTTGGAGAAGCCTACGGCGTCGTCGAGATCCAGATGCGCAGCAAAGTACCACTTGCGGAAGTTCGCGTTGTCTCCGCCAATGTAGTCGGCGTGGAGGGAGAGGAGCGCCTGGTTTGGAGTCATGCGCGAGGCTCGCGAGTCCAACAGTGTCATCAAGTGGTCGTACATGTTGCGCATGCTGTCCCTCTGGAAACCAAACTTGTTTGAAAGATCAAGGAAGATGTCCTCAATCTCCTCCTTGGAAAGGGGGATCTGAGCTTCCGATGTCCACGCAGGATACGGCTCTCGGGAGCGCTGGCCAGCTGGGAGAACGTTGCCGTAGTCCATGGCGTAATTGGGCGTGGAGGCACCCGAAGAACGGTTACCGCCGTATGAGATTTGCGAAGACGGTGGGCGATAGCCACGGCCACCTTGGCCGTCTTGGTAGCCGCCATACTCGTCGCCCCGGCCGTAGTAGTCCATGTCGGCGGCTCGGGCCATGTCAGACCTCATGGTAAAGTCGCTGAAAGTCTCGGAATCTTCCTCAGAACCTCCGCGGCGCTGGCCTTGGCCGTTGTAACCTTGATCGTAGCCTTGGTCATAGTAGCCGTTGTCGTAGCCATCATTGTATTGGTCGTGGCCCTCGTAGTAGCCACCGTCCTGGTGGTAAGGATTATTCGGGTCGGAGTTGTAGTATCCTCTGGAAATATCTGTCAGTGGATTGCGGCTGGGTTTGTTCGAGAGACATGGGGACAAACTTACGACTCGTCATAGTAGCCTTCCTGCCCGGCTTGGCCACCTTGGCCGCCGCGGGCGTCGCGGGCGTCGTAGCCATTGTCGTAGTACTGACCCTGATCGTTGTCATAGTAGGAGTCAGTGTTTCCTTGCTGATGATGGCCGTAGCCATCATCATAATCGTGGTTGTTGGCCGGATAGCCCGACATGTTGGATTAGGTGTCTAAGTCCGGGGGAAGGATCAATGTCAGCGTTTTGACCAGACCAAGTGGATGTGCATGATGCGTCGTGTGGTATCGACAGGACAGGCAGTGTTGTGGGTTGATGTGGTGCATGTTGACGCAGCCAGCCAGGGTGCAGCGGTGGGAACAGGGCCAACGGCCAACAGGGGCGCGACGTGGTTCCCTGGCTCGCCCGCGTTTGAAGTTGCTGGGGAACAAAAGGAAGTGAAACTCACCAATCAGACTCATGTGGCCTGGAATGGGGGAGCAACCGAAAAAGACCGACTTGGAAGTCGATTTATTAAGTATAGTCCGTGCTGTGCAGTAAACCTCGAATGATTAAAATCAAAACTGGCTGGCCAGAGTCCCGATGGAGGCGCTCGGCGAGAGAGAATAGTACGCGGGATGCTGAAGAGCAGTCGGTATGATTAACCTCACGCAGTGGTGACGTGAGTGTGCGATTGTTTCCGTTGCGGAGGCTGAGCAGTCCGAATTCCAAAACAGGGGGCGTTGTGTCCTTCTCTTCCCGCTGTCCCGCGGTCGGTATCCTCGTCCGCTGTTGCACGATCCCACGACCACTGCGAGGCGAGAGATGTGTTGGATTGAGGTTCTCGCAGGTCGGCGGCTGGTGCACTGGCGAAGGCGCCCAGAGCGATTGGATCGATGGATCGGCGCTAGGTGAATCAGCGAACGGCAAGTCGGCGACGCGCTAGGTAGGCGGTGCCGGCAAGGGAGAAGGTAGAGCAGATGCTCAAAGAGGATGAAGGGGGGAGGTCGGGAAAGAGCGAGGGTAGAAAGGGAAAAGGGTGGTGAGGAAGGAGAAGGTGAGGAGGGTCGAGATTTCAGGAAAAGTATGGTCCAAGAAAGCTGGCAGGCCGGTTTTCTTGGTCCTGGAGGGAAAAAACCGAGCTGGGGAGAAGACGGATGCTGCTAGGCGAGGAGGAGGGTGCGTGGTGTGAGGCCTGTCCTGTGTGTGGGCGGCGGGAACTTGGAAAGGGGGAATAGGAGGCTGCAGGTGCCAGGAGTGACTTTGACAGCAGGGGGGTGGCCAGGGCGGCAGGGGCCATGCCTTGCTCTTTCACCCATGGCTCCCAATCAGGGCCGCATCCACACCTACAGTGTGCGACAGTGCGTCCAATGACTGTAGGCAAAGTGCCTGGGTACGGCCACTATCTGCTCTTGTGCAAGGAACTGCAGGCACACCCACCCACGCCCGCCTCCCCAAATGCTCCCCAATCATCGGCTTACTGGTTGGCTGGGCTCTGGGGTGCTACACCAAGGCACGGAATCCGATCCCCCTTATCTGGTCATTCTGACCGTCCTGGCAGCCTGGTTGCTTCTTGGGACTGCCCTGCCTCACCTGCCCTGTGGGAGATGAGCAGAGGACTGGCAGACTGGCAGACTGGCAGACGACTACGAGCAACCAGGCAGCCTGGAACGTCAGGACGTCAGGACGTCAGGACGTCAAGCCCGTTAGCTGGTGGGGAGTGGCTGTGCGTGGACCACCAATTCGTCTTGCTCCACATACTGTGTGCTTCACAAGTGCCCTCCCGGCCTTGTGGGCTCAAACTCGGGCTCCATTCGTTCCACGTCCTGTTCTCTGCTTCCATTGCTGCGTGCGGCGGTCTCGGTAGCGCAGCCCTGGCAAGGTTTGATGAGGACCCGGCTGTCATTTATCACACATAAATGCGATGGATATCTACGATGTGCCAGTGTGCCTGCCAGTGTGCCTGCTGGACCGCAGTGATGTGCCGTTGAAGGGACATCGAGCGCATACACGTCCGATCGGATGAACCGAGAGTGATGGCTGGCCACTGACAAAGAATGACAATTCGTGGGAGTGGTTTGTCAAGAGCGAATACACAGTATTCCCTCGCGACGATGAAACACGTTCGGCGGTGCACTTCGGCCTGGGGGGCCCTCATCCCCCAGCTCGAGGCATTGAAGCAATCATCCATACCCTTGATGATAGCCTATATAAAAGACTGGTATCACATCCTTGCCTTGCTGCCCACTGCCCTGACAGGCCTGCCCAGGCTCACGATCGACAGCACAGCCGAGGAGAAGACGATCTGTCCCGGATGGCTAGCCCGCCAGCCCGCCCGGGTCACGGACACCGATCCGACGACGGGATGGGCTGGAAGACGGCCAACGTTATACTGACCGACAGGACGACAGAGTGGACAATAGGAAATTACTGCTGGGACCGCCAGGTTCACCACCGTCCAGCGGCCCGTCGACTTCCACCTTGCTCCCAGGTCTTCGAGCTGTTCAATGCAGTGAAAAGTCAAACTGTGAGACCTTCTGGCTTGTCAAACTGTGTGGGCATTGCTCATTCAGTCGATCGAGGCTGCTCGCATTGAAACGGTACGCTAGTATAGACTACTCGGACTGGCAGGCTGGCAGGCTGGCAGACAGGCGACAGGCACAATTTGCCACATCAGACCTCTGCACAATGCACCCTTCCGTGCAGCCCTCGCCCGAACAAGCTCGCACATTGACGGACTGGCCAACGAGTCCCGGTTAGCAGGAAGGCTGGCACCCGTCAGTGTTGGGCGTCAGGATGGCAATGGACGTGTGGGCAGCTAGGTGATCTGCCGTTGCTGATCTTAGTACCAAACCCCTCTGGCGTGTCGGCGTGTCTGCGTGTCTGCGTGTCTCGCCAGCCCGCCAACCCGCCTATTGATAGCAGTGGCTGGCAGGCCTGGCAGATTAGCCCGGCATTGGCTGCTCGAATCGCGTCCTGTTGATCGTGTTTCGCCACAGAGGAGCTGCCCATTTACCCCTGACGCCTGCGCGCCGGGACACACCCACTGCCAGTTGACCGAGCGAAACTAGCCATACTAGGCTAGTCTGACTAGCCACTCCCAGATGCACCGGAGCTCGTAATGGCAGTTTGCGAGGGACACGCAAGACACGCAGCCGCGGCGGGACTCTGCTGGAACAAGCTCAACGCGCAACAGTGGGCCGTGGATCGTGCCGTGCTACAGGCCCGTGAGCCCAAAACAGAATGGAAAAGACCTGCCATTCGGTCGAGGAAGTTGACAAGCTTTGGATGCTTTGTTGGGAGATGGCCCTCGCGGCAGCACGCCCTCAGGATCCTACTCATGATCCTGCAGCACACAGATTCCCTGATTCCCTCACAACGCGAGTAGCGCTGTCGTATTGCTCAACTGCCACCACACCACTCATAAAGTTCATGCAAAAAAGCACTGGCTGGGCTGGCTGGCTGGCTGGCTGGGTACAGATAGTGCTGTGCTCTGCAGACGTGCATTTTCCGATACGAAGGCCTGCAGGCCGAGACGGTACCGGCTTACCAATGCCCGGCCTGGCCCTACTGCCCACCATCTGCGCGCGGTGGGTCCCCACGTTAAGGAGCGACCGTCCCAGTGGCCTATTTTAGACCAGCCAGGGGTGCAAGGGATACCGCACGGCGCCACCGCCCTCGGCCTGGCACTGTGTTCCCTTGTCTGTGTAATTCCCGGCACTTCCGTCCCTCCTGCACGGCTCGCTCGTCCCCGGCGACGCCTCCCCAACGGCCTCCCAGACAGCCCAGACAGCCCAGACACCCAGACACCGACGACCCGGCTCGCTGGAACACCACCGAATCAGACGCAGCGTGCCTACACGGGTGCTGTGTATCTACGTGTTTGTGCACTTTTGCCATCAGCTACGGTGTTGGGCGGCCGCCACGCCTTCATGGCTTGTGCATGATTCCCGTAGCCAGCGCATCTCAGTCCTGACCGAGTGCACATGATGTCTGTCTTCGTCATCGCGGACGGGGAAAGATGGGCAGATGCATGCCACAGTGTAATTACTCGATGGCTGTGTGCCAAGCATGCGGAGGTTTGTCCAGGCCCGACTGGACCTCACTATCAGTTCAATACTCAGTAGGCAATTGTAGTGTTGTATATGCGCTCCGTGCCGTCGTATGACCACTTGTAGTTTCACTGTGCCCTTCTTCTGCCAATGCAAGCTCGTCCACGCGGCTTCATTCTGTTCGAAACGGCCGCTCCTGCATCAGGCCAGCAGGCGATCAACCCACGTAATCGAGTAGGACCGAGCGAGAGATCATGAGTGTGGATTCAAAGGCATATCACATGCATGTGTATGCGGAAGAATGATATTAACAGAGGCTCGGTAAGGGCCTGAGCGGCACAATCTCGGTGTCCCGCTGTGTGCAGGCCGTTGCCCTGGAAACGTGTTTACCACACTCAGACCGTCCCCGTTATTTTGTGTAAGGAATCGTCTCATGTGAGATATTCAGCAACTTTGCAACAATTGACTTACCCCCGATAATTTATCCCCGTTGGCATCTCCCAGCTTGGAACGATCGACAGCCATGGCTAGAGCCAGGCGAATTGTTTTCGACTCGGACGATGACGACTTCCCGGAACTGCAGGACTTGGGCAGGAACAGAGAGGAGCACAGTAGGCGTTTGAGCCACCCAGCATCGCGGCCCAAGGATGTCTCCAGCAGGGGCACAGTCAGGAGGCGCAAGCTTGGCCCACTGTCTGACAGAACTTTGCTCCGGCCTCAGTTGAACAGGGAGCCCTCGCGGACCATCTTTGACGATGATGAAGACTCCGCCAGGCCCCGTCGCACTGAGCTCAGGAATACCAAGCCACAGCCCGCGGTCAAGAGTCTTGAGCTCGAAACCTCTTCAGACACCGATTCGGTGCGCGAGGAGACATTCGTCGAAGACTTCTGCGACGACGACGGGTCCGACTTCGAGGCCAGTAGGGTCTCGGGCTCAGACGAGGACGACTCATCCGACGAACAACCTCTTCAAAGGTCTCCATCAAGGCCGAAGCGATCAGGGACCGCAGGCAGGGGAGTGAGCAAGCCTGGGCAATCAAAGCGCAGCCCCAGTCCCAGTGCACAACTATTGGCGGAAGCGATTGAGGCGCAAGCCCGAAATGATCAACGGCAGTCTGGCAATGAAACCGACAGACCCCAGAGTATGCTGGCCACCCAGAAGACAAGTACACTGAGGGAATTCACACCGTCAGACCTCACAAAACCGCTCTCGAAATTGGAAATGTAAGTTCGGCCTCCCCTCCTGGCATCCCAGGCTGCTGACCAAGACCTCCAGACATGACTTGGATCCACCGAGGTCTCAAGAGTCCTCGTCAAGTCCTGAGCGACCCAATACACCAACATCTCCGGCCTCAAAACCCAAACAGTCAAGCCTAGTGTCTCCGAGCAAGAAGATACCGCGCATACCGGCAACACCTCATCACCCTGACGTGGAGACTTTTTGGGACCAAGAATTTATTGATGACTGGAACGACGAGCACTCGCCCAAGAAGCAGCTCTTCCTTCCGTCTGTCAGCGGAAGCCCGTCCAAGAGGCCGGCTAGCCCCAGCAAGAAAGGCCAACCCAGCGCGGCGGCGGCAGCCAAGGCTGCGAAGAAGGCCTTCGAGTTGTCCAAGCACGAGCTCGCCGACAGGTTTCTGCGTGAGCTCGACACGCATATCACAGATGGCGAGATATCTGAGCTCTCGGCTGCGACAGGTGGCATCCGCATCGATTGGACAAACAAGCTGAACACGACAGCCGGGCGGGCCAACTGGAAGCGTGAGACGATCAAGCGCAAGGACGGCGAGACGGGCGCCGTCACGTCGGTGCGGTACAAGCACCACGCGTCGATCGAGCTGGCAGAGAAGGTCATCGACGATGAGGGCCGGCTGCTCAACGTCATAGCGCACGAGTTCTGCCACCTGGCGAACTTCATGGTCAGCGGTGTTACCACAAATCCACACGGCAAAGAATTTAAGGCATGGGCGGCAAAGGTCACCCGTCGCTTCGGCGACCGAGGCATCGAGGTGACCACCAAACACAGCTACGATATCGACTTCAAGTACGTGTGGGAGTGCACGGCGTGCGGACTCGAGTTCAAGCGTCACTCCAAGAGCATCCACCCTGACCGGCACCGCTGCGGCGCCTGCAAGAGCGAGCTGCGGCAGACCAAGCCAGTGCCAAGGGGCAGGCCGGGCAAAGAATCTGACTATCAGAGATTCATGAAAGAGCAGATGAAGCTGATCAAACAAGAGAACCCCGCGAGCCCCCAGAAGGATATCATGAAGATGGTTGCAACGCGGTGGTCTCAGAAGGACAAGGACACGAGCTTGGGGAATAAGAAGCCGAACTCGTCGTCACAAATCAGCGGTGATGGAAGCAGCAAACCATACAGAGTCGAGGGCGTGGCGCGGGCACTCGATCAACTAGCACTGATCGACCTGACTTGAGGAGCCGGTTTCGCCGCAAGGTGAAAAGGGTCACGACAATCTCCTTCGAACGCACTGTTTATGGCCCCAGCATGGAATATAGTCTAACGATACCCGTTTCTCCTGACTAGCGTTCCAAGGATGCAGTCTTGCATTAAATAACAAGTACTTGGGAGTCGAAGTTCATTCGTGAATTCATAATGTTCGTAACATGACATTATCCACGGGCATATCCCAGCTCATTTGCAGTAAGGGGGTATCACTCTCACTTTCACTCTCTGTCCAAATGTCCGCGCTTTCTCTGGCTTTCTGGCTCTTCTTTAGATCTCATTGAACAGGTTCCAGTCGTTCACCCTGAACGTCTCCCAGATCCTGGCCGCGTCCTCGACCGCGGCCCCAATGAGCTTGCCCTGCTTCCCAAGCTGCAGATCAACCTCCTCGTCGTCGTACTCGCCCTTGATGTGCGGCACGTTGACCGTGATGAGTATGTCGGTCAGCTCCTTCTCCAGGCGCAAGAGCGTCAGGATGATGGCTGTGAAGTCCGGGGCGGCGGATCTGTTGGACGGGTCGGGTGGCGGGGTCTGCGTCGCGATGAGCGTGTATGCGGGGATCTTTGCGCTGTTCCGGACCAAGAAATAGAGCGTTAGCCGACATCGACCGAACTGGGACTTTTGAAAGTGGGACACCGGGCGTGGGGGCGCAGGCAGACGTACTCGAGCTTGGAGAAGGACGTCTCCGTAGAGTTCCACACCTTGACAGTGTCGACGTCGGTACCGACCAGCTCCTCCAGATGTGTGGTCAGGGCCTTACCGTCGATCTCCGGGGAGCTGCCGGGTCCGCCAACGCGCTCGGTTATGTCAAAGATGATGCTTGTGAAACCGTCCTTGTCGATGAACACCTCTTGGGCGTCGGGGACTTGCCGAAGCGTGCTGTTGTCGTCAGCAAGGTGGCACTGTCGCAAGACCTAGATGCAGAGACGTTGCAAATGCTGAATTAAAGTTGAGCGATGCGATGGACTGGCGCATACCTGACATCGGCAAACTGCTCGGGCAGGTCGCATTCGAGCGCCCCGCCAAATAGCTTGGTGCGCTTGTAAACAGTCTCGGCCATGTTTGTTGACGTGGGACGGGCGAGCGAGCGAGCCAGCGAGTTGGTGTGCTGCTTGGATAGATGGTAGGATGCAAGCGACTTTTTCTTATTGTCCAGAAGGAACACCGCGATGTAGTAGAGCGCCGAACAGAAAAGTATTCAGGCACAAAGACGTTTCTAGGCCAGGCAAGGCAACTCAGCCCCTCCAAGGCAGCGGGGCTGGCGATGATGTAAGAAGCCGAGTTGCCGTTGCCAGGGGCACTCGTCCAGGTTGCACGCTACCTACCACGGCTGGAGCAGGTAAGAAAAAATGGGGGGAGGACCAAATAAAAGAAGTTCGTTATCTATAGCCCAACCATGAGAGTAATGGAGGGAAAAGTTCAAGTTAAAAATTATATGCTGGAGCAATAACTTTGGCAAAACATGAAATCGAACCTGGAATCTCCAGATGAGAAGGTGCCAAAGATTGGTAGAATGGAATTTGTTGGGTCATCCCACGGTCACATCTGGTAAAAGGCAAGAGGTGAGTTCGCTGGGGAGATCCCATTCCGACTTGGCCAGGATTTTGGCATACTATATGCCTAGACGGCAATACCAAATGTCCCTGTTGATGTCAGACCCCCCTCACACATTCACATACATTCTGCAACCTCGCCGACACATCTCCGTGATGACCTCTGCTACCAAACACTCTCCTCCGACTCCGGTCTAATTCCCACCCAGAAACCCAATTGCAACTCAACCCTACACTTGCACCCAAACTAGGCGCACATGTCAAGCAGGATGGCGGCCTGCATCTTCTGCAAGATCATCAAGGGTGTGTGATGTCCTCGCGGCTCAAGTAGCATGACAATGCATGACACAGCTCGTGCGTGTACACAAGAACCCTGATGGGCTGACACAATGGGCAAGGCGAGATCCCTTCCTTCAAGCTGTTCGAGAGTGAGAAGACGCTGGCCTTCATGGACATTCAGCCGCTGAGCAAGGGCCACGCTGTGCGTCCAGTCAACCCGCCCTGAAGAGCCCCCCGCATCGTCCGGCTGCACACCGCGTGTCTTCTAACCCACCAAATCACGCACTACAGCTCATCATTCCTAAATTTCACGGCGAGAAGCTGGCCGACATCCCAGATGAGCACCTGACCGAGCTCTTGGTGCGTTCCGGCCTTTAAACCCTCGTTTCCCCCTTGGTCCACCTCCTGATCGACTTGACAACTCACTACGCACACAGCCCGTCGCCAAGAAGATCGCCGTTGCGTCCGGCGCAGTTGACTACAACATCCTGCAGAACAACGGCAAGGCTGCCCACCAGGAGGTTGGCCATGTAAGTTTCCTTTCTAGAGCGAAGCCTTGAGCGACCACCATGGCTAACGATGTTGTCAGGTTCACGTTCACATTGTAAGTAGGCCTAAGATAGCACAACTCGACTGGCAACATCAACGCGACGCCCCCGCCTGCATCCGTAAAGAAAGGTCGAGATCAAAACGATCAGCAATGGATTGCGAGGCCGAGGAGTCTGATTAGTCTAACTTTGACCACTAACTCGTGCTCCTCCGGGATCAGATCCCGAAGCCAAACGCGACTGAAGGTCTAGGCATCGGCTGGCCTCAGCAGAAGCTGGAAATGGACGAGCTTAAGGCTCTTGCCGAGGAGATCAAGAGTAAGATGTAAGAAGTCGGCTCGTCGAACGCAGATACAAGATGCATCCACTGGCGCACTGTCCATAGAATCACTGCGCATGAGAAATCCAAAGCCCTGATTGAGACCTGGGCAGGAGCAGAGCCAGCGTCCTTGTTGTCTTTCTTCCTACGTTGTCGTAGCCGCCGGAACCTCTATTTTTACGCCTGCACCATATATACGTCTATCTGCGTGATCTTTAATCCACGTCGTCCGCCGTCGTTGTCGGCTCGGCATTCGCCTTCTTGGGGTATGGCTCGACCTTGTCTCCTTGCAACCAACCCGTCCGGTCATAGAGCGACCTCGCCCTCACGTAGGGGTCTAATTTCCAGTAATCAGCCCTGAGCTTGGCCGCGATGCTGTTCCGCTGTACCTTGGCCGACGCGTCCTCGGGGTTCTGGATCCACTTCAGAGTTGCCTCCTCATAGTCCTTGTACAACTGCTCGCGGGCGGCCAACAGGCCGTTCCTCGTCGCCTCGTCCTTCATCCTGTCGTTTTCGCCAGGTATGGGCTCCACGTATTGGTAGGCCCAGTCCTCCTGCCCGTCGAGCTCCTTCAGCACCCGGCTGGAGTGGATAAACTGCTCTACATCCTTGATGTTGTTGGTAAAATGCACTTTGCTAGCTACCACGGGATCAAGCCAACCCTTTATAATCTTCCAAATCCCTGGTGTTCATGTCAGCCCGAGTCACGTTGTTATTATTGGCCAATACATCCGTGTAAATACGGCACGTACCTTGGAAAATCCAGGGTGACTTGTGTACTAGCACCGAGCCCAACGACTCAGGGTAATTGGCCTCAAAACACTTAATCATGAACTTGACCGGCGTGTAGTCCTGCACGAGCGTCAGCAATCAGTCTTGGGTAACCGGGGCCAAGCTCCTAGCTTACCATATTGGCCATTGAAAACCCAGTCATGTCGAACAAGATCGTGGCGGTATCGACAGGTGGGCGTAGGACCATGCGCGCCGTCTCTATGAGATACACGGTGTACCTCTCAAGAGACTCCTCACATTGTTCACCTTGGTGGTGTAGCCGCACCCTCACAACACATATGGGGCGTCCCTTGTCGTCAACACCATGGAGGAAGCTCTTGCCCATGCGGATTTGCGCCATGAAATCGCCACCGAGCTGCTTGGCCTTAGGGTCACTTGACTGTGATTTTTCGACCATCGCAGCCTCGCCGTTCTTCATAATATCATCGTCGACGTGGACTTCGGTGGCGCGCCAGTTCATGGTAGACACCAGCATAACAAGCGCATTGTCAACGTCCCATTTCCTTGCGCGGAGGAAGCGCAAGACCAGTGCGTCGGGGTGGTCATGCTTGACCATTTCCCACAGCGTGGCGCGAATGACCTCGGGCGAGGTGTTTGCCAGTGTGTCGAGGAACTGCTTGTTTTGTCCATACTTGTCATCGGCGTCATCGGCTTTGATTGACGCGCTCACACCACTTGTGGTTGAGCTCGTGTCCGCATCGGTCTTGTTCTTCTTGGAGAACAACGTGATCTTCCTCTTCTTCTTGTCTCCCTTGTCCTTGGTGTTTGTCTTGTCCGACAGCGCTGCCGGCGACTCTACCGAGGCGGCATTTGAGGCGGCGTCGTCCTGGTCGCCGACCGCGCACACCTGGAAGATGGCAGCCCAGAGCTTCCGCACCTTTTCCTCCTGCTCAGGGGTCAGGTTGTCAACGCGCCCGGGCAGCAGCTCGGTCTTGATGTCTTGCGCCATGTCGCAGAAATCTTGCGGCTCGGCCTCCTCGGAGGTCTGGTTTAGAGGTCGAAGACCGAAGTACAGCGCGACCACCGCGACAAGCGCTGCTAGCGAGAGAGAGGCCGGGGAGACACTGGATCGGAGAGGCGCACCGACCGAAGGTAGTACCGCGCTGGAGGAGTGCGCAGGGCTGCTGTTGCGAGGAGATGGTGATATACAGGGGGAGGTCGTGTACGAAGTTCCCGGGCAGTTGCGAGGCAAAGGCGTATAGGAGTGGTGCTGTCGGTGGAGAGGCGGCGCAAAGAGGCGCGCTACGCGACAGGCTGAGTGTGGGAGGTTATCCAGTCGGGGAAAAGGCGCCCGCATGGGAACAATTGCGATACGGAGTAAGATATACTGTCCGGCAGGTCCTCGGAGGCGCAGTTGGGAGGATCAAAGAAGCTAGCTATATGTCGGACAGCTGTCAGCACAGGACAACCCGCAGGTCCAACAAGCGAAGAAGCCGGGAGCGGTGGAAGGAATTGGGATGATGTGTTGGGGGCGCAACTGTGGGCGTAAATGTAGTAGTGGCAGGCGGATGCTTATGCGTGGACGCACACACGGAACGTACTGTGTACAGAGCGGCCAAGTGAGCCTCGTGGTTAACGACCAGTCCGGGGTGTGGTCCAGCGATCAAGGGCCCAAAAAGCCCAAGTCTCGGGTGCGAGGATCCCAGGGCAGTCTACTTAAAGCATATGCCCGGCCGTACTCGTATAGTTCTCGCATGCAGGGGCGACAATGGGCAGGAGGAGGGAAGGGACAGAAGAACAAGGCACGAGGGGTCTGGTCAGGCAGTCAGGGTGGTGGAACTAGCCCCCGAGCGCTCCGTGGCGAGGTGATGGGCGCGGGAGCAGGAGTAACAACAAGGGACCTGGGACCTGGGACCTGGGACCTTGGGACCTGGTGAGGGACATTCTGGAGTAGGTAGGAGGGAGTGGGAGAAATTGGTCCCCGTGCCTTGGGCCTGAGTCTCCAGGGAGGGCTGGCGGGGTCGGCCAAGACTGGAACCCGCAAGCCCACATCACATTCATCCTTGGAATGGCCATCGCCTCGAGCAGCTAGCCCGACTTACTACTGGATACTATAGTACCTACTTACCTAGGTAGGCACCTACTTTCCCACATTGGATGAAGCATACTTACTTAAGTATGTACCTAGATAGACCACCAGGGGCTGTAGCACCGCTGCAACGGGCACTTCTCTGGCACTCCGGCACCCTCGAGCACCCACCCGCCTTGGGCCGCCGCCCCAGTGTCACCGAGTGCCAAGTCCTGTGATCCAAAGGCGGGGCTGGGCAGGCTGGCCTCCCCTGGAAACCAGGGACCCCTCCAGCACTCCAGCACCGGGAGCACGTGCCAAGATCCCCAAATTGGCCCAGAGCTCGCTTTGTCGATAGCTGCCCCTCCAACCGCCCAAAACAGCTCTAGCAATAGGTCAACCGTCGGTCGCGACAACAACGCGTCAGAGCCGCCCAGCCTGCCAGCCTGCCAGCCTAAAAAGCGGCAGCGCAGCTCTACCAAGCCAGTGCCCGCCCAGTCCCGTCTCAAAGGTAACAGGAATACTTGAGGATCCGTTCTTGGCACACAGCCCCTTCATATCCCTTGGTCACAAAGGACCAAATACACCATGTCTCAGGAGCGGAAGCGCTCAACGTCGCGCACAAGGGTCTCGCGCCCGACAACGCCTCTGCGGCCCTCATCTCGCTCCTCCTTTCGCGACTCGGCCAGGGCGAGCACCAGCGGCGGGCCCTCATTCCCCCTCAACGCCTTCGAGCCCGCCTTTGCTGAGCTGTCTGACGCCATGTCCGACCTCGAGGCCAACATGATGCATTTCCAGCTCATGCATGAGAGCCTGGCCCGCTTCAGCGAGAGCTTCGCCAGCTTCATGTACGGCCTCAACATGAATGCATTCTGTGTCGATTTCCCAGAGGTGCGAAGCATTGCCCCGAGCCCCCCCCCCCCCCCGAACCCCCCCCAGGGGGCGCGGCACGCTGCCTTCGGGGCAGCGCCAGCACCTTGTTCTGCTCCGGGTGCACCTCGTTGATACACTAGGCAGGGACCCATACCAGAGTCGTTCCGGAGGGCAATGCAGCAAGAGGAGCAGGCAACAACACAAATACCCGACACGAAGCCAGGGGACCTCGAGGGCGAAACCACATTTATGTAATTGGCCCGGCCCGCCCATGACTTGACCGCACAGCAAGCTGAACCAACCTGCCTATAGGACCACAGATACGTCCTTCGTCGACAACCCGTCTTCGACGAGGACAGCAGCTCCCAAGTTCCAGACCCCTGCGCCAAAGACGAGGACATCACGCGTGCCTGCGCCGTCCACACGCGGCGGCAGTCAGTCCCGAGGAGCCCGCGGTGGCACACGTGGTACGCGGCCTAGCAGGCTTGCGGCGCCAAGGGCCAGAGGCATCAGATGAAGCAGCCGCCAGCGTTGGAGAGCAGCCGTGATGGCAAGCCGCGCAAGACTTGCTAGAGTGCGATCTGTGGTGACTCCACGGATCATTCCAATGTGCACCAAAGAGCGAGCACAAGGATATGTGAATAACCCCTCTTTGGCCGAGTAGTCATTCTTGAGGGGGCCAGCAGCTACATCCGCTGTGGACTGGGAACGCCAATGCTGGCCGTGCAGGAGAACTGAGACTCCCTAGAATGTGGTCTGAGGTCACCACGTGTACTTGTTTAAGTCAAGGGCTTCTGATCCGTTAGCCTTGACAAGTTTGGGCAGGGAAGGAATGAATGCAGCCGTGCATGGCATGCGAAGTGTCGCACCGTGACTAAGTTCTGTTCTGCCTTGCCGTTGTGACCGGGTGACTTCATCCCGGGACACGCTTTCAACCTCGGCGCCGGGCCGCCGGAAAAGGACCCACTCTTCCCATTCCGTCAACGGAAATATTACACTCACCGGTCTTCTCGTTCCGTCTGTCCGCGCGGCCATGTTAATGTGAGAAGAGTCGGGCAACTTCAACGTCTTGATACGCGAGTCTTTCCCAGTTCCCTCACGGTTAAATCACCTACTCATATGGCCTCGCATCGAGTCCTGCAATACGTCGCAGGGGCAAAAAAGAAGCCCCCGACGGTCTACCTGCATTGCCACGTCAAGCCCGGCGCAAGCAAGGTGCGGGAGGGCATCACCGCCTTGACTGATAGCACCATTGAGCTCTGCGTGTCTGCAGTGCCCAAGGACGGCGAGTCCAACAAGGCTGTCCTGGCCGTCTTGAGCGAAGTGAGTGAGTCCTTTGCGCTCAGCTCTGCACTCCACCGCCCAGGCTGCCTCAGGCCTCACCCGCCCCACGGTGTCTGCGTCGCTCTCGTCGGTAGAGAACCTCGTCTGCAGCACAAAAGACTGACACCGGCCTCAGGCACTTGACGTCCCAAAATCAGATTTGCAAATCACTCGAGGCGCCAAATCTAGAGATAAGGTTATCGCTCTTGCTGGCAAGGCTGTCCAAGATGGCGAGACGGAATGCGTCAGCCGGCTCTTGAAGCGACTGGACGATGCGATCGCTTCCAACAACTCTTAGACTGGATAGCTACCTAGGTATCCTGAAGGGTTTGGCATGGAAAGAGCTTGGTGCAAACAACGGAAGGCCAACTCTTGCGGTACGGACACCAGGGGAGAACCACCGATAATCAGAGGTTATGCCGCGAATTCCCAGTTATAATGACACAGGCTGCGTAACGGTGCCGGCACTACTCGCGGCAAGGACCGATTCTGCCCTCTGACAGGAAAATTAACGACACCGGGGGCCCCCACGATGGAAAAGGGATCCCTTGAGATCACGCGGACCAGAGATCCGAGGTCATGTCCTAGGTGACGCGTAAAGCCTTGTTCTCGCACCCATAGAAGCACACTCCAGATACTAGACCTCGAAGCATCTACAGTAGAGTCGACTAACTGACAGTAATTGGAAGTGGATATGTCGGCGAGGTCAGCCTCTAACACCGGTCACTCGGGGGTTCCAGAAGTTGCTTCGATTGGTTTCAGGATTCCGCAGTCATTCAATTCATTCTATACAAATCCCCGGCTGGCCTAGCTTCCGCGCCCCAAGGCGTTAAGCACTCCAGTCGACTTTGGACGGGGCGCCGAGGACTTTGTCGGCAAGGGACTCATTGGTGCCAGTGCCATCTGGCTCGATATGAGTAGACCTGGGATTCATGTCAGCATGAGCATCACAGCAGGATCAGACGATGCATCGGACTTACTTGACCTTGCCGTTCTGAACGACCAGGGCGTAGCGCTTGCTTCTGTGGTTACCAAAGATTTTGGTGGCATCAAAGTCGAGGTCAAGTGCCTTTGTGAACTCGCCAGATGGGTCGGCAATGAATCGGATCTGCATGTAGTGAGCTGAATTGAGCGGGCTTGAAGGTCCGGGGGCGGGCGCCTGGGGACATTCTACATACCCCTTGTGTACCGCTGGGATCCAGCGCCTCACCCCAAGCGCTCATCACGAAGGGATCATTGACGCTGACGACGAAGACCTTGCCGGCGTCCTTGAGGTTTGGGTGGGTGAGATAGCTGGGAATGTGCTTCTGGGAGCAGCCCGGGCCTGCGCAGCACGGTCAGTCTACATGAACAACAACACGGCTGGGGCGGCCAGGACAGAGATGAGCGAGCATACTGAAGGCTCCGGGAACACCAATTATGATGCCATCCTCGACGGCAAGTTCTTCGGCCAGGTTGACGGTGTTTGCCGGGGAACCCTCCCTGAGGACATCGAGGTGAGGAATACCATCGCCGACCTTGATCATTGGGGCGGGTGTTGGGTGGAAGGCCCTGGTGGCCCTGACTGTGGAGGCGATGCCGGAGCGGGCCGCCAAGGCCACGGGACGGAGAGATGCTCTGAATGCCATTGTAGCCAGTTTCAATGTGGTCAGGTGGGTGGCTGGTGGTGTTTTGATCTTGTCTGCTGATGGACGGCTCAACGGTCACAGGGCCAACCAGGTGGGCGCGATGGCAGCTCCAGAGCCTGTTGGGCCCTTGAGCAATGGGTGACGGGTCGGGCCTCGTAGCCTGTCGTTCTAATGACATCACTGCAGCACCCCTGCAGGCTGCAGCCAGCGGCCTGCACAGCAGACAAGCAGACAAGACGGCCATTTGGGTCGTTGCTACCTACAAAGCCAAAAGCCCGAACAAGACTGCTGTATGAAAGTCCCTACCTACCTAGGTACCTTGCTACCTAGGTGCCCAAAGTCAAGATGGGGATATGCTGGCCTTGGTCTGCAGGGTCCGTCTACTAATAAAACCATACTCCTTCACCTCAGTCCAAGAGCTGTGCTTCCAAATGCTTGCCCATGTGTTTCTATACCATACCGTACATATACTGAGACACCAAACAGCAATCCTAGATTCGGTTTGGACTCGACTTTGTACAACTACTCCGAGGCTGCCAGAAGGAAACAACCACCTACCTTACTTACCTAGGTACCTACTTCTACCCCTGCTCAGCCTCCAGCACTGCTGTGGCCGATGTGGTGCGACTGCGCAGCAGGAGCGAGTGAAGAGAGATAACTGGGCGGCCCATTATCGGCGGCTGCAGCCTGGCAGCCTGGCTCCCGGTCCCCCTCAATCGCCTGCTATTACCTGCCCTCTGTTACACACCCAGCTTACTTGTGACCAGTTCCAACTCGGTGTCGTCAGTTACTTTTCACTGGCCAGGCTCCCTTTCCCCCCTTTCCCGTTTGCTCGTTTGGTACGGAAGCAGTTCTGCCCCTCACCAGACCGCTGGTCTACTATTAGGCATATGACACAGGTCCAGCTGGCCCATCCCATCTCCAATCGATTCTGTCCAGACCACCACGGTGACCACCCACGACCGCCATCGTAGCCCGTCACCTCGACCACCCCCATCCACTCCTCCTCTCCCTTCTGCCCGCCCGCCAGCCCGCCCGCCCGCCAGCCCGCCCCGCCTGCATACCCCGGGTGCCCTACGCGATACTCGGGCTGCCTCAAACCCCACCGACCTGCCTCGCAACCTAGCACAACCCATCCCATCTCACCCTCTCCCATCAGGACCCCACAATACCCCAGCCTCGGAGCAGCAAGACTCGGGTCTTTGCCTCCGAGTCGCCCGTCACCATTCCTCCCAAATCCCGCAAGAGAAAGGCGGCTGAGGCGAAGTTATCCTCGACAACCAAGGACCTCCTTCCCAGCAAGAGGACTTCTGCCGCAGCTGCCCACCCGTCACAAGGCTCCCCCCCGACACCACTCACCACCGCCTCCACCAACATGGATTCCGACGATGACATGCTGTCCAACCTCTCCAGCGACGACGACGTCCTGCAGGACGAGAGTGACAACTCAGCCGACGATGGTATGTCCATCCTCGTACCCCCTTCCTCGCCTGACCTCCCGTCCCGCCCGAGACCCAGCTGACCAACCATCTTCGCCCCTAGGTTTCGATTTCGAGGAGGAGCCCGATACCGAGCTGCCCGGTCAGAGCGACTTCAGTCCCAAGAAGAAAGTCTCATATGACTTGACATACAAGGTCTACGAGCCAGAAGACATCCAGAGGCAGCAGGACGAGCTGATCGACGAGGTGAACATGATCCTGGAGCTCTCGAAGGAGGATGCGGCCATACTGCTTCGTTACTTCCGCTGGAACAAGGAGCGGCTGATCGACGACTACATGGACAAGCCCAAAAAGGTACTAGAGGCTGCCGGGCTCGGCTCCAGCTCTCATTCAGGCCCTCAGCTCGAGGTCAGGCCGGGCTTCATGTGCGAGATATGCTGCGAGGACGACGACAACCTACAGACTTTCGCCATGAAGTGTGGCCACCGCTACTGCGTGGATTGCTACCAACACTACCTGACCCAGAAGATCCGTGAGGAGGGCGAGGCTGCGCGGATACAGTGTCCCTCGGATGGCTGCCACCGCATCCTCGACGCCCGATCCTTGGACCTCCTGGTCGCCCACGACCTGCAGAACCGGTACCGGCAGCTCCTAAACAGGACATACGTGGAGGACAGCAGCACCCTGAAATGGTGTCCTGCTCCTGACTGCGAGAACGCTATAAATTGCGGCATCAAGAAGAAAGATCTGGACAGGGTCGTGCCTACGGTTGCCTGCTCCTGTGGCCACCGCTTCTGCTTCGGCTGCATCCTCAACGACCACCAACCGGCACCCTGTGAACTCGTCAAGCGGTGGCTCAAGAAGTGCGCGGATGACAGCGAGACCGCCAACTGGATTTCCGCAAACACCAAGGAATGTCCCAAGTGCAACTCAACCATCGAAAAGAATGGCGGCTGCAATCATATGACGTGTAGAAAGTGCAAGTATGAGTTTTGTTGGATGTGCATGGGGCTCTGGTCAGAGCACGGCACCAGCTGGTACAACTGCAACCGGTTTGAGGAGAAGAGCGGCACCGATGCTCGCGATGCCCAGGCCAAATCCCGTGTGTCGCTTGAACGCTACCTGCACTACTACAACCGTTACGCCAACCACGAGCAATCTGCTCGCCTCGACAAGGACATCTACCAGAAGACGGAGAAGAAGATGATCCAGCTTCAGACGGCCTCAGGCATGTCCTGGATCGAGGTGCAATACCTCAACTCTGCGTCGCAGGCCCTTCAGACCTGCCGACAAACGCTGAAGTGGACCTACGCCTTTGCCTTTTACCTCGCCCGCAACAATCTTACTGAGATTTTTGAAGACAACCAAAAGGACCTGGAGATGGCAGTGGAGGCGCTGTCGGAGATGTTTGAGAAGCCTATCCCAGAGCTGTCGGACCCGAAACTGAAGGTTGAGATCATGGATAAAACGGCATACTGTAACAAGAGACGCGTCATTCTCCTGGATGACACTGCTGAGAACCTTGCGAATGGTAAGTGGAATGTCACCGGCCCCTTGCTGTCGGCGAAGCACGATGCTGACCAACCCCCCCCCCCCCCCAACAGGCAAATGGAAGTTTAATGTCGACCTGCACGCCCCTGGGCCCGCAGCAGCCAGCAACAGTGGTCAACGATAGACTCGGTCCCTTGTGATAAGGATCACACATGAATCCTGCGACTGGAACGGCCCCCTCGGTGGCAGCCTGAGCGGTTGACCAGGAACGATTTCGCGTATGGCAGAGGACAGTGACCTACAATCATGGCATTATGGCATTTGAGGAAGCAATCATGGGCCGGCCGTCCCGGGACAGTCTGGCAGAGCTCCGGGGTCATGGAGCTTCTCCGGGCCGGACCGAGCGGCGCTGGCGAGGGCGTATACGGTTATGGCGAATGGACAAGGGGCGGCAGCGTGCAATTGTACAGACAGATTCGCATCACATTGGGATACGGACCGTCATGATGGTTAGAAGGGACATGGATGATTTACTTTTACAGTTTTCACACAGACGCGGGACCATTCCGGAGTCTTGGCTTGTACGTGGCATTGCATCCATCACCAGGGCTGGAGACGGCGGATACCTTGCTGAGGCAACGAACCATTAGATCTGCGTTTACTGCGTTTACTGCGTTTACTGCGCTTGCTCTGTTCTGTTGTGATGGGGTGTAATAACAAGACAGGGACAGGCTTCTCGTAGCACGCACCGCACCATCCGTAATGTCTTTCGGTCCGGTGACGGACACGCCGTGCTATGCAACGCCGGTCGACGTTTAGTTGTCAGGCGTACGTAGGTGGTGTCCGGTCCGCGGCGAGTATGCAACCCAAGTCACAGGGCGGTGACGAGGTTGAAAAGCACAGATTCTTGTACAGTAGATGGGTTGCGAAAACGTTCATCCGACGAGGCGGAAGCTGCCCGCTGCCGACGTTCGGGTGAGTCCAGAGCCCCCCTGAAATTCCGCGGAAAGTGGCGGGTCAATGCTTACCCCCGGCCAGCAGCAGTGCCGAGGAAGGCTCCCGATTCCGACTGATTGTACCCGAGGTGGGGGGACTCGAGCTGGGCCTGGGGAAACAAGCCCGGCCGCTGCTTTCCGGGACAGGATCATGGTGAAGCTGCTAGGCGACATCGGGAACTCTTGGGTCGTCGGTTAAGTGAGCCTGGATAGTCAACCGGGCCCGAGAGAACCCTTAGGAGACGTCGTTTTTCTCTTGACTTCCACTCATCCCAATTGGATTTCTTTCCCTCTCCTTACCCGACATCTGGAGTCTTACTGTACCCGTGTGGACCGCCCCGCCCTGTTCAGACACTCCAGTTGTTGTTGTTGTTGTTGTCGTCGTCGTCGTCGTCGTCGTCGTCGGTTACCGCACTACGCCTGCCAACGTCGCCGGGCAGCGCCTTCGTCTTCCCGCCTTGCCCTCTCTGCCCCTCGAATATCATCCTAGGAAAAAGGCCGGGCGACGCGACCATGCCGTCCGCGGGTGTGTGTATACGGAGCCTCAGGGCATATTCCAAGTATGGCTCGAACGTGCGTACCCCAGGTCCCCAGGCCCCCAGGCCCCCTGCTCGGTGCGTGAGGTGGCAACGCTAACTGCAGTGTTCCGGGAGACAGCATGCCCTCCTCTTCGCCCGCGCCTTCTCGGCGTCCTCGCGGCGGGCCGAGATCAACAAGGTGTACCCGTCTGCCACAGCGGCCCTCGAGGACATGAAGCCCAACAGCACGCTGCTCTGCGGAGGGTTCGGGCTGTGCGGCGTCCCCGACACGCTCATTGACGAGATCCTCAAGAAGCCCAACATCACGGGGCTGACGGCCGTGTCCAACAACGCCGGGACGGACAACAGCGGGCTCGGCAAGCTCCTCAAGACGAAGCAGATCAGGAAGATGATCGCCAGCTACATCGGCGAGAACAAGACATTCGAGCAGATGTACCTGACGGGCGAGGTCGAGCTGGAGCTGACGCCGCAGGGCACGCTGGCCGAGCGGTGCGCGTCGGGCGGGAAGGGCATCCCGGCCTTCTACACGCCCGCGGCCTTCGGCACCGTCGTGCAGACCGGCGACCTGCCGCTCAAGAACAAGCCCGACGGCACCCCCGACCAGTACAGCTACCCCAAGGACGTCAAGGTCTTCAACGGGAAGAGCTACCTGCTCGAGCACAGCATCGACGGCGACTACGCCTTCGTCAAGGCCTACAAGGCCGACAAGCTGGGCAACTGCCAGTTCCGCCTGGCCGCCAACAACTTCAACGGCGCCATGGGCCGCAACGCCAAGATGACCATTGTCGAGGCCGAGCACATTGTCGAGCCGGGCGAGATCGCCCCCGAGGCCGTCCACCTGCCCGGCATCTACGTCAAGCGCGTCATCCAGAGCACCGCGCCAAAGAACATCGAGAAGTTCACCTTCTCCAAGGAGCCCGGCGAGGACGAGGGCGCCGCGGCGCTCGGCACCGGTGACACCGCGGCCAAGCGGGAACGCATCGTGAGGCGCGCGGCCAAGGAGTTCAAGAACGGCATGTACGCCAACCTGGGCATCGGCATGCCCATGCTGGCCCCCGGCTTCGTGGGGCCCGAGGTCGAGGTGCAGCTGCAGAGCGAGAACGGCATCCTGGGGCTCGGCCCGTACCCGCGCAAGGGAGGCGAGGACGCCGACCTGATCAACGCCGGCAAGGAGACCGTCACCCTCAAGCCCGGTGCCGCCGTCTTCGGCAGCGAGGAGAGCTTCGGCATGATCCGCTCCGGCCGCATCAACCTCACCATCCTCGGCGCCATGCAGGTCAGCGCCACCGGCGACCTGGCCAACTGGATGCTGCCGGGCAAGGTCAAGGGCTTCGGTGGCGCCATGGACCTGGTCAGCAACCCTAGCGCCACAAAGGTCGTCGTCACCATGGAGCACACCGACAAGAAGGGCCGGCCCAAGATCATGAAGCAGTGTGCCTTCCCGCTGACCGGACGGGCCTGCGTATCTAGGATCATCACCGAGCTGGTAAGTCATTCCTGAACGTCGCGGCTGGGCGACGAGACGCTAATGTGATGACAGGGTGTTTTCGATGTCGATTTCTCCCACGGACTCACGCTCATTGAGATTGCTGACGGCGTGACGGTGGACGAGATCAAGGCCAAGACTGAGGCACCATTCAAGGTGGCGGATGACCTGAAGCCTATGCTGTAATCAGGGTGTGACATGACCTTCAGTAGAGGAGGACGAGATTAAACCCCGGCGCCCATGACAGGACCAAGGTTCAACATTCAGGGAGAGCCAGCTTCCTGCATCTGCAGTGATCAAAAATGTGCAAGGTATCGAGCGACATCTGATTTCAAGTTGAGATAAAAACGTGTGGTCACATCATAGACTCCGCCAACAGTCAAGAAGGAAAAAAAAAAGAATGAAAATTGAAATCAATCAATCCATTGTGAAGCAACTGCGGCCGTCTTGGACATGTCTACAACCCCGGTTGCTGTCGACAGTCCGGACACCCACCCAGGACAGGATAAATATATACCCAGCCTTTGGGTGCTTATTACTAACAAGTCTATTGCTCCCTTTGAGCGACAATCCCAAATGAGTATATGCTTTCTGGCTGCGTAATCTCTGGCAACATGTTTTCTTGAAAAGGGCAAGGATGTTGAAAATGGTATTTTCGTAAACGATATTCGTCAAAAGAGTTGGCATTCAGATGTTGGAGTTTACTATACCTGGGGGTCATAGGGTCCTGCGGTTCCAATCTAACAATTACTTTGAAACTTATCAAGCATGTCGCGCCCAACGGCCACCTTACTAATTCTGGACCCTCGAGCACCTTCAGGTCGCATTGCTGCCAGTATTTGGCTCTCACCAGTAGAGGAAATGCAATGCAGCAAAAGGCCTATCTAAAGACCACTCGCAGTGCTTCAAATTGATTCCACAGCGAGCGGCCTCATTAACAGAGCTGTACCAGGCCAACTTATTCGTGAAGGACTTGGATCGTCAGTCACTCGGATCGACTTGATCACCTATCGAATTTGGGTAGGTATGCCTAGCAAATGCCGGCTGAAACAGATACAGTCATGGGGACCACCACCACTGCCGGTAAAGAGTACTAGATATGAGAATGGGCAGCAGGCGTTCCCGCTGGAGATCGGCCATGACCATCTCCTCAGGGAAGCCTTCTGTAATGTGTAGAATGCCCATGATTGCTTACGGGTCAAACCCCTCCGAAGCGAGACAGGACGTCGCTGATGGAGGCAGCCGAGCGTTTCTTGCTTGACCGTATGACCGCGGCGTCGGTTCTGTCACGACGCTCAGCCACAGAGTCGGCAGACTGTGGCTTTGAAGGTAGCGGGTGTTTCACTCCGTCCTGCCAGTATCGCCAGAAGAAGATCCTCTTGGACGAGTAGTGTTTTTGGCGTATGAGGTGCACGTCTCGGCCAAGAGCCAGCGAAGCCAGGGCACAGGACCAGGGTGGCTCAGGCATGATATACGCATGTTGTAGCATTTGCAGGGCTGGCAGCTCCAATCGATTGTAGATCTTGAAGCCGTTGTTTGCAGCATTTTCAACGTTGCCATGTCCGATCCCACCCCGGGGGTCGGAATAAAGCCGGTCGATACCCAGAGACAATCGCACCCAGTCCCTGTGAGAAGTCTGGTTGACGATCCCGGGTGTCATGTTGCCCTTATCATGGTCGTCCTCTTCGTGGGCCCATCGCTCAGCTTCGACCCAGTCGCAGTATATCCAACCGAGGGCACTGGCAAGGGGTTTTGAATGCGTCCAGGCTCGCTGCTCAGACATAATGTCAAGCATTATCAATGCCGGGAATTGGGTGAAATACTGGAGGGATTGCTTTGTAACAAGGGGGCTGTGTGTAGAGAGCCTGATTCCTTTCAACTGGGGGAACGGAGTATCATGCAAGCTCCACGCCTTAAACAGGCGGTCGCTCAGCCGAGGAAAGGGCTCACCAACATGAGAGGGCTCGATGAACTCCAACAAGCCGAGGTTCTTGGCCCATTGTGGAAGGTAGAGTAGCTCCTCAGATTTGATCAGGCAGGAGCCTGCGATGCGCAGATGTGATATGAAAGCAAAGTTGTGAGATTGAAGAGGAGCCGTGTAGACAGAAAGGTCAGCCGTTGGCATCTCGATATGGCACAGGAACTGGTGCAAGGCCAGCTCGTCCTTGGTGTCGACATGGCCGGCTCGTGCAAGCCCCCGCAGTGTCTTCCAGGTGCTCAGAGATAGGGCACTACGAGAAAACATGGTCAGCGGCCAAGGTTTGGTGATGTTTGGGTCAAGATCAGAGAGTCTCTCGGCCTACTTGAAGTCCAAGTGCCCCAGCAGGACCCGCAAGGCTCTCGGAGAAAGGTCATGGAGATGGGAAGGGTCTATATCTTCGATATGGGCCGCAGCAACCCTGGCTGCCTGGTCGGCCAGCGAGGCAGGCTGTAGGCGTTGGCCATGCGGTGGGCGGTAGTGTCCTGATGCGTGTGCCCGGCGCCTTGGTCTACGATCCCAGCCGATGTCAGCACTGCTGGTAGCTGGTGCTGACCACTCTCTTGACACGAAAGGATCCATCACGAATGTATTGGCAGGTGTTTGTGTGGCGAGTCACCGCGTTGCTCTCAATACTGGCTGGAGTGATGTTGGAGCTTGCGTATCTGACGCGAGCACGATGGTATTGTCTGGAGTGCGTGGCAAGATATAGCTACGTACGAGGGAGGAGGCTCCCGTAGCACCTGGCTCCTGGCTCCCTAGTTACAAAGAAAGAAAGACGCTGGGCCGACCAGAGGCAACATGGTGGCGGTGACGCAACAGCTAAATAGCTATAGCTAGAGAGAGAGTGTGTGTGTGTCTCGTTGGTATAATTTATCTGGTACCCAACTTAAGCCGAAGCTGGTTACAGGCCAGAAGGTAAGCAAACGATGGTTATTCTGACCCCCGGTTTCCCCTCCAGCTGCCACGGAGAAAACAGGCCAAAAGTCAGAGTGAATACGGGGGTCCTGAAGTTTTATGTTGATGAGGAAAGGGGAGAGGAAGAAAAGGCAGAGAGGCTGGCCGCTGCAGAGGTTTTACCCCCAAACCAGCGGGTGTGGGTCCAATGTGGGAGGCCTTACCTAAGCCCCTCCAAGCAACCAATCAAGCTGGAGGTGAACCTTGGGCTGTAAGCACGACCTCGAATTTCTTGCAATCCCAGCCAGGCCGCCTGTTGTACCGCCTAGTCCCTACTGTCGGGTATCTTTGCCTGACTAGTGGCTGCTGGCCGCACTGCTAGCTGCACAGGAACTGTACCTAGGTACCTAAGTTCCAGGTGGAATTAATTGGATGAAAATGGGCAGCGGTGTCTCCTAATAAGTCCTGGCCTTGTGAATCATTTCTCGCTGTGCCCCTCTCTTCGTTTGCTACCTACCATCCATGCACCCCTCCCCTCGACTTGGCCACGCCTGATCGAACACACATATTTAAGTGCTCACACGCATTCCAACAGACACAACCAGTGCTAACAACCTTGCCCACCCATTTCTACCTGTCACAACTTCCACGGCTTGTGAGGAGGATTTACAACAGACTCCCAAACCAACCCACTGAATAGTCCATCCTGCTGTACATCATGGCAGGTGGTCCTGGAGGAAACTCACGCGGCCGTGGCGGCAAGTTCAAGAAGCCCACGCGCGGAGGTATGTGCCATGCCTGTGGCTCTGAGAGCTGCCTAGTCATTTATCCAGTTCGTAATCGCTAACAAAGAAGTGCATCAGGCGGCAAACACTTCTCTCGCGACCTTCGACCCCTCGATGCCGACGGCAATGAGGTTTCCATGTGGAGCGTCGACGCCAACAAGAAGGGCGAGTCTGACTCTGACGAGTCCGAGGAGGAGTCGGAAGAAGAGTCCGACGACGGCGCCGGCCCATCCAACGCCGCCGCCCAGGAGCTCAGCCGTGAAGACCGCAAGAAGGAGAAGAAGGCCCGCAAGGATGCCGCCATCGCCAGGGCAAAGGCCGCCGCTGTTCAGGTCGGCGACCTGCCCCCAAGCGACGGCGAGTCTGAAGACGACGAGGACGACGACATGCCCGCCAACCCGAACCACTCCAAGGCTGCGCGCAAGCAGCTTGAGCCCGTCAGTGTCGACGACGCGGCCGAGGCTGTTTCCGGGCTGAGCATCAAGCAGCCGCAGAGCCGGCGCGAAAGGGAGACTCTCGAGGCCGCGCAGGCCCAGGCCCGCTACAGGAAATTGCACGAGGAGGGCAAGACCGACCAGGCCAAGGCCGACCTGGCGCGGCTGGCGGCCATCCGCGAGAAGAGAGAGGCTGACAAGGCCAGGAAAGAGGTAGAGACCCTTCTTCTTGTCTTGGTCATCTTGACGCTTGCTAACCTGTCTCGCAGGCCGAACGCCAGGAGAAAGAGGAGCAGGAGAAGGCCAAGCGAGCCGAGATCGAGGCCAAGGAGGCGAAGAAGCGAGAGGCGGCTCTCGGCAAGGGGGCGTCGGCCAAGAAATCGGGCAAGAAGTCAAAATAGGGCTCTGGCCTCGACGTGCGGCCTGTTGGAGGACAAGACTCTGTAGAGGAGAGATGGGCCCTGCATAGACGGCGGGCGGCTTTGGGTCATACACAGCTGCATCCCTAGTTCTTTGCCATCTGGGCACTGCAGGACACGACGCGGGGTTTAATGAATAGACGCAGTCGCCCTGGGCCGAACGCTGTCATGAACAGCAATGCTTGCTTGATATGTGACACTGCAGCCGCGTGCTTGGGCACTTGATTCTACATGTTGGCAAGCCCGTCCGAGCCGACGCTCTCCTTCCAGAACTCGTCGAAATCGATGCCCTGTTCTTCAAACAAATCTCTGATCTTCTGCGCCACCTCGGCCTGCTTTTCTGGCCCGAACCCGCCCGGCTGTGAGGACTCGAACTGGACAATCTCGATCCAGCGGTAGAACAGGTCCTCCTTGCCTGCAGCAGCCAGCGCATCCCGAAACGCAAAGACTTGGGTCCTCCGCTCATCGACCGTCGCATCGTCTGATGAGGCGTCCCCTCTTGTTTCCTTCAGGTCCAAAGACAACCAGCCGTGGCCCTCGTGGTGCACCAGGACCAACAGCTTGAACGCATCCAGCGCTACCGTCTTCTTGTCGACGAGGCTCGTGGCGCCGACCATGGCAGCCCAGTCGAGATCCCACTCGTTGTTCATGGTCAGGTAGCCCGTCTTCTCGTTCAACAGCATGGGGTTCACCGCGACGCCGATGTTGGTCAAGAGCTGGGTCCTCGCCTCAAAGTCGTCCCCCTTGACGGCCTCCCTGACCTTGCCGTCCCAGGTCGGCCTGCTACGACGTACGTAGACCTCCTTGTCGCGGAAGCCGACGTTCCAGCGCCACTGTGCGGGGCTGCCGTGAGTCCTCCCGAAACAGAATTCGACGGGCCAGGGCCACACAAAGACAAACAAGAGGAAGTCCAGCAGGAAGGTGAAGGCGCGGCGGGCTATGATCCAGGCTATTGCGGCCCATGGGGACTCGGAGGGGGCCACCGTTGTCTCGTTGCTGTGGCCGAGGGCCGAGGCGAGAAGGGCGAAGTACCAAGGGCTTACATAGTAAACGCGCCATGCAAAGAGCAGGGCAATGGCAATGTTGATGGCGACGGGGACCAGGAAGATCTTGCGCTTGAAATCCGCGGGCTTGGAGTCGACGTGGGCTATGTAGGCATGAGCCGGGGAGAGGGAGCCGTAGAAAGGAGCCAGGGCCTCAGGGGCGCGCTTGAAGGGTTTTGGAGGCTCGGAGGAAGTTGATGGCGAGGACTTTGGCTTCCTCGAGAGCACCTTCTTGGGCGGCATACTGGCGGCTGTGGTGCGGTCTGGCGGGAGTTGAAATCCCCAGAGGGAGTTTCCCAGAGGGCCCAGGTAATGAGGCTGGGTGAGGGCTCGGAAGGGCCGGGTGCACGTTGCGGACAGTTGCTTGTGAGGGATTCTGTAGGTTGCTGTTCAAACGGTGGGCCGGAATGCCTGGATGATTTTCTAGATGGTTTTCTACATAGTAGACCATGTGTCGCGTGCAGGTCGGATATATCTGACCCCTGAGACTGACTGGCACTGTATGTAGCATAGGCAGGTACTGGCAAGAGCTTGCCTGCCACTGGACTACCTAGGTACCTAAGTAGGTACTCAGGTACCCAAGCAGCTGGGTGCCGGGCTGGTACCAAGTACCTAGGTACCTACCTAGGTAGTCTAGCTAGCACCAGCTGCACCAAGTGCATATCCGGCCCGCCGATTCGGTCCCTGCCTGGCGAGCTCCATAAAAATTCCCGGGCGCGGAGCCGGGCGCGAGCTGTTCTGCTGTGCAGTCTCGCTGACGACAGAGCAACTCACCCGCCTGGCGTAGCCTGCTTGCAAGCAACTGCAAGACTGTGCTCCAGCATGTTGAGAAGCAAGGTCCAGGTATGTTTACAATGCTGTGGCGGACTGTACAAGCCGGCAGGACTGACAGGCGCAAACTTGCAGAAGCAGGGCGGCTTCTACGTCTGCGCATCATGTCGACGACAAAACCTCCACAGCTTGACCCAACCGCGCTCTAGGGCCCCGACTTCAGGCCGCGCCCCCGCCCCCTCCGTCACGACCCTGAACGGCGTCCGTGGATACACCTCATATGGCAAATTCGGGTCAGGCACCTTGCCCGGTCAGGCAAATGTCGACTGGGCAAGGACGGCCCCGCCGCCGGTCTTTGGAGGAAAGAAACCAGGCATCTTCCAAGGCGGCAAGATAACACCGGCCAAACCCACGTCCATGTCAGGGAACAAACCTGCCGCTGCTGGGGGAGGACCTGTGTCAGGTACTCCAGGGCAACCGAGCCCAGCAGCAGATCCCCCAAGAGCCGCTACAACACAAGGCGACAACATTGCTCAGGATAGATGGCGACCAACGGAGCAGAAGCCTTTCAGCCCCCCGGGCCGGATCGGTTCTGCCAACAGGATCCCAATGCGATCTGCGACGGGGACCAGTGCGATGGGCAACTACAATCCCGGGTCGAGTCCAGTTGCGCCAGTTACACCAGCGCTGAGAGGCATGAAAGAGAACGTTCCGGGTCCTCCGCAATCTGTGTCTGATGCCCCCGCTACTGCGCAACGGCCAGAGTCTAGAGATTCCGGTTTCTCGTCTCAAGGTTTCCCCATTAGGAGAAGAGCAGCCGGGTCGGAGCCCCAGCGCAAATCGCCTACGTACCCCCTCCTACGCCAAAGACCGCCAAAAGTAGATGAGTTCGAAACTCTGAGCCCGTTCAATCTACCCGGCGAGGGACAGCCCTTGTCGCCAATTCCGACAAAATCCCCCACTGAACAGGCATCGACAACAAGCCCCTACCAAGGTTTGCCACCGAGGTTGCCATCGGAATCTGGCAGACCGGGCCGACCTTCCATTTCGAACACGTCATTTAGAGTGGGCAAACCTGTAGCAGATCCGACCGAAACCGTCACCAGTTCCCGGACCGCGAGCCCTGGAGGCCCCGAAGGAGTGCCACTCAAAGAGCCTGCGTCGGGCTTGGGTAGCACGGGAAGCAGGCAAGCTTCGCAGTTACCAGACCCGGTCGACCAGTTCGCGATGATGCAGAGGGCGGCTGAAGCCTCCTCGGGTGACCAGCAAAGAAGCGGCGGGGAGAGTGATTGGGGTCTTCCGGAGAGCGACATGGCTTCCCCTGAAGAGCGCCAGGCCCTCAGGCGGCGCCAGAATGCTGTCAGTCAGCGAGCACCCAGGAGGGAAGCACGCCCTGCCGGAAGAGAGAGCGAGTTTGACAGGGGCATGCAACGACGCGACCGGGGCAGAAACGTCGAGCGATTCGAAGACAGACCTAGGAAACGGCCAACCCAACGAAACAGGGGCTACGACGAGGACGAGGACGACGACAACGACACAGGATTCGACTATGAAGAGTATCAGGCTCGCAAGCAAGCGGCCAACCGGCGTAAGGAGGAGAAGAGGGCTGCCAAGGAAGCTGAGGCCCCAAAGACCATCTTACTGCCAGAGTACATCACCGTCTTTGATCTCTCACAGGCCCTTGGCGTCAGACCGGAGCAATTCCTTCGCGATCTAGGAGAACTTGGATTCGAAAACATACTTCATGACAGCATCATGACCGGCGAAACCGCCGCGCTGGTTGCCGCAGAGTACGGTCTCGATCCCGTCCTCGACACAGGCGACGAGATAGACCTGAAGCCGCGACCCCCACCAGAGGATCCGTCCACATTGCCGCCCCGCCCGCCAATCGTTACCATCATGGGTCATGTCGACCATGGCAAGACTACAATGTTAGACTGGCTGCGCAAGTCATCTGTTGCGGCACAAGAGCATGGTGGCATCACGCAACATATCGGTGCTTTCTCGGTTCGTCTCTCCTCGGGCAAGCTCATCACCTTCCTGGACACGCCTGGACACGCCGCGTTCTTGAGTATGCGGCAGCGTGGTGCCAACGTGACAGACATCGTGGTCCTCGTCGTGGCGGTTGATGACAGTGTCAAGCCACAAACTCTCGAGGCGCTCAAGCACGCCCAAAACGCAAAGGTTCCCATCATCGTGGCCATTAACAAGATAGACATGGATGAGAGGCGCATCGACCAGGTCAAACAGGATCTGGCAGCGAACGGCGTCGAGATTGAGGACTTTGGCGGTGACGTGCAGGTGGTCGGCGTGAGCGGCAAGACGGGCAAGGGCATGGATGACCTCGAAGAGAACATATTGACCTTGTCCGAGATCCTGGATGTCCGCGCGGAGACGGACGGCATGGCAGAGGGCTGGATCCTTGAGACGAGCGTCAAGGTAGATGGCAAGGTGGCGACCGTACTCGTCAAGCGCGGCACAATACGCGTGGGCGATCTAGTCGTCGCCGGGACCACGTACGCTAGGGTCAGGATGATGCGCAATGAGGCTGGGGTTGAAGTCGAGGAAGCCGGACCGGGAACTCCAGTTGAGGTACTCGGGTGGAGGGATTCGCCGGTGGCTGGAGACCTGGTCCTCCAGGCGGAGGACGAGGGCAGGGCTCAGGCTGCAGTTGATTACCGGGAGGAGCTCGCGGACCGGGCAAAGGCTGCCACGCAGAAGGGGGAGGAGGAGCTGAAGAATCGAGAGAAGGCCGAGCAGGAAGCTCTGGAAAAGATGATGGCTGAGGATGGCGAGGACGCTGTCTCGGAAGAGGCGGAGCAATCAGGGCCCAAGACAGTGAACACCATTGTGAGGGGCGACGTGATGGGCTCTGTCGAGGCCGTCTGCAACGCGGTCTTGGAGATTGGCAACAACGAGGTGCACGCCCGAGTCCTGAGATCCTCTCCTGGTCAGATCAACGAGTCGGACATCGACCTCATGGCTGTGGCCAAGGGCTGCATCATCAACTTCAACAACCCCATACCGGGCTATATCCAGAGCATGGCGGAGGAAAAGGGCGTCCGCATCCTCGATCACACAATCATCTATCACCTCGTCGAGGATGTTAAAGAGATGATGTCAGAACAGCTGGCGCCGATTATCAGCCAGAAGGTGCTGGCCGAGGCCGAAGTCCTGCAGGTGTTCGCTATCAACATTGTAAAGCGGAAATATAAGAACATCGCCGGTGTGAAGGTGAGGACGGGCACGCTGACGCGAGGCGGGATGTACAGGGTGATGCGGGATGGGGAGAAGATTTTTGAAGGTACGATATCCTGTCCACCCTGCGCGCTGCACGTCATGAGGATCGGATCAACTGACTGGCTTGCTCTCGCACAGGCAAACTTGACGCCCTAAAGCAGGGAAAGAAGGACGTGAAGGAGATGAGGAGAGGCACCGAGTGCGGTGTCTCGTTCGAGTCTTGGGACCACTTCGAGGCGGGCGACGTGATCCAGCTGTACGAAGAGGTACAGCAAAAGAGGTACCTGTGAGTGGAGAACACACCACCAGGGCGAATCCCATAGAGGTCCGGGGCGTACAGAATCTCGCTACTCGGGCATCGAGCCGTGTAAGGATGTGTGTTGCAAAATGTACATAAGATGTATAGGTATTTACATAGATCAGGGTCTCGCTACATGGCTAGAAACGGGTATAAGATGAAACCAAAGGCGCTGGCAGATGAGCTGCGCTGCACAAGACGAATCCTACCACCGCTTTGGGGCGGATATGCTATTGGACATGAACGTTCTACTCGTGACTGTCGCCTTTGACCTCTCCCTCTCCAGCTTGCTGAGCCCCATCCTGTCGGTCATGGGCGTTGCAGCTATGATATTGTCGAACTCGTTATCCTCCTCGCCATTGTCGGAGTCGGGCTCTGCATCCGAGTCCACCTTTGTCTTGCCGCCGGGTTGCTGTGGTCTTGATATTGTCTCGGGACGCTTCTTGTGGTCTGAATCGTCGGGGTTGGCGAAAGGTTTCGACGCCAGTACTTTCCTGCGGATTTCCTCCATGGCAGCGTCCTCTTCTTCACTGTCGTCTGATATGTCGAAGGGGTCCTTCTCAGGACTGGCCTCCTTTGGTGCGGGGTCAGGCTTCTTGCCGAGATAGATACCATCTACAGAATCGTCTGCGTCTTCCTCGTCCTCGCCGCTGCCATCCTCGTCGTCGTCATCGTCGTCCTCGTCGTCGTCGCTCGAGCCTGGGATGGCCCGTCTATTTACGTTGCCGCTCTTCCACATGTCGTCGTCGGAACCGCCGTGGCGATTGTCGGCATACTCTTTCTCAAGCCTCTCGATCCACTCCTCCTCGGTTTTCTTGATGGCCTTCTCGTCCTCACATTCTGCGTACTTTCTCAAAAGTGATGCGTTGATCTTAAGGAATGCCTCGCCGTATGAGAAGGGTTCCAGAACCTGGGTGGCCCAGTCAAGGTGGCCACAGATGGCAAAGGCAGCGGCGAGGGCCTCGGCGCAGTTGAGCCGCCAGGGTTTGCCGTAATTGACGGTGTTGGCGGCGACCAGGTAGGGCAACAGCCTCTCGCACTTTCCGCCAACCTTGTTCCACTGGATCTCCTTGGTCCTGGCCCAGGAGCACTCGACGACGGCGGCACCGTAGGTCTCGAGGAGCTCCTTGTCGGCGGGCGACACAACATGTTTGCCGTTTGGGGTGATGATGACACCGTTGAAGCGCTGGCCGAGGTGCAGGCCGCGCATCAGGCCGACCTTCATAAGGCGCTTCCCGCTGCAGCGCTTGGGATCGCAGTGGCCTAGGTCCCAGCAGGCGGCCTTGAAGGGCGGGCGTGATCGGCCAGTTGACGAGGAGGCGGCGTCGGTGGTGGGGTCGTCGTCGTGCTGATTCTGGACATTGTCGCCCTGATGCGCGTTGCCACCCCCGCGCTTGGGGTGGACGGTGAAGGTCTTCTTGCTTCGAGGGTCTTTCTTGTGGCGGACCATGGTGAGCGTGGCAGAGGGGTGCGCCAGGTGTGGTTTGTCGTAAAGTTCAATTGTGATTTGTGGTCGGAACGCCGCCCTCTTCTTGGAGGGGCGATTGCTCGGCAGAACATTGAAGTATGGATCGGGTTAGGAGTGCCCCACAGCCCAGAGGCACCCGAACAACCATGTACCTACCTACCTACCTAGGTAGGCTTGCTAGGTAAGTATGTACACCTTCGTGGCCAGAGCACCCTGCTCGGGTACCTGTACCCCAAGGTCAGGGCTGCCCGAGCCACAAGACCAGGTACATGTACTCCTCCACCGGCCCCCGCCGCCCTGGCTGCCGTCAGCCGTTGGCCTCCCCCCAGCTCCCCTCAGGCGAATGGCCAGAGTGCACAGCGAAGCTTCGACAGCACAACCACCCGAGCAGGCATCACCTCCCTGACCGGCACCGGCGCATCGCGATCTGGCCCCAGAGCGTGCGGCTGTGACTTGCATCCTGCCATTGGAGCCGGAGCCGAAGCCGAAGCCGCCAGTCCACAGTCCACAGTCCACAGTTCACCACCCGCGAGCGCACTGCCAGGACAGCAACACGTACAGCGAGCGTACAGAGCCCGGCACCAACAGGCAGGCCTCTTGCGCTTCTCACCACCCACGATGGAGGCGGCGAGCGCCAGGGCCGCCGCACGAGACCAGTGGGGGGGATACGGCGGCCATGCCCCCTCGCAGCTCCAGCGCTTCATCCAGGCTGCCTGCAGCCCAGAGAACTACGAGCCCAACCTCGCCCTCAACCTCGAGATCTCGGATCTCATCAACTCCAAGAAGGGCACCGCCCCGCGCGAGGCCGCCGTCGCCATCGTCAACTACATCAACCACCGCAACCCCAATGTCTCCCTGCTGGCCCTCAGCCTGCTCGACATCTGCGTCAAGAACTGCGGCTACCCTTTCCACCTCCAGATCGGCACCAAGGAGTTCCTCAACGAGCTCGTCCGCAGGTTCCCCGAGCGCCCGCCCATGCGCTACAGCAGGGTCCAGATGAAGATCCTCGAGGCCATCGAGGAGTGGCGCAGCACCATCTGCGAGACCAGCCGCTACAAGGAGGACATGGGCTTCATCAGGGACATGCACAGGCTGCTGAGCTACAAGGGCTACACCTTCCCCGAGGTCAGGAGAGACGATGCTGCCGTCCTGAACCCGAGCGACGTGAGTCTGGCCTCCCATGGCACCCCCGTTCGATATCCGAGCGAGACCCCCTAACCATGCTTGCGTGTAGAACCTCAAGTCGGCCGAGGAGATGGAGGAGGAGGAGCGCGAGGCCCAATCAGCCAAGCTCCAGGAGCTCATCCGACGGGGCGCCCCCGAGGACCTACAGGAGGCGAACAGGCTGATGAAGATCATGGCTGGCTACGACACAAGATCAAAGGTTGACTATCGCGCAAAAGCCGCCGAGGACGTCTCCAAGATCCAAGCCAAGGCGAAACTGCTCGAGGAGAGGTTGGAGGGATTCAAGGCCGGCGACAGCATGACGGACGGCGACGTTTTCGAGGAGCTGGCATCTTCTCTCCAGAGCGCACAGCCCAAGATTCAGAAAATGTGCGAGGAGGAGTCTGATGATCACGAGGCTGTCGCGAGGCTTCTCGAGATCAATGACAGCATCCACCGCACGGTGGAGAGGTACAAGCTGATGAAGAAGGGCGACGTCGAGGGTGCCTCCAAGATCGCGCGCGGGGAGCACGTCGCCTCACAGGCCGCCGTCAAGAGTGCGGCTCAGGAGCTTAACCTCATTGACTTTGACGGCGAGGCAGAGCCCAACGGGCCGGCGGGCAACGGCTCCGCAGGTCCAAGCACGGCCAGCCAGAGCCAGCCCGGAGGCCTCGAAGACGACTTGCTGGGCTTATCCATCGGCGATGCTGGTGGAAGTGGCGCCGCGGCCTTTGGCCACACTGGTGGGATATCGCTAGGATTTGGGAACAACGAAAGTGAGCAGATGGTCCTCGGCCGCGCACAATCACACGGCCCACACGCATCTCACGGCTTTCTCGCTGACCAAATCCAACAGGTGCCCCCGGGCCGTCACTGCTCTCCTCGGCCACACAAGCTAGCTCTGCCCAAGCTCCAGGGCCATCCACATCCACCCCTGACCCGTTCTCGTCTTTCAATGCCTTCAACTCGGCTCCATCGACGTCAAAGAACAATACGCCGCAGCCACCTAGCTACCAGCAATCTGCGTTCGCCGCCCCAGCACAAGCGGCAGATCCTTTTGCCGCCCTCTCTTCTCCAAGTCTTATGACTGGCTTTCCCAACGCTTCAAAATCTGCCACTCCGGCCCCGGCTGCGGCCCCGGCGGCCCAGGCCAACGATGATGACGAGTGGAACTTTGCTTCCGCGTTGCCCGCAGATACACCGGCGCTGCCTCGAGAACATAGGGCTGTGGTCAACAACACCAGCCTAAAGATCGACATGCTTGCGAACCGGACTACCGGCTCTTCCAACAGCATCAATCTCTTATTTGCTTTCAGTAACAACACAGCGCAGCCGATCTCAGAATTGCATTTCCAGCTTGCGGTAACAAAAGTGAGTTCTATATCCCGACGCCATGGAATCTCATGGGCTGCGTGACTGACAAGATGCCCATAGGGATTTGAATCTCAACTGAAGCCTCAGACGGGCCGGTCACTAGAGCCAAAACAGAGCCGCGGAGTGACGCAGTCTATCGAAGTCTGGCACGCAGGAGACAAAAACAAGAAGGTCGAGTCCATCAAGCTGAGGTGGAGGGTGGCATACAAGGCCGGGGCAGAGCTGAAGACGGAGATGGGCGAGATCGCAGAATTCGGCCTGGCATGATGACCCCTGGGCTCCTCGAGACAACATGCCTCCGGCAGATGCGCCAGGCACGGCTGCCTCTTCCTCGATGCTAGCGTATCACGAACGTGCAGACGATTTACGAGACAGGCTCAAAGGTGAAAATCAATCACTAAGTAGCAAGCAGGTGGGCTTGAGACCCCCAGCGCGTCCTACACGTAGTTATAATTGTACACTTCTTATTGCATGTGTTACAGATGTTCTCGACACGTTCCGTGCTACGAAGGCGCGGCCTGTAGCCCTGTGTTATTGCTCAACTCGGATGACTTCAGTGGCCAGGCGACCACAGGATGTCGGCACACGAGGAGCCATTGTACCTGACTGGCTGTGCTTTGGCATCCCTCCGCAAAGCACAATCACTCTGTCTCATGCATGATGCCCAAACCGACACCGCCAGAGCTGCTCCTGCTCATGGGCGGCGCCCTCACGGCCTCGTTGGCATGGTCCGCACTGACAGGCAGTTCCCCAAAACCGATGATCCTCCCATCCCCTACAACGATCCCGCCAGACCCCGAGCGGGCCATGGCCTCGCCTCCTGCATGGACCGCGGATCCAGGATCCGGACTGCCGGCACTGTGCACGCTGGCGCCGCCCGACACCCGGAGGCCCGCGCTGGGGCTTTGTGACTGCGCCCGCCCGCGCAGCCGCCCGGAGGCCCGCTTGTACCACCTAGGACGCACTGGGGCGCCGGGCGTGTTAGACCCTGCCCCAGGCCGTGGCATAGGCAGGGGCTCGGGGAGGTAGGCCCGGGTCTGGCCGGCAGGAAGCTCGGGCACCTCGTGCCTCGGGCGAAGGCGGGGGCTTGGTTCCGTGACCACCGACGGCGGTCTGCTGTGGGCCCGCGCCGGGAACAGGGAGCCTGGCGGCAGTGCTGACCTTATGGGGCTGGACAGGGGGCTCGAGTGCCTTCGGCCTCTGAGCGCGGTAGAACTTGTCACGAGTGCGAGATTCCCCCCACGGCGCCTGCCGGCTGATGACTGGCTGCTTGACTGCTGGCTTGAGTTCCTCGACATGGGCGCTGAGACCGCCTCAGGGGCCGGGAGCCAGACATTCGGCGGGAAGGGGTACGGCACTGCGTTGGCGTCCTGGTCGAGTCCCTGCTGCTGCGAACGTGGAGGGTTCGAGACCTCAAGCCGGCCCAGGCCGGGTGTATAAGAGCTGGTGTTCCACTGGTGGAGGTTCGGGGGGTTGTTACGGCGCGCATCAGCGATGATCTGCTCGACGGGGAACCCGGGGGGGTAGAAGGGGTTAACGCCGCCGGGACTGGACCTAGCAGTCCGCGTGCCTGTTACCTGTGGGAACGGTGGCATTGTTGCTGCTTCCTCTAATCCAGGCGATGTACGGAAGCTGCCAGAAGTCGCCGCTGTCTTGCTGTTTGAACTCCCCGTGGATGATTTCCTGCCGGCCGGGTTGAGGCTCTCCTTGAATCTTTTGACCGTCTCAGCAGTCCACGACGAGGCTGACAGAGGTTCACCGCCAGTGGCACGGTAGAACTCCGCTGGTGGTGACTTGTCTGTGGGCGTGAGGCCGGATGCAACCCTTGCGTAGTTGTACTCCCCCCGGCTCATGATATCCCGTGGCCTGGTCGCCGTGCTGGAGCTCAAGCTCCTCCCCTTGTCCTGGACGGCTCTTCCGCCACGAGGGTTCGGCGGCGACACCTTGCGCATCTTCTGGAGGGCCAGCTCAGCCTCACTGTGGGCGCTCAAGCGGCCTCTACTAGATGACCTAGAGCCGCCGCGTGGTGATGACGTGTGAAAGAATGGTGATCTGGCGATGTCATGGCTGATTCCGATCTCCGAGTCACTTTTGTGATGTCCTTTCTGGTTGATCAGATGATCAGTCCTGGGCCTTTGTTGGTCGTGGTGTGGGACGACTGTCGTCCACCCGTTTTGGTCAGGGTCTGGCGAGACCTGGCCGACCTTTGGAGTGATCTGTGGTGTTCGCTCGTGTTCATCCTCGTATTGAAATGGCACAGCCGGGATGGTGCTCCCGTCTGGGTATGGGAACGGCAGTCCGTACGCATCGTACTGCCGGTCAGGCGCAAACGCGGCAGGGGATTGGTACAAGCGAGGGTCGTCTTCATCGATTTGTGCCCAAGTGTCCTGCTGGCTCTGGCTCTGGGAGCTTGACGTGGCTGAGTCCGACTCTGACAGGCTGTTAGTCCTGTCGAAGATGGACGTTTGTGCTATCTCATCGGATTTATCAACGATCATAGCTTGTATCTTGCTCGAAAGCCCATGGACCTTGCCGTGGATCTCTTCTAATTTCGCCTCGAGCTCCTTCCTGAGCGACTGCATTTCTGAATGCCTCCGCTCGTACCGCTTGATATGCTCGACGAGTTTCTTCCCGTGGATATAGAATCTCCTGTAGTCGTCCGGAAGGCCGACCTTGGGCTGCTCTGATATGCGCCGGTCTGCCTCTTCGTAGGACTTTGAAAACACCGCAACAGATCGCTCGAGCCAATACACATGCTGATTCTTTGCAGCGAGGTGCTCGATAAAGTATCGCTGGATGACACTGTGGATGCGCAACGTGTCTAAACTTTCCGAATAAAGAGGAAAGCTCTGTCTAGAACTTCTCGAGCTTGTCGGTGACACATCTTGTGTCTCCGTCCTCTCGACCAACGCGAAGGCTATCAACACTCTCAATGTATTGCTCAGAGTCCCTTTGCCATGTGTTGAGGCGTCGCGTGTCTTGTAAGGTATCTCTTTGCCCAGGGCATGAAGACCTGCGACATCGCCGGTCAGCTTAATTCCGTAGTACATTATGTATCACGCAGTGACCCCAGGACATCCAGGTCTGGCCCGAACTCTCGTACAAACGTCTTATTCACGACAGGCTGCTGGGAAGGGCACCTGGTGGTCGTCTTCCATCGCCCCTGACGTGGGTACAAGCGCCTGCCAGGCCTTTGGGTCCCTGAAAGCTGTTGATGATGAGGGTGCAGTCGTGGACTCACCTAGAGCCATCATCTCCACAGGCATGTTTTGATCAAAGAAGACCAGGATGGACATGACGTTCAGGGCTGCAGTAGCTCCTCTAAATTGCAGCTGCTCCAGCACGTACTCGTAGGCTGGGACTTTTCCAACTTTGGGCCGATTGCGGTACCTCTTGAGAAAGGTCGCCAGGGGCTCCCGGTTGGCTTTTATTTGCTGAGAGACGAAGTGGATCATCAATGGGAGCCGTCCTAGGATCTGAACCAGTTCTGTTGCCTGACTGAGGTCTTCTTGGCTCCACGGCTTCCTTTTTTCTGTCTCCAAGAGCAACAACTCTTGGGCCTCGTGTGCCGGGAGGAGTGGCAATGGCAGGAGTTGGGGGTTATTGAAATGGTGGTTTCCAGTGGCTGCTGGGTCTGTGGAGGTCAATATTATGCTCGAGTTGACCACGTCAGGGACGAACCGTTCTATGCCTGGCGAGTCGAACATGATCCCATCCAGGATCATGAGCCATTCTGCGAACCCGCTGAACCATTCCCGGACGATATCTACTATCTTGGTGTCGTCTTTCAGCTCGTCGTAGTCCTTCTTGTCCATGAGATCCTTGAGGGCGGCGGTCCTTGCGACGCGCCAGAACTCGCCCTCGAGCTCCTGAGCCGACGTAGCACGCAGCCAGAAGATCCCTCCTGGGTAGTCGTTCTTGTGAGCGAAGACGTACTGCCTGGCCATGTGTGTTTTGCCACCTCCTGGGAGACAAGAGATCAGCACCGTAGAGGTTCCTTCTGACCTCCGCCTCTTGTCTTGAAGCATGCTGTGGAGCTCATCGAGCTCCTCTTTCCTGCCGACGAAGTATGAGTTGGGGCGGAAAGCCTCTGGGTGTATGAAAAGGGCCTCTGGCGGAGCATTATGCTTCAACAAGCTTGGGGCACCTTGCTCAGGCTGTCCTGGCTGGATCAACAGAGGCAACGGAGACGGCGGAGCGCTTTGCTCTTGTGGAGCTGGGAGGTTTGAAGTAGTCTCATTTTGTTGATCTATAGACAAAAACATCAGCCCATATATCCACGGGGCTTTAGCGATTGCCTCGACCACCTGGCAGATCTGCATCGTGTGGCTCAGCCGGCTCGATGCCGAACGGGCCGGCGCCACTGCTAGGCGATGAAAGCACTGGGGTCTCTGACACCTGAAACATACCAGCCACTTGTGAGGAGCCTTCGGGTTGTGGAAGCTACGGGTTGAGGTTAGCAACTGTGTCCATCCAAGTAGCCACACTGCCCTTGTCCCTTCCGAATAGGCCCGCCCAATGGCGCAGATCGTGTGTGGCTTACAAATGGTCTTGCTCGTTCATTCATCTCTAGTTGTGCTCGAACACGACGAGCGTCGTCCTCAACACTCCAGCGAACATTTGTGACATCAGGCGCTGTCTGGACCCATTCAGCGATGGCCGTGGATATTGTTCGATATCCGGGCGCATCAAACCCGGCGAATTTGCACATGGTTGAGTGCTAGAATAGCCAAAGTCAGCAGAGGCACCAGTACATTTGCCACACATCCCGTCTCGGGACCCTTGTGGAATAGAAAGAGGCGGAAGAAGGGTCATTTCCAAGTTTTGGCCGCGGGCTATGTGGTAGTTGGCAGTTTCTTACATCTGCTTCCACGCCATATGACGTGACACCTGGCAAGCGAGGCGCTGCCGATTTGGCGTCCACAATCAGTGACTTGGTCCCCTTCAGGTCGGTCTTCTGGTTCTCGTGAACCATGTGGATCTTGAATCTCTGATAGATGTTCAGGAAGTTGATGTTGATGTTATCCAGGGTCTCGTTGTCTTTCCTCAGGGTCTCGATCAGGACGGGCTCGCTATCGAAAAACTTCCTGGGGACGTGGCCGGCCATGCCTTGCAGGGCTGACCCCCAGGAGGCGAGTTCAGAGCCATCATGCGGTGTGCCCAGGAAGATGATGCCGTATGTAGAAACGTAGATAGAGCGGTAGTCCTCGTGGTCGGCGACACGCACGCTGTCTGAGTGCTCCAGGGCTCGCTTCACAAGGATACCTCCAAGGCTGTGGGCCACCCAGATAATGGGGTTTCGTGTCGTCTTCTTACTCTTCCGATAGGTGGTGAGAAAGGTGACCAGGGTCTGCGCATGCTGATGAATGTAGTTGCTGCTGGGGCCGGTGCCGTGCTTCTTGGATGAGACATCGGCGTTGTACCCATACACCAGGACGTTTGCATGCGCATTCTCGGCCTCCAGAGACTTGGGAAGGAGGTCGACCGGCCAGAATGCCCCGTTCCCATTCGGACTCTTGGCCGTCCAAGTCCTCTGAGGGTCGCCATTGAGACCATGAACCAAGACAATGTCTACCTTGGCACTTGGGTGGGTGTAGACGGCAGTGATGTCGAAACGGGAGATCTTTCTGTTGATGGTCCCCTAAACGTGGAGTCAGAAAGGCAAGCCCCCAAAACAGCTGAAATAATGTGATGGGGATGTATGCAGGCCGTATCCCAAGTGCTGACGTGCAACGGCCAGCATCATGGAAGTAAGTTGCTGCTGACGGGGAAACGATGGCAGAATGAGCGGCCCGCCCCGTCGGATAACGCGATTTGGCGGGACCCGGCCCCGGATGACACAGACACAGACGTGGGAGGATGAGCCAGGAAAGCAAGCCCACGTTCCCCAGCCCGCAATGTAGCATGCAGTACATGTGAAGCAGCAGTGAGAAAGGCCAAGGAGACTCACCATGCTTGTGATGTGTGCGTGAGGCTGCGACGAGAAGCCAGTGCTTCTCTGTCGCAGAGACTCGAGGTGATGATGATGATGGTGGAAGGGACCAAGGCGGAGACACAGACAAGGAGACGACAAGCAGGACAAGCAGAACAAGCTCCACGTCCGGTTAAAAGGGGTCCTTGGCGCCGCGTATGGTGCTGTAAGGTACAAAGACTAGGCAGATTGGGAAGGTTGGCGGTTATAATGACTGATGGGCGAGTTGCCCGGCTGTCCATGTGACCCTGAGCTCAGGAGCTCCAGTGTCGTCAAGAGTCTGAGACAGCGAAGCCACGCGCCCGCGGGAGAGGCGCATGTGCGAGGCTATAAGCCGAATACAACACCCAAACTGCCTGACGGGAACCAGGCCAGGGGGGGCCGCCCAAGATAGATCAGATCGCAGTAACTGCCTGGCATGGCCGCAGCATGGGTTGGCTCGACTGCAGGGGTTCCAAGAGGCTGCCAAAGTACTCACAGGTTGACATAAAAGAGGGGCAACGGGAGAGAAATTAGCTGGTTGCATTCCTGCAAGTGATGGGACGTCAATTCTACATAGACCTGTCCCGTCCCATAAGCTGGTATTCTATGACAGTTTGTCTGTCCCATACACAGGACATTGTGCCACAGGGCCTTGTCCTATGGAGAGAGGTTGTATGTATGTAGAAGTACATGTATTATGACCGCCAAGCTATAGCCGGCAGGCTGTCCGGTAGGCCATCCTGCCAGCCTGCCAGCAATAGCACTGCACTGTGGTAGATCAGCCTTGTGACAAAATAAGAAACCAGAGGATCAAAGACACACAGTGAGTGGCAATGGTACAGAGGGGCAGGGCTGGCTGGGGGGTAAAGAGTGAGAGCGGCCCTGCCTGCCTGTGCAGAGGGCCCATCCCAAGCAGAGGCCTCGTGGTTGACTAATAACACAACGGGCAACACACCTGCAGGCTGCAAGCGATTCAGGGGGCCCTGCATCCCGCTCCTCCGTCTGCAGGCTGGCAGGGTAGCAGTTCGCAACGCCACACATTCACGTGCTGCTGTCAACCGGGCACCGGGCTGATGTCCCTGCTCCCTGCCGTCAGGCGTTCCCCAGACACCAGCAAGCTAGCGGATTTAGGCTGCTCCTCTGCTCCTCTGCTCCTCTGCTCCTGTCAGCCTGTGTGGCCTAGCTGGCCCGGGCACTGGGCAGATCGGATCGCCAGGAGCAGGTGGATCTCGGGGGCTCAGCAGATCAAAAGCATAATCATCCTCTCGCAAAAGCTGGGTGATGGGGGGTAGCAACAAAGGCTCGAGCTCCGTCCCATGACTGGTATTCGTCGTCCGTCACAACGGAGGTTACACTGGATAATCCACCTTGTGCGACGCACCGCTCAACTCATCCACCCCGGAATTGTTGCAGCATTTATTACACCCCTCTCATCGTGTAGGGCGTGAGCAGTCATGTCACCAAAGCGACCCTCCTTCCTGGCTGCGGCAGGCCGACCACCTTGGAGTGAGTGCACTTGATGCTTCCATGACTCGGGCAATTTAACCATCCTGCCCTCTAGAAATGTGATGCCATTTGATTTCGCTGCTGTCGTATGTCAATATCCAAGTTTGCCTGGTCCCACGTCGTGACCATCTTTCGTCCGTTTGTCTCCTACAACTAGACGACTGTCACAGGCGAGCAGAGGTCGCCCGTGGGAGCCGCTGGGCCACGGTTTGGGTTGTACGATGGAGCATTTATCCTATTTACTTGCGCCCTGTCAACCTCGCGCCGGGTGGCCGGTCAACCTCGCCTGAAGAGGCTCGTGCGAGGTACGGGGTACGCCCTGGTGGTCTGTGGAGTGTGGGCGAGTGCCACCGGAGCGCCACGGCGTCAGGGCACCACGGAACCGGCAGAGCACAGTGTCTCTTGCTCTGTGACGGCCAGAGCCTCGGCTGGCGCTGGCACGGTGGGATCGGTGCCGGGTGGCTATGGGAGCTTTGCTTCCCTGCAGCCCACGTGGGCATGGTGACGACTGCAAGGCAGTATCTTGCGTTGCGCAGCGAGGGCCTCATGCAACATCATGTCACTTGGCCCATGTGCCGACATCGGCCTCGAAGAGGTGTGTTTGGGTAGGCCCGAATACCAACAGCCCCATCAATCTCTCGAGAGCATGATGACATACTCCCTGGTGCTGAGCCCGAACTTGACCACATCCTTGGGCCTCAACTCCAGATACCGCCGGTCTGGTACCTTGTCACCGTTTAGTTCGGTGCCGTTTGCACTCTCCAGATCGATCAGGTACGGCTTGACCCTCCCGATCTTGTCGCCAAACTCGTTCCTCTTCTCCGTGTACCGGAACTGGATCACAGCATGCTGCTTGGAGATGCTGGGGTGCTCGGCGGCCATGTCGACCACTGCCGACTCTCTCCCCACGAGCCAGCAGCTCCGGGCCCCTAGCTCGATCGTATCCACGACGTCGTTGCCCTTGAACACGAACAGCTTCCACTGGTCCCGCGCAGGCGGCTTTCTCGCCTCGGGGGGCTCGTGATACTTCAGCGTGATGGTGGTTCCGTCTGCCTGCGTGACCGAGTTTGACGCAGCAGCGAGGGCGCCTGTATTTCCAAAGTTGGGCTTCTCTTTGGGCTTTTCGGGTTCCTCGCCGTTGCTGACCGCAAAGGAATCCGCTTGCGACGGCAATGGGCCAGATCGCCTGACAAGTGGCTGGCTGTCCTCGCGGTGGGTCTTTCCCGGGCTTGAGTGACGGTGGCGCTTGCTCACTTTGTGTCCCGCCATGTCACTGCTGTGGGCTTCTGCAGAGCGCGAACGGCTCCGCCGTCGTCTGCGTGAGTCTGTGCTTGCGGGTGACCGTGAGTCCCGCCTTCTTCGCCTGCTGTCGCCGCCTCGATCCCGCGAACTCTGCCTCGAGGGCCGCGGGCTTCTAGAACGCCTCTTGTATCGATGGCGGTCCCGACTGCTCTCTGTCGGCCTGTCGCGTCCGGAGTGGCGTTCTGACGAGTTGCGCCGTCGATGACTTCGTTTGCTTGGCCGATCATAGCCACTGGGTTCGCCACTGCCCTCGTCTGTTCGGTGCTTCGTCCCACCTGAGTCATCCTCATCATAGATGCTTCCAGGGCCCATCTTGATGTATTGTTCGCAGTAGCGGGCTGGGCCAAATGGCCGGAGAAGGGTTTGAAGATGCTGTGGTTTTGTGTGCTATTTCCTCTGAAAATTCGAATGCAGCTAGGGTGGGTGTTTGCTTGGAATTGAGTGGAGGGGGCGTGAAAGCGGCTGTTTGGGCTCGACAGGAACCTCCTGTGTTGACAGTTGACGATGTTGTGTGGAAACGAAATGGGAGACGTTATGCCGTGTGATGTGGGAAGCTATTCTAAAAGTCCTGGTAGCAAGAAATGGCCCCACTGGAGACTGGGAAGGTCCTCTGCTAGGATGCAGGAGGTGGGGGCAGGCATTGGGGGATCCCTACCCCCTTGTAAGAAGGTGGCCCGTGCAGCAGTAGGCCAGAGGGCGGGTGCGCTTTGTCCAGTACCTTAGTACCTAGGTATAGGTAGGTGCCTAGGTAGGTAGGGTAGGGAGTACTGGGCATCTTGCTGTCAGCAAGCGAGCCCGAGTTCTCTCAGGCCGTGCGACATTCCACCTTGCAGTGTGCCCGAACTGACAGAAGAGAACAGCACACAGCAAAGTAAAGTATAGCAGAGCAGGCTGCTGAAGTGTACTGCGAAGCCACAGGGAGCTGGAGCACACGACCACACACCACACACCCACCACACACCACCCACTCCCTTCCCTCCCGGCTTGAAACCGCGTGTGTGAACCACGAACCTCCCTTTCCTCGAGGCTGTTCTCACTCAACAGGTATTTTAATAAATCGACGTGGTCCCATCTGGTCTCTGCTCAACAACAACAACAACGGAGTGGTCTCCTCTCTAGGTACCTGTGCCTCAAATCTACCCGCCCGCCACCTGCCTGCCTGCCTGCCTACCTGCCTGCCTACCTACCTGCCTGCCTGCCCACCAACCTAATCTCCGTTCCGTGGGGCTGCACTGCGAAATACGGGCCATCTCCATTTCGTCGTCCATACTCTCGTCCAATCCATCAGCGCGCCTGGCCTTTTCCCAGCAACCAGCAGACAGCCATTGCCCTCCGAGGGATTAGACCCTCTCGCCTACGCTCCGAACTTGGCCTGGCACCTTGTCACGGCCTGTATTGGTCCCTCGTCCCGCTACATTGGCCCCCGATCGCGAACCCTTTCCGACCCGGCTCAAGCACCGAGTCCAACACATCGTCCACGGCCCCCGAGAACCCGCCCCGAGCTTGGCCACTCGTCGCCTTGGCCACCTGGCTGCCCTCCACAGCCCTGAAGCTTCGCGATCGAGCCATTCTCGCTGTCGAATTCTGGCCCTGCACAACCCGCCTCCCACAAGCACACTGCCCACTTCCACACCGCAATGTCATCGTCTTCGGGATTGACCAGACGCAGGGGCGGTGGCGGAGGAGCCGCTGCCGAGGGCGAGAGCAGCAACGGTGGCATCCAACGAAACAACTCCTCGAGCAACTTCGACAGTACCCCGGAGACGAGCTACGAGAGCAACGAAAATGGCCACAAGATCGCATTCGACCCACGAGACATTAGCGAGAGCACGGAGCGCAGCAAGCAGCCAAAGCTGACGCTGATGGAGGAGGTCCTCTTGCTGGGGCTCAAGGACAAGCAGGTTCGTTCCCCTTCCTCTCTTGTTGCGAACGCTGGCGCAAATGCTGGGATGCTCTGCGAACGCGACCGGGCTGCCGCTGCGTCCGCGCCTGCGCCCTGTGTTCTGCGTCTACCATATCGCTGACCTCCGGGCGGGCAGGGATACCTCTCGTTTTGGAACGACAACATATCGTATGCTCTTCGAGGCTGTATCGTCTTGGAGCTTGCCCTCCGCGGGAGGATCAGCATGCAGAAGGACCCATCGAGAAGGCGCTTCCCCCTGCCAGACCGTGTCATTGAGGTTGTAGATGACACACTGACAGGCGAGGTGCTGCTCGACGAGGCCCTCAAGATGATGAAGGCGAGCGAGAAGATGAGCGTCAGCTCATGGATCGACCTAATGAGTGGTGCGTAAGACCTTGGGCCTGGAGCCCGGGCTCAAACCCCCAGCCGGGACTCCTGTTCTTGGTGTCGGGCCGCTGACTTGTGTTCTGGTTGTTGCAGGCGAGACGTGGAACCTCATGAAGATCGGCTACCAGCTGAAGCAGGTCCGTGAGCGGCTGGCGAAAGGGCTTGTGGACAAGGGCATCCTGCGCACCGAGAAGCGCAACTTCCTGCTCTTTGACATGGCAACGCACCCAGTCGCCGACGGCGGCGCAAAGGAGGAAATCCGGCGGCGCGTCAGGAATGTTCTCACCCAGAGGACAGTTGTACTTCCAGCAACGCAGTGGCTCCCCGAAAACCTCGAGTTCCGGTACACACGAACAATTGCAATGGTATGCGCGGCCTACGCGGCTAATGTCCTCGAGAACGCCCTGTCCACCCTTGGCCACGAGGCCAGGGAGCGCGCATTCGCCCAGACCGACGAGCTGCTGGCCGAATACAGCCAGTTTCCATTCGGGAAGAAGGCTACTGGGAACGGGATTGGCGCGAACTTGCCACAAGTCATCTCTGAGGTCGGACCCCCATCCCCTTTGCTCGCGTGTGGATTTCGGTGCTGACATTTCCTTAGGAGGTCAACAAGGCCAAGGACAAGGAGCTTCAACTCGAGGTTGTGGCTGCCTGTCTCAACGTCTTTACCCGCCTCGACTCCCTCCTGTAATGGGTGAGGCATTGCGGGCACATTGTATCCTCAGTACAACCCATAATGACCGTCTTGCTCTGGTCCAGCGGGTACAAAAGCCTTTAAGCACCAGACAATTTGAGGGTATGGATGCGACTGGGCTGGCACCCGGGAGAGACTTCGCGGGGCATCTCCATCCCTCGGGAGAGGATGACAGAAGGAGGGTGTGTAAGTGGACGGGGTGTCATTATGCGAACGGCCGGGCGTCCTTCAACCCACTCAAGCGGCATGGACACCCGATGAGAACAACTGGTGGAGGGAGGCTCTAGGGACGCAAAACGAACGAGAATGGCATTGTCGTTATGACCACAAAACAAACGAAACCCAATTTTCCCCACGTCGTGGGTGGACAAAAACCAGGAGTTTTTCGCAGGCCATATTTTCTCAAACACTGGCATAATTTACAATCACTTCATCTTCACACCTTGACCGGTTTCTCTTGCACCTTGCAATCGGGCATGAAGCTCTCGTGATCAAGTATCCGATTAGCTGGTCACCGCTCATATGACGCCGTGGTTGTAGAAGATATTTACAGTTCCTTCCAACAGCACTGTCACTGCCCATTCCCATTTGGCAGGACACCAACGATGACTTTGGTTGGCTGTGCTCGTCCCCCGGATTGCTCTTGATTTTTTTTTTCTTCCTTCTTTACTTTCTCCTGCCAAACCCGCTGCCCTCAAAGCCGGGGCGGCTCTTCTTGGCTGTAGACTTTCCGCCGCCCTTCTTCTTGCCTCCCTTGCCCGCCTGCTTGGTCTCCTTGCGTTTGCGGATGTTTTCTTCGCGCTTCTGCTGGCGCTGCTTCTGTGCCTTCTGTACGCCCTGTACACGTTCTGTCCACTCCTTCTCGCTCTTCTTCTTGGCCTTGTCCTTGCGCTTGACTGCCTTCTTGAGCAGGGACTCGTCGTTGTGGACCTTCTCACCTTCGGCCCTCCTTCTGGCCGCAAGCCAAGTCTCCTTCTCCAATACTTCTTTCCGCTTGGCGTCGTCCAGCTCTGCCAATCGCTTCTTTTGCGCTTCCAGCTTTGCAAGCGCACCCTTGGGGTCCACGGGGCCCTTTTTCTTGCCGCTCTTGTCCTTCGTGTAGGTCAAATCGTGAGACATTTGGGTGCCGTCCGCAAACGCCACCCGTCCAAATGAGAAATTCAGGTCATGTTCCGGGGAGCCGAAGCTAAGCATTGGCGAGTTCCGCGCACTGGCCAGCGCCTCCTCGCGTTTCTTGTCCTCGGCTTCCTTGGCCTTCTGTCGAAGCTCCTTCTTGTGGGCCTTGCGCTCAGCCAGCTTCTTGCGCCGCGACTCGATCAATTCCTCTCGCGTCCGAATCGGCTTGCCGTCGGGTCCGTCCGCCTTGCGGGCGGCGCGCAAGGCCGCGATCTTGGCGGCCAGACGGGCGCGGAGCTCGGTGGTGTCAGAAGGGACTTTGATCTTTCTGGACTTGTCTGCGGGTGTGTTCTCGCTGGCTATTGAAGTTGTGGTGCTTTCAGGCTCAGCGGATGGCTCGTCGGGTACAGCCGTGTCGAAGGTCGGAGACGAAGGTGATGATGCTTGGGACGATGATGTGTGATTTGCGTCCTCTTCCGTCAAGCCCGACACATCGATAGGCCTCATGTCCTTGTGTGGTTTCGTCTCTCCTTCGTCCACTACCTCCTTCGACTGCCTCACATCGTCTGGTGTCGTTGGGTCATCTTCCTGCCTTTTTGCAGAGCCGTCTTCCTCGACCGTCTCGCCCTTGTCGAGCGCTTTCGTCTTTGTCTTCTTCTTCTCGGCATTCTTTTCTGCCTTTTTCTGCTTCTTCGCTGATTTCCTCTCCTGATGTGCCGATAATTTGCCCGTCTTCGCCTCGTCGTTTGCCGTGGGCTGGGCTACCTTGGCTGTCTCGGTCGTATCGTCATCAACCACTTTCCGCTTCTTGAGGCCTTCTCCCGGTGCCTCCTTGCTGATGCCACGCAGCTCTAGCTCCTGGGCATCGTCGTCGTCTTCGGCGCTTCCATCCTCACTTGGCTCGAGCTCCTGTGCCTTGCGTTTATTCCGGACCCGTTCGTCCAGAACCTCCTTGGCATTCCGGTTCAGCGCGCTGTCTGGATCCAGCTTGCTCCGCTTGGCAGCTCTGGCCTGCTCCTTGGTCTGCTTCTTTCTCTGCCACTGATCCTGTAAATGCCGGCGTGTTGTGTGAGCTGGCTGGAACGCGGGGTGCATGCCCGGGATACAGGCGGGGCAGACTGAAGAATGACATACACTTGTGTCCTCGCCATAGTAGAGTTTTGCTGGAATCAAGGACAGCAGGCTGTCGAAAGCCTCGGAATGGTCGCGCAAACGATCCTGTGGGCATGTGCGCGTCAGTCGCCATCGGCCGTTGGTTGCAGCGAGAACGAGGCAGTCAAACCTTTAGGGATGAGTCCGCCATGTTGAGCAAGCAGGATGTCTGTGGGCGAGTAAATTGCGGTCGACGCGCCTTTCGTTTGGGTGGGCGTACCAATGTGCAGTTGCCGTCTTCAAGGGCACGTTCGAACCATTGGTGGTTGGAATATTTTTTGGGTGGGGATTCGAAATCTTGGCATCGTCTTATCAGCTTGATGTCCTTATCCAAGCACACTCAATATCGAAGTACCCTGGCACCTAAGCCCCATTTTGCTAGTAGTACTCCATACTGTGATCTACCTAGATTAATGGATGCAGCTCAAGCTGTGGCTAGGGACTAGTCCCCCCCAGGGGTCCTCTCCCGAGGTCTGCCCTTCCCCGTGCCTCGTGTGGCCATTTTTCAGTCACGCTGCGACATCATCGACAGTTGTACGATCTGCCCAAGTGCACGAGAATTTACATGCCGTAGCGTACTGAATATTCCAGCGGCAGCTTTGCAGTGTATTTCGGAAACAGCAGTATAGCACAAAACGATGACAGCGCACGCTCTTGAAGACACATGAACAACATAATTCAACTCTTTCCCCTGGGGGTGGAACGTTAAGATCAAGAGCATTTCTGTTCTTTCCGGCCCTCATCATGTATCTGCCCGTCCACGAATTCCAGGACTCCAATGTCAATTCATAAGCATGATACAATATTGCCATGTACTTGTTCAACCAAGCAATACCCGCAAAACTCCTAACGCTATGCTTTAGTACCCGTCAACCCACGAGCGTCTGTGCCACACTTTTCTCCCGAGAATGACACCTGGGCCCTGCCGTATATAGCCGCATACCCGTACACATCAGCCTCCTTGCTTGCCAAGCGGATTCATTTCAGCCATACCCAAATCTCGATAGGTCCAGTCGGTTGCTTGCGTAGTGGGATTCCTCGACAAATCCAAGCGGTGGATCATTCTCCTCGTCACCATCTGGGATGATTTGATCCTCGCTGCCGCCAGGCTTGTTCAGAGCCTCGACCTCTGCTAGATCGACCTTGGGCAACGGCACAAAAGCGGGGTTGGTTGGCAACAAATCTAAAGTATCCTTCAGACTGTGCCGCCTTCTCAGAGCTGCAGCGGATGGCTTCAATTTTGGGAAAGGCGAACGGTCGCCCTTGCCCCGCTGCAGGGCCTGGACACCCATACGTTGTAAAGGTGTTTGAATCGGAGTACACGCTGTCGAACGAACTGGTTGCTTCGACTCTGAGCCCTGGGCGCTGGATGCCGGCGTGGCAAGTCCAAAAGCCATGCGCGTATTGTTTGCTGTCTTCGGCAGATCTGGTGTACACGAGAATTCTTTGATCAGGCCGCGCAAAGACTCCGCGGTGCCCGCTCCATTCTCCCTGGCGTTTCCTGCAGACCGCTCCTTGTCTCCATCAGGTTCGGAAACCTTGTGGCATTTGACTGTGCGACCTCTGATATCGTCGTCACCTTTGACCTCGCGAGCCTCTGGGACGACTGATGGTTCTGAGCAGGTTGCGTCCTGGAAGATCTGCAGTTCCTCACTTCCTCTCGGGCCCCTTGTTTTGCCCCATTGCCCGTCAATTTCAGGCAAGCTCATAAGAGCCTCCTCGATTGAGTCATCCGACAGGAGAGGAGCATCATCAGAGGTCTGATGTTGCTTGGCGGACTGCACAGGAGGAAAGAACTTGCTTTTCTGAGGCGACTGATCTGCCACCTCGCTTGCTTTTTCGTCCGCACAGAGTCGAGCTTTTTTGAGTGGTCTGTCTTCAGTGACGGATATTCGTCTGGTCGGGCCAGCTGTCCTTCGACGATTCGAGGATTGACCCAGGGATGGGATGAGATCTGAAAGTGTTTGGGAGATCGGTTCCGTTCGGCGGCGCTGGATCGAAGTATATGGCTGAGCCGCCGGGGTGCGCGTGCTCCCATCAATGTACGGCCTGGGCAGGGGAAAGACCCTGGGCGTCAGCCCGTTCTGCGTGAGAGCAGCCACTCTTCGGGCATCCAGAGAGAAGCAGTTGCGATCCATCTCTCCCATGGCGATACGTCTATTATCGTTGAAGTACGCGTCAATGGGCTTTCCCAAAGACGTTTTATTCTGCTGGGCCGGCGCAGCTGTCACGGGCGGTGGCCGTGTCGTGTTATGCGTCCTGCTACCGCCCGGCAGTGGAGCGACGACAATAGGCAGCTTGGAAATCGGGTTCACGTCTCCCACTGCTATCGCCCTGGCAAGCTCCCGACCGACTCTGGCGCCGATGTACGGCATCTCCTCGATATCCAACGGCGATGAAGCAGGTGGCTCGGTCAGGAGAACAATGTCCTTTTTCTTGGGACAGAAGACGCGTTGATACAGGAACGTCAATTCCGCTTGCTTGTACTGGGCAAGATAATTCTCTGAGACGCGAAACTTGCCGTCAAACTGCAGCATCCGGATCATGCGCTCCGGCGTCTTGTACTTGCGCATCATCCGATAGGCTGTCTTTAAGCCCATGTTGTTGATGCCTTCGAGATAGTCACAACCACTGAATATGGTCATCTGGCGGAACTGGTCATCGGTCCAGCCAGTGAGCGATATCTCACGCACGGCGCAAAAGTCCTTCCGATTAATCTCAATGCAATGGCCGTGCTGGTCCATCTTGGTGAGCAATCGCTTGGCGCCGAAGACCAGGAGATCAGAATCTTCCGAAATGATGCCGTTGATGAATCCGTGCCGCTCCAGGTAGACCAATTGGGAGTCGGCCTCGTACGGGGCGACCACATACGGTACATGGGCTTTCTTCAGCTCGTCGATGAGGTGCCGGGCCATCTCCGGGGTGATGTCGATGGCCTTTTGGAACTCGAGCTGGGCCTGGGATGGCTTGCCGGCCTTGAGCAGCTCGAGACCAGCCTTTCGACTCTGCTCGCGACGTTTCTCCCGCGCTGCCTCGGTGTGGGCCTTGCTGGGAAGGAAGTCGCCATCAAAAACCAGGTATGGGGTGACACCGAAATGTTTGGCCATCCTGACGCGGTGCATGGCAAAGTCGACATACCTATCCGACGGTCAGGAGCAGAGCTAGGCAAGCCACGGGCTTGGAAGATGTAGACTCACCTTCGGGTGGGTTTTTCCTGGGCTAACTCTATGGCACAGCTTACAGCACCGCGGTGGAGCCAGCCATAAGCATCAACGCCAAGGACCTCGCCGGAAAAGTTCTTGAGCTCCGTCGGCTTCTGGATGGATTTAAGCAATGGGAGAAGCCCTTTGGGCACGTGTCAGCAAGGCAAGCATCATGTCTCGGCGGTCAGAACAGCGCACCTTGGATGCCCATTTTCTGCGAGGAGACACTTTGGGGGTAGGAATGCGCGCGAGTGGGTGGCAGGATTGTCGTAGCCGGCTCGTTAGAAGGCCATGGGTTGAATGTGCTCTACATGGACGGTCTCTGATCTCGGCGGAGGGAGGTCTGGCTCGAGCGGGCTTGTTGTGTCTATGTGTTGATGTGTTGATGTTTACTTTTGCGGCAGGCGCGGCACAGATCAGACCACACGGTGACAGATGGGCGAGGGTGCAGTGCAATTGAGCACGACGAGCCGGTCAGTGGTCTGGAGAAGCTGGAAGAGGGCAACTCTCGTGGCCCAGCAGATGCGACATGCACAGGGCCGAAGAATCACGAGGGGAGAGAGACGACTGCTTGAAGCCTTGACCACTGCTTGGGCGATCCACATCGCACAGCGGACACTGGGGCAGGCGCGTCTGTCTACCTACCTAGGTACCGTGTAGGTAAACCGCGTTTTTGGCGGGTCATGGCCCTGTCATGGGCTTACCAGCACTTCCTGTTCCGGCTAGCCCAGACCTTGCCCAGCAACGGACCGGCAGGGATAGCCCCTGCTTACAAGTGTCCCGCCCGCCTGCCAGCCTGGACCCGCACTTGCAGGGGCAAGAAAAAAAAAGCCGACAAGTTGTGATCTGACGGACGAATCGATCTACACAGTAAAATCTACATAGAAAGTCGACATTGCCCGATGGACTAATGCCGCAGTCTTGACATCCCCATCCAAAAATCGTCACCACAGTACATCGACCTTTCCCGCACAGAACTCCCAATCCTCACAATGCCCAAGTCATTGGAAAAGGCGAGGAAGCGCATTGCCAAAAAGCGGAATGGCAACATCGTCCTTCACGAGTTCTCGCGGGACACTAAGAAGCTGCACAAGGCTCAAGTCCGTGACGAACGTCTTGAGAAGCTCGCCGCCGCCAGGAAGAAGCACGATCAACCCCTGAGTTCGCAGCAGCCCTCTCCCCCCCCCTGCTCGTCAAGAATCCTTGCTGACAAAAATTGCCTACTCAGTCCACAGGATCACTTTCTTTCAGAAAGCCGCCCAAGATAATGACGGCCAGGTTTTCGATCTGCCCAAGGTGCAGGACCTCATCAACGAGTAAGCCGTTGTGCCTCGTGCTTTCTTGCTGGCCACTTACTGATCCCGACCCAGATATGTGCACCAGCATGACCAGGAGCTTGAGGAACTCAAGAAATCGCGCCGTCCAGGAAGGCCCGCAAGCGCCAGGGAGGATCTCCTCCGGTTGAAAGTCGAGACCCTGCGCAAGGAACAGCAGAATGGCTTCTGTAGGTTGCACAGCTGTCACAACCTCCCAACTCCAAAATCACTACTGACCTGCCCCACTCAAGTTGTCCCAGATCTTTTGAAGCAAAACAACCTCGACTTGCTCAAAAGATGGGAAGGGGCCTGGTCTTTTCTGGCCTCCCTGTCTTTTGTCCGTGTAAACGAGGCTGGCACTGTCAAACCATCCAGCTTCCCGCCCAGCAGCCAGTGAGCATAAGCTACTGGCCTGGCCATCCTCAGATTTTGACGACACCTAAGTCTCGTCTCAGGCTGTTGGGCCTCTTTGCTGCCATGCTTGCCTGGGGGCACCAGTCAGACCCTCAGATGCGATGGGGGCTTCCAATAAGGGCCAACATCGCCGGCCGGCCGCTCGATTCCCCAACGCCATCCAGACTCTGTTCAGGCTCTGCCAGCACCTCCCCGCAATACCAGCTACCCGCAGGGAAGTACCAATATGCCTGAGAAGGAAAGGGGCATGAACGGGGGACGGCTCTCTTTAGTGCGGGGGCAATTTCAAGGTCGTCGAAAGGGCTGCTCGAAAGCCCACAATCACGCTGTTCAACGCATGCTACCGCTCAAGAGCACCACCTCATCCTATCCCAGGAACAGCTACTGCCCACCGGCGAGAGAGCCGATGCACTTCCTCCTACCTACATCTCTGCTCCCGGCCATCCAAAACCAGGCACCAAAACTCCTAGTAAACCTGAAGTCCAGATCCAGGTCCACATGCCCTTCTCCAACGGAATCGCATGTTTCGTGGGAACACCGCAATGTTCCACGATGCTCAACGGCCGTTGGGGGGCTTCATTGGAGAAAGGAAAGGGTTTCAGACATCTATGTCGATACCTTCGCGACCATTTCCACTGGCGACTCGGCTTTCAGCCTCGGCCCGTGTGCCCACCCCACGGAGTACTGACACGGGTTGGAGGCCCGGTGGATTCATGTGCAGTGTTTCTGTCTATCACTATGTGAGAAAATTACTGTCTGATTTTCTAGCGCATTCATCCAATTCAAGGCAGACAAGAGGCACCCCTCCGGAATCTCCTTGTGCGGTAGTAATCTTGACAATTCCATGGGTCTTCGCGGGTCTATGATAAGCTCCATAAACTCAAGAGGACTTGATTCGAAGGAGGTGCGAGCTGGAAAATCACACCAGCTTCCCTGTTTCGTGGGCAGCTCCGCTCGAAGGGGGGATGAAGAAGTCGCTTGACTTCTATCAAGTTATGTCTTCTTGCCAGGATTAGGAGAAGGTCCTTGTGTCCCGGGACTCTTGCGTCGATGCTCAGCCAATTGGGCATTGTACCTAGGTAGCAAGTTAGGCGAGCTATTCAGCAGATGTTGAAGGTCCGTCGTAATTTGATGCAAATCTACGAATCTAAAGGTCCTCATGCCACCGCGTTCAATGTCATTGCTGGAAACTGGGAGACCATAGGATAGGTACATGGAACGTGCTGGAGGTTTACACCCTGGAATTTGATTCGAGCCTCCTCGCTTGCTTAGTCATCACCTGGTGCTGGTCCCATCGACTTGTCCAAAAAAAAAAAAGCTTCCACTACTCAGCTCCACCCGCCTAGCATCATCACAAGCTCACCCGACCGACCAGCTAGCCCTTCCAAACGAAAATTTAAGCCGTCCACGCGTGTTTCTGGGTTTTGGGCCACGAAGCCTGCTCGCAGTCTTCTCTCTTCCAACGCCACTGAGGGACCCCTCAACACCACACAGAATGTTCTCGGCACGAAGTGTAGCGCGCAATGCGCCGCGGACCCTTGCACGCCTTTCTTCAATCGCCAGACCTGCCTCGGCCAGACACAGTGCTCTTCTGCGCGATCAATGCAGGACCCTCCGGCCGCAGGTCTCTGCCTTTTCGACCTCTCTGCTCCGACGGGCGGCTTCTGGGGTCGACAGTGAGCTGAGCGCGAAGCTGAGCAGCGAGATCTCGTTCGAGGCTGAGATGAAGGAGAGCGAGCAGCAACCAGCCAGCATCAAGGACTTCCTAGACAACGGCCCCTTTGAGATCCAGGACACTCCTGGCGCCCAGAACGTCGTGCTTACACGCACATACAACAACGAGAAGTAAGCCACTCCCAAGATGCACCGCCGCTGTCGCGAGCTGTCTGTTGGTGCCACCCACGCTAACACACCGTGTCTGCAGGATCACCGTGACTTTCTCAATCGCCGATATCGCAAACATGGAGAACGAGATGTTTGACGAGGACTCGGCCCTCGGCGACGAGGAGGGCGCACGCTCTCAAGAGAACGAGGAGATTGACGAAGACGACGCCGACGCCGGCAACGAGCCCAACGTGACGTGCCGCCTGAACATCGTCGTCGAGAAGCCCGGGAAGGGTGCCCTGAACATCGACGCCATCGCCCAGGATGCCAGCATCATCGTCGAGAACATGTACTACTACAACGACCCCGCCATTGCCCACGCCGCGAACCCCGAGGCTGAGCACAAGGGCCGTGACATTTACCCTGGCCCGCCATTTGGCACCCTGGACGAGGACCTGCAGCTCCTGATGGAGACCTACCTGGACGAGCGTGGAATCAACTCTACTCTCGCTGTGTTTGTGCCCGACTACATGGACGTCAAGGAGCAACGGGAGTATCTGGCCTGGCTAAACAATGTCAAGGGATTCGTGGACGCCTGAGCCATGGCACAAGGGCTGAGCGAGGCATCTTTTGGCGCCTCGAATGCATGGTGACGGGCGGATCAAGTCGCCCGTCTTTGAATGAATTTTCCACTCATGAGATGATGTATTATAGGCAGTGGCCAGGGGCAAGGACATCACTTCACATCCGTGCCACTTCATACCCCACAAAAAAAGGATAGGAATCAGCGTTAATCAAGTCTCTGCGCGAAGTCATTTTAGGAGATACAACTAGGAGCCTCATTGCAGATGTTGATATGACTGATGTGTAAGTGGTACTCCTGATCTTGTCCCCTCGACTGAGGCGGGCACACCTCGGGGCTTGCGTCTCTTTCGACTTCATCCCCATCCTCAGTAGGGTTGTCCAGCATTGCCCTTCACTTCGTTTCTTACGTACATCTCCAAGACGGAGGACTGAAAACTAGCTAGGGGGAAGTACGATAAAATCAACGAGCAGTGAAACCCCTCAGCCCGCGGGACCAGCACGTGGGTGCGTGTCGTGGAATTGAGTCAAGATATCCGCATATGTACTTGACGTATGCGCTGTCTCGATGACACAAATCAGAAAATCGTGCTGGCCTGTCGTCGCCAATTATGCACAGGGTCGCAAAGAGTGGCCAAAGAGGCAGTGTTTGATACATCTTTTAATCATTTATCTGGTAAGTCTACGCTGAGCGTTCTGCCCTAACTTTTCTATGCCCTCAATTCCTCTGCAGAGGCGATTTTCTAGGTGGTCTGTCCAAAATGTGGGCGGCCTCCTCGCTTGCATAGACCACGGCGGTTTCTGCGAGCTCGCGAGTACCCCCTGCTCTCTACTCTGTGTCGCTCTTCCTTGACTTGCCTATATCGCACGCTCTTGGTCGATGGTGCAGTTGGCCACCGGGGGAGAGGTGCAGCAGAGCACGTCGTGGGAGGAGTGGGCTACAGGCTGTCGCCCAGTCGTCTCATACATGGCAAGCCCTCATGCGGACTCCTTCTCCAACGCCTCCAGCTCCTTAAGGACGGACACTTTGGTCCCAATCTTCTTCATCTGTGTGTCCTCCAACTTCTCGCCCCCGGCCAGACGCATCTCGAGATCCTCTATCGCCCGGATCTTCTTTTGCAGGCCCCTCATCTTCTTGGCGTTGGGGTTCTGGGCCTGGCTCGCAGCAGCGTTATCCCCTTGGGCGGGCGCTTGTCCTGCCGGCTCCTGCTGGCGGTCTCGCCCGGACGGGGTATGATCCCGAGGCCCGTTGTTGCGCCCGTGCTCGTTGTTACGTTGCGTGTTGCTGCGGCTGCGGCCTTGGCCGTTCTGGGGGTGGCGCGAGCGGCTCCGCGAGCTGCCATGCTGTTGGGCTCCGCGGCGATCGCTCCTCCGAGTCTCGCCGCCCGAGCCACTGCCGTATTCCTGCGCCGGGGGGGCTAGGCCGCCCTCGAGGCCGCCTACAGGCTTTGTCTCGCTGTCTTTCGCTTTCTTGTTCCCGCGCTTCTTCTTGTTCTTGAGGGCGGTCTTGGACAGACTGTCGTCGCCGCCAACAGGCTCAGCACCGGGGACGGACTGGCGACCATATGCTGCGCCTGGAACCTGTGCCTGTTCGGCAAACTCGGCGCCAGGAACTTGGCGGCGAGCTCGTCCAAAACCGTTCAAGCTGGCAGAGGGGGCCCCATTGCCCATGACATGGGCGGCGCCACCTTCATCCTCACGCTTGAAATGTAGCGGTGTCGAAGTACCCCGAGCACCCGGCGGCCGATAGGCACCAACTGGCTTGGATGGTGTCTTGACCGTGCCGAGGTAGGTCACTGCAGACTCGTGCGCTGTCGGGACCGGGTTCAGCGGGTCCAGGTTCTTGGGCAATTGATCAACCGGTATGGGCCGCCACATGACGTTGTAGAGCTCGACCATCTCCTCGTTGTACATGATGGCCCCGCCAACATGCCAGAGCTTTACGCCATTGTCTACGCGCAGGCGGGGCGAGGTCGTTGCCGTCATGATGTAGACACTATCGGGACTCCACTGGCACACACTGGGGTTCCCGCTCTCGATGGTACAGACCTTTCGGTGGTCCTTTTCGAGGTCGTATACGTCGATCTGGCCCGCCAAATTGCCGAATCCAGCGACCAGGACAAATCGTCCCGTAGGCGAAAAGATGATTGTGTTTCTTGGGCCCATTGGGAAGGAGTGGGTCGCAACGCCGCGGTGATTGAAAATGGTTGTCTTGGCGGGCATGTAGCCGTAGATGACACCAAACTCCCTGCCGTTGGGAGACCAAGCAACGTCGTGGATCGGGCCTTCCTTGTCCAGGGTGACGCGAGCATCGAAGGCGCCGTTCGCACTCAACAAGTACATCGTGGTCTCTCCATAGTAGCTCTTGTTCGACTTGTCAACGTCTGTCTGGGCCAGCACAATCAAGCTGGAGCCCTGCTGGTTCCATTTCAGCTGAACCTTGTCGCCCTTGAAAAAGGTCTTTTGCGAGATGGGGCTCGCAAACTGGGGCACGTTGAAAACTTTGACAGCGGCGGGCTGGCCCTGTTGCGGTAAATGAGAGTCAGCCATGACACACGAGGGACTACGAAACACGCACGGAAAGGACCAGCCAGGTGGAAAGGGGGGGGAGAGGGGATGCTCGATTACCTTTCTCTCCGGCACGAAGACGGCCAGGTTGTGAGTGGACCCGGGAGCGAGGGCGAAGTCCGTGACGCCTTCAACCCTCAGCTTGTTCCAGACAGTCTTGAGGTCGTTGCTGTCGTAGAACTGGACCTCGTTTGTGACGAGTCGGGCGCAGTACTGTTCGTCTGCTGTGTATTGCAAGTTCCAACCATTTTGAGATTTTTGCACGAACTGGCCAAGGGGCTGCTTCGCCGCATCGTCAGCGGAAGGCTCGATGGTGCGCCAGATCTTGAGGTTCTTGGTGGCATCGCCAGCCTCATCCTTGGATGGTCTCTCCCAGGTGGCGATGAAGGTGCCGCGGGGGGAAAAGCCCAGCTCGTAGACGGCTGACAGGGGGAGGGAGGCCAAGACCTGGCCGTTGGAGGCGTCAACAACGCTCACGCCTTCATTAGAGGCCCATGCGAAGTATCGGCCGCAAGGAGAGTATATACAGCAGCGTAGGTTCCCTTCGGGCTTGACGAACCCAGGGAGGGGGGCGTAGACAGGCGCGGCATCAAAGACGCCGATGGCCTTCTGGGTCCGATAGGCAAACTGCAGCGGATTAGCCATGACTAGTTAAAGCCACAGGTGATCGTGATGCAGAGTGGGTGGATGGGACAAGAACGGTCGGTCCTGCACTGTTCGGCTGGTTTTCGGGTTCGGCAGAGGCGGGGTCGCAGGCGGGTCACTGTGTTTCTTCGCGAAGGTCTTGAGCCTGTCGTGAAAGGGCGGCGGGCTGGCGAAAGAGACACTGGCTTTGGGCGAGGTGCAGACAGTCGCAGCAGAGCTGGGGTTGCGAGAAAAGGACACGGAGTGGGGCGAGTGGCGTGGGAAGCGCTCTGGCTCTGGCCCGATGCGTGAATCTTTTTTTCGGTGACTTGTCGGCGCGGGGGGAGGGAGTGCGCTGATGACTGGAGGGTCGAGACAAGCAGTGTCAGTGACAGGTCGACAACAGGATACAGATGCAAGTCGTCCAGCCAGGCTTGTGGACAGGGCCTAGTGTCAAACACTGTGTAGGCGGCTTGAGCGGCGAGCGTCTCTGGCCAGCAACGGTCTCCACTGTCAGGAGGTGCAGACTGTCGGGGAGGCAAGACTCTGTGCCTGGGCGAGGCGGCGACGGTAGGACGGGGCAGGACGGGGCAGGACGGGGCGGGGCGGTTGGAGGTGACGAGGTTGCAGGACAAAGGAAGAGGAGGAGGCTACCTACCCAGGTGGTTGGCTGCTGACCTAGACCGCACAGAGGAGGATCTTGAAGAAAAGAAAACCAGGCGAAAGAGAAAATGCTAGGGAAAGCACCCGCGGGGGAAACAGATTGGCAGCGCGGCAGGGTGCGGTGGGCGAGCGTCTTGGACCTTGCTTGGGCTGAGGAAGGGAAGAGAAGGAGAAGGGAAGAAGCAGACGGGCAGGCGAGGCAGGATGCTGAGTTGCAGCCGTGCCCGTGGCTTGTTGTTTTGGCTCGCCAAGTTTTTTTTGCCCTTTTCTATTTTTTCTCCCTATTTCTCTGCACCGGGCACTGCGCCGCAATGCCCCGGTCAGCCTGACTGGTACCTGGATCGGCTGGGCAGTGGTACTGTGTCCCTACCTAGGGACCCAGGTAGGGAGGTAGGGACCACCTGGGCACCTGTGCAGCTCAGTCAGCACCACCACGGCACCACAGCACCGCTCTGGGCCTGGGCCCTGTTAGTGCAGGGGCACACCACTCCGCACATGACTAACTAACGCTCTTGCTGGCAGCATTTTCCAGAACAGCATCAAAGGACGATGGGACTTATCCCCAGTCAGGCATGGCTCCCGCCCGAATTGCCGTGTAGCGTGCATGCCTCGGTACTACCTACCTGCACAACAAGGAGCCCATTTTGGCCCACAGTCTACCACACCCAGCGCCCTCTCGGCCGAGACCAAGATCCGGCTCAGGATTCGTCTTTGGACCAGTTGTATTAGCCACGGACAGTGCATCTTGACTTGATCTAAGAAGACTCAACAGCTACAGGGTCACCTTCCAGGCGGCTCATCCCAGCCCTTTCAATACAACATCTACACAGATGTGTAGTTATAGGTATACTATAATACGGTCTTGGAAAAGGCAGCCTAAGCATGTTCCAATATAGGGGCCTTAATTCTTTAAATCACAATCTACACAGGACGGGGGGGGGCATCACATGATTATAAGACGCAGCTAAGAGTATAACTATCACGGAACAGCATGTCGACCTTATATACTGTTTAGTGTTTTAAGTATTAACTTAAAATTCTAATCCTTTCTTTTAATTAAGCGGTTCTTTTATAAATAATAATTAGATTTAATATAAATTTTAAATTATATAATAAAAGTTTAAATATTTTTATTATAAAAATATTTAAGATTTTAAAGATATTTTTAAAAAGTTTAAAATAATATTTAAAATAAAAGCTTTTATTTTATAAATAATTAAAAATAAATAGTTTATTTATTTTATATAATTATAATTTTACTTTTATTTTATATATATTTAAAGATATATATAATACTTTTATATAATAATAAATATTTAAAATTTAATATTTAAAAAATATAATATTAAGAATAATAATTATAATATAATAAATATTTATAACCTTAATTTTATAATATATAAATAAAGTTAAAAGGTATTATTTTAATAATAATATTAATTATAAATAAAAGTAATTTATTATTTAATTATTATAAAAAATTATATAATAAAGTTAAGTTTAAAAATAATTATTATATAAATAAATTATATTAAAGAAAGTTTAATTAAAAATTATTCTTTTAAATATATATATAGATATATATATATATATTAATAAAACCTTTATTAAATAAATTTATAAAGTTAATATTATAACTTTTATTTAAATATATAATTAATTTTAAAAGAATTTAAAATAAAGAAATAATTTATAATATATTATTTTAAAACTTTTATAATAAAATATAAAAACTTTTAAAGAAAGTTTTAAAAGTAATTTATAAAAAATAAAAAAGAGTATAATAAACTTATTTTCCATTAAATTTATATTTTTATTATTAATAATTATTAACTTTTAATAATATAAAAATATAATAAAAATAATAAAAGAAAATTTAAAGTTTTTTATAAAAATTATAAGAATATATATAAAGTTATTAAAACTTTATATATAAATTTTAAATTAAAGAAAAATAAATAATTATATAATATAAAAATATATAATATAATTAAAGTTTTATTTATTTTATAATTTATTATTTTATAAATATTTTAAGTTATATATAAATATTTTATTTTAAAAATACTTAATAATTATATATTAAAATAAAAATATTTTTATTATTATATAAAATTAGAAAAATATTTATATATTATTTAATCTTTTAATTTCTTAATTAAATAATCTTTTATAAATAATAATAGAATTTATATTATTTTTAATAATAAAAGTTAATAATATATTATTATTAAATCTTTTATAATAAAATATTAAAATTTATAAAAAATAAAAAATAATTTATTTAAATTAATAAAAAAGAAAAAATTAAAGTTATTTTATTAAAAATTAATATAAATATAAATTTCTTTTAAATATATAGTTAAAAGATTTATAATTATAAATTTATAATTAATTATTTATTTAATTATATTATATTACTATAATTTTATCTAACTTTATTTAAGTTTTTTTAAACTTTTTAATATTTTTCTTTTAAAAGAGTTAAATTTAAAAGGAGCCTTTAAGTTTAAAATTAAAATTTTATAAATTTTAATTACTTTTAAATTAAGCTTATAATTCTTTAATTTTTTTAAAATATATTAATTATTTTAAATGTTAATAACTTCTCTTTAAAATAAAGTTTATTTTTATATAATTATAAATTTAATTATTAATAACTATTTCTTTTTATTTATAAATTATTAAAATTATAAACTTAAAGTAAATATATTATATTAAAATTAATTCTTAAATTTATTTTTAAACTCTATTAATATAATTAAATATTATATATAATAATAAAGTATAGTTACTTTACTTAATTATCTCTTAGTTTAATAAGTTATATAATAAGTTAAGTAACTACTTTTAAGTAATTTTATTTAATAAATATTTATTTAAATAAAGTTAAAACCTTTAAAGGAATAATAACTTTATTTTTATTTATTTTAACTAACTTATATATAAAAGTTTAAGTTATATAATAACTTTATATATAATATTTAATAGTATTAAAATTAACTTATAATTTATAATAACTTTAACTTTTAATAAATTAATTAATATTAAAACTAATAATATTAATTTAAACTAATTAAATATAACTTAATATATTAATATATAAAAGTATCTTTTAATAATAAATAGTATTATAAATAATTATAAAGTTATTATAAAAGTTTTATATAATAAATTTAATTAAATTAATTTTTAAAAGATATATTATATTTTATTTCTTTAAAACTTTAACTATTTACTTTTAACTTAATACTAGAATTAAAAAAATATAAATAATTTATATATATATATATAAAGTTATTTAAAACTTTATATAAATTTTAAAAGAAAATAATAAATATTTATATAAAAATAAATTCTATAATATAAAAGAAAGAAATAATATAATTAATACTTTTTTATAATTATATAAATAAGTTTAAATAGTAAGAGGATTATAAATAGTTAAATAGTTGAATTAAAAATATAATATAGTTAAAGCCTAGCTATATTTAAATAACTAGTCGGGAGATTCCCCGCGGCCTCAAAAGGCTACTACCATATGATATCTTGATACCATATGGATTATGACGAGATGGAAATGACTTGCGCTCCCATGATTCTAATGCACCTGGGCAAGCTAGTCGCTAGTCCCTCAGCGCGGCCGTTGTCGTTGGAAAAGTCCACCCACTGTGTAAGCACACTGCATATGCGTGCCGCCAACTGGCGGCAGCAATTATTGATGCAAAGAAGTCTTATCAGGCAAACCCCTCCTGAAGTCCCTAGTCATTATTTTGCCGACTTAGTGCTCACGCTGGTGGGTGACACGACATGGTCTCTGGAACCCAAAATGCGGAGCAAGACAACACCACTTGCTTCGTCATACTATCTTATGGTAACAACGGTCCATGCAAATCACCGTCGGAAGCAGGCCACGGAAGGTGAAGCCGGACTTGGCCCGCACTTTCCTATCATCCTCAACAGGCTTTGGTGGGGACCATGGTCAACCGGTCTTTAATTACTTGGCAAAGAAGAGGCAGAGGAGCATAGTCCCATGCAGTACTCCCTAGGCAAGTCGGACCTTATACGTCTTATTGACATGGGCCATAGGCACCCAGGACTCTGATATTGCTACATGTGTGCTGTTCCTCCAAATAGATAAGGGACAGCAAGAACAGTGCCTCATTGACAGTTTCGTCAGCATCTCTCCTCGCATATATTGAATGCCGATTCTTTCCAATATTAACTTGGAACCTAAGTGGACCCAAATTCCGATACCTCTGAACATTCGCACTCGCCATGGCCATCGAATCCTTCATAGACTCTCTGGCGTTGCCTACAACCGATTTGTTGGGCTTCTTCCTGGCAGCAGTGGCGGTATACTTTCTTTTCTCGGCGATCTATACATGGAGTCGTCTTCGAAAGATTCCCGGACCTTTCATAGCCTCTTTCTCCTACTGGTGGGCGCTCTCCAGTGTCGTCAGCGGCCGAGAGCCGTGGGTCTATGCTGCTCTGGCCGAGAAGTACGGTCATCTCGTCAGAATTGGCCCTCGGCTGCTCCTCACTGATGACCCTGATGTCCTGAGGAGGATGTCCGGGACACGCAGCCAATATAACAAGGACGCTTCCTATCTAAGTTCAATCAGGCATCCCGACTACCACACCATGTTCTCGACGCTAGATGCTTCAGCTCACGATGCCATCAAAGCAAAACTAGCTAATCCCTACGGGGGACGCGAGACCCTGGGCATGGAACCGATTGTGGATGGTATGATCAACGCTCTCCTCCATCACCTCCGAAGTAAGACGACTCAGAATGCTTGCCTATCAACCACTGTCAATTTTGCCACAATAGCCAGCTATTTTACGTTAGACACCATCACCCGCATCACATTCGGAAAGGCGATGGGCTTCCTGGAAACCGACACTGACGTCGGGGGTCTGTTTGCCGGTGGTCGCTCGGCCCTGAGAACTTTCACAATTCCAATGTCAATCCCATGGCTACGCAGAATTACCCTGTCCGGTTGGTTCCTTAGGACCCTCGGTCCAAAATCGACAGACACAGAAGGTTTTGGTCTTGTCATGGGGTAAGTGCAAATCCTGCCGGTGCCAAAGAACCTCCCGAGATCTGAAAAGCTGACACGAAACCAACAGGGCGGCCGAGAAGGCGGTCAGGGAGCGATACCGGCCGGGGGCTCCTGATGAAAAAGACTTGATGGTATGTCATCATCATATGCGGGCTTCCGTGGCTCTTTACGGGTGCTAATGAACAGGGCGCTTTCAAACGGCATGGCCTCGAAGAGGGACCGTGTCTCAGCGAAGTGTTGTTTGCTGTCACTGCCGGCTCGGACACGGCGGCATCAACGATGCGATGCACCATGCTTTATCTCATGTCAACTCCGCGCGTTTACAACAAGCTGAAGTTCGTTGTTTCCGAGGCCGTTAGGAAAGGGGGCATCTCCAGCCCCATCAAACAGGAGGAGGCAAAAGCAATCCCCTACCTCCAGGTGAGCAGCAGGCACATGCCATGGATCATGTGCCTCTCATTATACGAGGCAGACAAAAGTCATATAGAGTACTGCTCACTGATCCATTCCAGGCTGTGATATACGAGGGCCTCCGCATGCGTCCTCCGGTCCCGACCAGTAAGCAGCTTCTAGATACCTCAAAAACGGAACACCCCGTCCTCAGTCGCTACAGCGACCTTTTAACCTAGTATTTGCTTTATGGGCATCAAGCCACTAATTCAAATTCCTTGACCGCTGATTCTCAATGTTGCAGTGTTTCCCAAAGTCGTGCCTCCTCAGGGCGATGAGATCGACGGAAAGTTCATCCCCGGTGGCACTTCAATAGGGTGGAACTTGATGCCCATGATGCGGTCACCTCGTTACTGGGGCCATGATCCGGAGATCTTCCGGCCCGAGAGATTCATAGAGGCGGACGACAAGGCTCGACTGGCGATGAAGCGGAACGTAGATATCGCTTTCGGATACGGCCGGTACGGTTGTGCCGGAAAGCCGTTGGCGGTGATGGAACTGAACAAGTTCTACTTCGAAGTAAGTCTATCTGTCGGTCACTGGAAGTTCTCACCCGAAGCTCAAGGACAATGGCAGCTCTTCCGAAACTTCGATTTCCAACTAGTGAACCCAATGAAGCCGTGGGAATCTGAGTGTTGGTCCATATGGACCGAAGACAATTATTTCGTTCAAGTCACGGAATCCGAGTGTGCCTGACAGCCGGCAGTTGTGGTGGGAACTTGCTCGCAACGAGGCTTCCTTTTGGCTGCATCAGCACTCGAGTGCTGATTGCATGATGCTGGGTTCGGCAGCCTTGGAAGCGGCGTGAACCGAGGGAAGATATCGAAACCAGGCCAACTACGAGTTCGTTATGCATCCACAGCCCCAATGTGCCTAGGTTGCTTAATTGGCGCATTCTGTCATCCGGTTTTTACCACTTGTGTAATCAATTCGGTCCTTCTTAAACTGCACAAGTGTTAGGGATCCGCGGTATTCCGGGGAAGTGATGCTAGACATCTGGACCTGTACCGGTGATGTTGCCCATTGACCCACGTCTGATACCGGCCCACATAGCACATTTTGTCGACATGTTCTGGGAGCCACATAGTGCAGAGCCAACTTAGAACACAGAGAGGCTCACCCCCAGTCTTCCATGCAAGCAACTCCCGCCCATACAACTATTACTAACTGCCTCTCGACACCAACCGTGTTACCCTGTTAGTGCAACCACAGAGTTCACAGTGAACACATGATATCCCAGAGGATTACTCGGAAACCTTCATGGAATTCGAATGTAGTAATTGATGTGCCACATTGTGCTTGTTAGACCTCGCTTTGGGCTGATCCGTGTCGGCCCGCAATCTTACAAGATGCTCTCGAGTTGAGCACGGGCTGGCTGGAAATTCCCGATGAAATACGGAGTACCACTTTATGAGGACGCCGTGTATGTCCTCGGACGTATACGGAATAGAAGCTAAACCAGTTACGCTCGACACTACTGTGCTGCACCTGTTCGGTCGAAGCCACCGAGCCTATCTACCATTGCTTCATGATTGATCATCGATGAATCGTGCAGACGTACGAGGTACACGCACTGAGCAACTTGAACTGCTCGGCCGAGCAGCCCACATGCAGTGGTATGTATGTAGTAATAGCAGAGCTTGTGATTCCGGAGATGTAGTAACAGATGCGATTGGTGTATGTGAGTGCCGAAGGCTCATTTCAGATCTGTAAATGTAGCCCTATTCTATCCTAAACACCCGATTTCAAATACCCCGGCGGACTAAACGTGCAATGTATGAGCTGTAAGTATATGTGTATATATGTGTGCGTGCGTGGTCGTGTGTATCTGTGTCCGGCCTCGTGTCGCGAGTCCTTGGAAGAAAATGATCCCGAGAAATGACGGTGTACGGAGTACAAGAAAGCAACGCCGCCCCGATCCAGAGAGCCATGCAACCTCAAGCAAAGAGAGAGAGGTGAGAGCGTCAGCTCACCTCCAGAATAGCCTGCGCTCAAGCGGCCGAAACAAGATTCGCCTCAAACAAGGCCAGCGAAAAATACACGCACATTGAGAACTTCTCGTCTTGTGTAGCACAGCAGATTATGGCACAATGCCGTCCAGGTTCCACTCCGCCTTCTGCGCTCGCCTCAGGACCTCTCGGCCCTTCTCGGTCAGCTCGGGTTGGCCGCCGTTGCCGGTGACCTGTTTGAAGAAGACGGGCTTGAAGTCCTCGCCCGCCCTTTCTCTCTCCCTGGCCTTCTCACGTTGCGCCTCTTCCAGATCCTGCTTGATTGTCGTGGCCTTGGAGAACTGTTTGCCAACGATTGCATCTGTCACGCCGCTCCAGAGTTTCAACGACTCGTGAGGCAGTTGCTGATCCATGGGCGGGAGAGACTTGGGGGCCACGCTGAGGGGCTCTATGTCTATAATGGTTGTTCTTGCCTCAGGTGGGTGAGAGTCCTGTGCGGTGTTGGTCAGTACGCACTGTTGGGAAACAGAGCAGGCGGTGCGACAACTCACAAAGGGCTTGGGGCCTGTGGTAAACTGGATCTTCTCCTTCCATGCCCCGTGCAATCTTATCAAGATGTCCTCGTCAGGCACGTCCTTGATCTTCTCCTTGTCGTCGTTTTCTGGGTCGTACTTGAAGACGATCCCGTCCATCTTGTTGGTCGAGCCCCGCAGCCACCCCTCGTCGTAGTAGTTTAGGATGGCCTTCAACTTGGTCTGCGGGCAGGTGATGTAGGCCATATCTCCGACACTGACGCTGAGGGCGCCCCGGAGAAGACCACCCAGATGAGCTGCAGGGTGCTTCAACTGGTAGGTCTCGTTGTTCCTCCTCTCCAAGGTTATGAAAATCCCCAAGTTGTGCTCTCCCGGACTGACCTTGATTGAGGTACCGGTGAACTTGGCGCTGATCTGGTCGAACCCGCAGGCATGAAGGCCCTTGTCAGGGCAGTCGACATAAAAGGCACTGACTGGAGGATGGTGGGAAGTCTGCTCTGTCAGGTATGAGACGCGAACTACGGGATCTGTCGGGTCCTTGGCGGTCTGTGGGACTGATACGGTTGAGGCTGCCCGCGAGCCCCCGGAGCCGAGCCCGGCCAGCCTGCCGGACTTCAGGCTGGAGGCACCACTGCCTGGGACACTACCGCCGGGGTTGGCGTCTTTGGTCTTGATCCTCGGCGCATTATCCTCGGTCTCCCAATTGCACTGCACAAGAAGACATGATTAGCGGCGTTTCACACGAGGCAAGCAACTTGGGCACATACCCTGAAGAACTCGCCGAGGCAAGAATTGTAGGGCTTGCATGGCTTCCCCTTTGCGTATTTCAGATCCTTTGTAAACCAGAAGCGCAGAGCCTCCAGCATGCGGTCGACGGGGTCGTCGGAGGTGCCGATGGCTATGAAGGCATTGGGCGCATCGAGATAATTCCAGTACTCGAGGTTTGGCGTGGGCTCCAAGAGTTGTGAGGGCAGAGAGAAGCGGACGGAGGCGAGGTCGGCAACGCCGATGAACCTAGGCAGTGGAAAACGTCAGCGTCGTCAAGGCATGTATCTCTGTCCTGTCCACCCAGCGCGGCACCAACACCGGCACAGGTACAAGGCACCGGGGCCGAGCCCCGAGTGAGCGGGCGGCAAGCCGAGTCGGGACCAAGGGCCTTGTCTGGTGTTTCGGTTGGTCGCAACCCGTCCAAACAAGATATAGGCGGGGACGGAGCGGTGGACGGGCGATGGGGACACATCGGCGCGAGAGATGGGCACTCACTTCTTCAAGATGCCGATAAAGATGCGTAGCTTCGAGCTGTCGCTGTGGTTCTCCTCCGGGGGAGGGGCTATTGTCGGAGGGGCGCTGGATGCTGACATGTTTGGAGGACAGGGGCGTGTCGGCAGGACAGCGGAACAAAGGGGCAAAGGCCCGGCTTTCGAGGAGGACGGGTCGTCTAGGTTTGATGGCGGGTGTGGTTCCGAGGTGGCAGACACGACTGGAAGAATGCTGCGATGGGAAAAGGGGAGGGGGGAGGGACTTCTGGCCTCGGGAGAAGGAGTCCTGAGCTTGGTAGGGGTTAGGGAATGGCGGTGATGCAGACAGATTCGCGAGTCGTCGGTCTGAACAGGACGAGTGTGGTGAAGGGGGGGACTACGCACGGCGAGGCGAGGCGAAGGCCAGACCACAGCGTAGCAGAATGCGCAATCGGGGGCTCCGATAAGATAAGCAAGCAAGCAAGCAAGCAGCTTGGGCCTGAATAGCATCCCGCCCGCCCACGCAGTAGTGGCTAGGCCTGGCACGAGCAGACGAGCAGGCTAGAGGGCGCCAGAGGGTTCCCCAGAGGCCCGAGGGGTCGCAGACTCGCAGGTGTGTTGATGCTGCGGCCAAGAGGCACGGATGCGGCGCCTGGCATCTGACACCTCCTACGCTGGGCGAGATGGAGGGGCAGCGGGCCAGCTGCCCTGCCGCAGCCTCGCTCGGTGCACATGACGGGCGAGACAGGAGTAGAAGGAGGTGACGCAGAGGTGCACCGTGGCCAATCATCCAGCCACGAGCATGTGCCCTCTCTGCCGTCCCTCCCGTCCACAGCCTCAGGACATCAGACATCAAACATGAAGCCAGGGTTAGGGCCGGGACTAATGGCAGTCTATCCGCCTCGGTGCGTTGCCGTTGGGGGGGGGGGGGGAGGAGAATGAGATGATACACAGTATCAGAATATCTACTCACCCCCAACTGCGAACAGAAAAGTCGGGTCACCATCCTGCTCCTTATCAACCCAGCCTCAAGCACATGGTGCTGTGCGGACTACTTTGTCTTGGTCCGGTATCATCGCCGGCCCACGGTGATGGGTGGGACCCTGGGTTGGGGAACCGTGACGGGACGGGAGGCTTCCTTGCGCAGTGCGCACAGAAACCACCACCACCTTGCAGCCCTTGTTGCCCGGCTCCAACTCCAGCTCCAACTCCAAAAAAAAAAAAAAAAAAAGAGACTGACTCGGCCCTGACGTCAAATCGCATTCTCAGCTCTTTCCGCGACGCAGGGACTCGAGGAGTCGAGGGTGTGTGTATCATCAAGACGCCCGTGCCGCTTTGATGGCCGCCGATGCCCCTCGGAAACGCGCGCAGACATCAGGCCTAGGGCACAGCTTGTGCGATTCAGCAATGTCACAGAGTCATTGTGGCGATGTTTCGTGAGCCAGGGATACCTTCCCCCAAACAACCCAAGCTGATCACCGCCGCCCAAGATGAAGCAACACGGCAAGGATTGACCTCTGACCGGCTCGTGATCGCACAGGCACGAGTGAAGATCTCGTGTGCCAGTTGTGCTGCACGAACGCTGGCACGCAGACCATGGCCTTGTTTAGCCGACGGGAGATGGAGCAGGAGTCGCACACACGCTGCCACGGCACAGTAACTCCAGATGTCTTCATGGGGACCCCGGCCCACCACCGCCGAAGCCCCGGGACGGGCACCCACTGCCGAAGCTCCCCCGTCCCGAAACGTCGTATTCCGGCCAAGGACATTGTTGAACACGAGGTCTCTTTGTCTGGCTCACCCACCCCCGTGGCAACCGGGGTCGGGCCCTAGGCCCGGAGAGAAGGTTTGCACCAGCGGCCGGTCCCATGCCTACCGACCGTTGCTCCTTGGAAACCCCCTACTCGCTACCCGGCCCAATCTACGCCCATTCCACTTTACACATGGTTCACTGTACGGGCTGAAGGGCTCGTCTTACCATCTCGGTTCATTAGTGCCTCCGAGGACCCAACGTGGCCCAGAGATGATGCCGTGCTGTTCAGGGTCCAGCGAGCCGCAGGCCGGCTGGCTAGCCCGGCGAGCAAAGCTTTTGGGGGGGGTTGGGTTGGCGGGCAACGGGCTATGGGGCACACACAGCCGTCACCGATCGAATTGACAGGTCAACTAGAGCCCATCGAACCGATCGCCGTGCCAAAAATAAGCGATGTACTCATGGAAACATATCTACGGTTATCTGGGTACGAGGATGAGACGCAGGGTCCATGCGTGAGCCGTTGCATTATTGACGCCGCGGCCAAGTTTGCGGGTGCCGCGTCGAGAAATGATCGTCGAACCATCTCCGGCCACGAACTCAATATTGACAGCCTACCTGCCTACCCGCTTACACAACCAGGACACTTCCGGGGCGGGAGCCGTGGACACCACGGTCAAGGGGGTTCGGTTCTCTCGTCATCCACTCCCCTCATCACCGACGTTGGTTGCCGTGCCGCGTTCGATCTTGTGCGATCGGTCTTGTTTGCCGGAGTGGGAAACGGAGGATGCGCACACGAGCTCGTATCTCGGCATCCAAAACATGTTGGGTATATGTATTGGAGGAAATGGTTTGATGATCGACATCGCCCCCGCGGTGCTTCTAGAAAAATCCTGGCTCTAGCTCTTCGGCATTGCAGCATGGTTCCGTGGACCCTGGATCAGCATGTTGGGGCTGACGGGCTGACGGCGGTTATTAGGGGCAGGACAGGCGTGTACGTATGGTCGTGCACACACCGTTCTGCACGCGCACACACACACACACAAAACACTCAGATTCAAGTCTTCTGGGGATGGCTGCGTCCCTTCCGTCAATCCAGTGTTGGCCTGGGCAAGGAGTGTACTAAGTCAGTGTCCTGTGGCGCTGAGCGCCCGCACTTACAATCCCAAAGATTTCATCAGCCAAGGCCCAGTGCATGAGCCCGAATGCTCGTGCTCAAGGCCAAAGATTTGTTTGTTTCTTTTTGAACGTTATACATAAAAATATCACCTAAACCTGCAGTGCATCCAGGGAGAATTGGTTGGTGCGTAAATGCACAGGGAGTTGCCGGTCAGCCCTCCCACCGATGGTACTGCGTACCTGGCAGCAACGGTGTGTACGCCGCCTTGCATCGCAAGACAGTTTTTGTAATCGTTGACAAAGCATGTTGGCCACATGGCCAGGATGCAAGACGCACTCCGAGAGATGAAAGAACCAAAAAGGGCTCGTCCTTGCACCCTGTCGGTCCCCTGTCGGGGGGTGGCTCGGGAGGTTTCGTTGACATCTCGCGTCGCTGGACGAAAAGAGGCTAGGGTCCAAGAAGCGAGCTGTCATATCCCCACAATGACGACAGTCTTATGGTCTTGGGAACTCCGTTGCTGGGACCCATGTTTGCACGGTATACACCACTACGCCAGCCGATGGGCCGGGCGGACGTGCACGGGGCCAACAGGGTATGTAGAAGCACAGACGCGGACAGTGGCCCCCCTGGGATGGCCTGTCAAGCCTGCAAGCCTGTCTCAATCCGACAGAGAGGGGGCGCTTTAATCCCTCGAGGACGAGACGGATGGTTGGTGCACGCTCAGAACAGCTACTCCCTATATACTACAATAAACAGGCATTCTCGGCAGGTCCTCCAGGCTTGCCTGGGTACGGTTGTGTTTGTGTGATACATACACAGTAGGATGGTTCCGGGGACCCTTGGTACGTCTGCACAATGAAGACAGAATCAGACAGCGGCGTGCGGTAGGTTGCGGGTGGGGCCTCTCTCCGAAAGCGAGCTTGAGCGAGCCACGAGTCAACTTCCTGGGCCGTCTGCTTCGCCAGGATAGACTCGCGCCGCAGATGAGCGTCGGCCCTGGGCAGTGTGACGCAGCGGGAGCGCAACGGGGCCATCACCATCCTGCTGGTGGTGAAAAGGAGGACATTCGGAGGTCTTTTCTCTGGACGCCGATTGCGATTCGCAAGATGCAAAGACTGATTCGACCAGCCGCTGGTGCGTCATGAAACGTGGTGTACTCCGGACGATGTTGCCGACGCCAGCCGGGCTGGCGTGAGCTACCACATGCGCCCATATGGCAGCCCGACGTACGGGCACAGCTGGCGGACAAAAAACGCAGCTCTGGGGACCTGGGGGCCTGTTCTTGTCACTGCTATGGTTTTGGTCACTTGTTTCGTGCCGCGGTGTGCTTGTGGACCGGTGGGCATGCGCGAGCCGGCATCTGCTGGGGCGCTGCCAGTCGGAGGTTTTGGGTTTTTGGCGTTCGGCCTCTCTTTGAGGTGGCTGTGACGTCACAGCCGAAAGCCAATTCGCAAGTCAGGCTCTGCAGGGGGAGCACAGCCAGTGGGGGTCAGAGAGTTCAGATTGCCGGGCAGGTACGCTGGATGCTGGAGCTCGATGCTCGCCGCAGGTGGAGGTCGGTGTGGCAGGTGCAGTGGGTTCTCGGGTGGGGGCTGGAGACTGGAGACATGGATGCGGAGATGGGCACGGGTTGATGGAAGGCCAGGCTTGGGCGCTTGATTGGCCGGCTGGCTGATGGGGAATGCCATTCTGCATTTCCGTGCTAGACGAGACGAGACATGACCTCTTGCCTGGCCGCCCGTCTTCCTGTGTCTGTCCGCCTACTACCCACATTTGACTGCCAGCCAGTCAGTCAGTCGGTCAGTCAGTCAGTCAGTCAGTCAGTCAGTCAGTCAGTCAGTCAGTCACCTGTCTGATCACGGCTCCGGCTCCGGCTCATGCTGAGGCTCCGGCTCAGGCTCAGGCTCAGGCTCAGGCTCAGGCTCAGGCTCAGGCTCACTCTCAGGCTCACTCTCAGGCTCAGGCTTGCGTGGGTCGCCCTGTGGGCCTCGAGCTCCCCTCACACCCACACCGAGCCTCCCCCGGGGCCCAGCGTTGAATTTTGTCGATGGGGCCTGTTATGTCTAACATGCCCACCGGAACCTTCTGCCGTCCCACAGACGTCGGCTTGTGTGTCGGCTTGACTCGAGGCTGTGGTTGCTGTGACGTCAATGCCCTCGAGATCATGGTGAAGATTCCTCCGTCGTGGTATTTTCTGCTTGTGAGCGGCCTGGGATCAAGGGACTCCTAGCGCTGTCATTTTGGATCATGCGCGACTTCTCTCTGCTCCATCTGCTCCTCCAACCGTCACCAGTGGGAAAGAACATACGACGTATCTGGTACAAGCGGTTTGCGCCCAGCAAACGAAACTGATCTCAGACCAAACGAGTGGTGATGTCCCTGTCGGCCTATAGCATACTCAGTGAGAAGGCATCCCGGCCGTAGGGGGGCGTGTCGAACTCTGTGTTTGACCGCAGAGGAATGGCAGCCAGCATCCATCCCCGACGTCGATTGTCTATATTCAACGGCGCACGAGCTTGGGGCTGGGCCATTCCGAGTAAATCAGCCCTATAGCGTGCCGTCGTAATATCAGGCCTGCGGGTGCAGCAGACCTTTGGGCCGCGTCAAGGCCCCTCTGGCACTAATAAAGCTGTGTTTCCACCATCGTCACAACGAGAAGCATTGAACCAGACTTCAGGACCCTGTCGTGCATTGTTTGGCCCCCTCCGCTAGTCACAACGTCTTTGCACGGCCGTAATGCGTCCGACCAAGCCCAGATTGGGCATGCTTAGAGGCAGTTGACCCTGACGCCTGGGCGTTTGTTGTAAGCCAGATGGAAATGCCCGAAACGCGACCTGGTGTGGAAGAACGGTTTGCCGAAATTGGCAAGCATTGGGGTCAATGCATCCGAGACAGCAACGTGGCTTGTGGGCGTCTGGTTGTATACAATATCATGCCTGGGTTGATATTCTGGAAAGCCCGTAGAAGCCACTCTCGTGCCCATGCTCCACACTTGTTAGATTCGCCTGGACACACACAGAATGAGCTCTCACTATTTCCTTGCTGGGGCAGTCCACCGGGCATGTCTATACAAGTACGGGTGACATGGCCAGACATCAAAGTGTGGCAGTCAGTGTTGCCGGCTGCTATGCTTTGGACCTAGTGTGATTAACACAGTATTTGGAGCCTTTCCTAAAGTGCTTGTTGCATGGTGCAACGCGCCAAGGGGGTGTCACATGAACCCTAGGCGAGCACGTTCTTTCTGAAATACGCCGGCGGCCGTTGTCAAGTCAAAATCTCGGGCCGCAAAGGCGGTACAGCCAGCCCTGGTAGGTTGGTAGGGTATATGGAGTAAGATGATCGGCTGCTCTGCCATTGTTAGCCTGCGGCGGAAGGGGCCTCGGCTCAGCTTGTCTGCCTGTCAGCCTGTGCGGCCGATGTGCGGGCGTGCATACTCTGAATACGTATGTATGCAGGGTCGACACCAAAAGGAACCCTACACCGCACGCCGTGTTGGAGAGCCTGCAGGTGCGACGCGAACCGAAGAGCACCATAGGCCGTTAGCATACCACTGTGGCAACATCTACGCAGCACCAGCCACGCAAGCCACAGGCCTCCAACTCTTTTATTCGATGAGGACGGTCAAAGTTGGGTTAGCGATCTGTTTAAGTTTATCTGCACGGCGATCTGCTAGACTAGGCAGGGTAAGGTGCTGTCGATCAAGCCTTGTGGGCTCTGTCATTCCGCAGGCGTCCTCTAGCCTTACCGAAACCTAATAGGCGGACCGGCACAGCGGGCAGTGGCAGGTTGGTGCTTCAGCAAAGCCTATGCGGGCTCTGTCTGTGAGTCTGTGTAGTCTGGTAGTCTAGTCTTTCAGCGCGCATCAGCTCGGGAGAAGGGAGCGCACTCACTCGCACGGTAAACGCATCGCCGGGATGTCGAACCAGCCCATGAACACAGCAGATGCTATGCCACGTGCTCCCCAGTCACACCACTCCTATCGAGCAATGTGGACGACCATGATGCCATGGTGTAGCGCAGGAGCCCGGGTCTTGTCCCATACCCCCATGGAGCTTGAGGGCGCGGCACCCACCAGCGAATAGCCTACTGCGACCCAGACCGCCATGAGACAGAGTTCAGTAGCCGCCTACGGCCGGAAGGGGCCAATCGCGCATGACACAGCGCACAGTAGCTGTCGGCCGGCGCGCACTACCTACATCTGGTAGGCCGTGGTTTTCATTTGGCCTTTTATCGCTTGCTGGGCCCCAGACAGATGGCCGTCAGTTCTGGTGGCCGCCGCCATCTGCATGGCTAGCAAAGGGCAGATACCAGGGAAGGGCAGTGGGTGACACAGAAATATGTGACACAGAACTATGTGGCGAATGCGGCAACAGCACCGCCTCATGGCCCCCTAATTAGGTCATCTCGCTCGGGCCAAGATGCAATCGGGACCTCCCAAAGATTTTGACGACGCGATGTAACGGCGCAGGTCGTGCGCAGGGGACAGACTGTCGTCACTCTACTCTCCAATGTCACGGCGTCGTCCTCGCCGAGATGAACCCGGACGAACAGAGCCAAGGCATAGTACGGCAGGGGTGAGCAGGTAATTGGATCGGGATGGGGGACATGATGATGTTTAGAGTGCGAGCCCGGCTGCGCGGCTGCGCGCCTGTGAAGAGCAGGAGCTGATGCACCTGTCTTATCTTGAGCGGCGTGCATGTCGATATCAGTGGCGGTGATATTGTCGGATGCTGTGTGGTGGTAATGCTCCCTGGGAGGGCGCATGCTGGGAGTCCCTGCATATGGAGGAAGAGAAAGGCACAATATGGGACGGGCTCGGCCAGAAGTGGCAAGGAGGGCCTGCCGCAGCAGGGCCCGAGGAATTCCCTGGGGCCTGGATAGGCAGTGTTGCCGGCATGAGGGTGGGATATGCTCCGAATGAAGGTTTTAGCCTGTGCATAGTTGGACTCTAAACCGCATGTCGACGCTTCGTGGGGTTCACGTGCGTGCTTCCTTGGCAGCAGACCTTGTCGACATGGCCCGACCGACATCAGCCCACCGGCCCAGCCAGTCGTCCGCACAGCGACACATTCCGACATTTGTCGGCCACGAGAGCAGCGACGGTGCCCTGAGCTGCCTGGTTGCGTTGCAAGTCCCCACAGCGCCCATGGGCCGGCACGGTCCTGTGGAACACTTCTGAAGGGCACACAGGACCCCACCATGTCTCGAAGCGAGGGCGGCGATCTTGATGCACAACGTCTGCTCAGCCACACGAGAAGCCGGAAGAGGGGTTGCCACCGGCTTTGGATCGATCCCCAAGCAGCAACCTGAGGCGTTCTGGTCAGGAGGGATAGGGTGGGGGTCGGCCGCGTCGCCTGCGGTGGGTGCCGTCGCTGCCGTGACTGCCGGTCCCTCGTTGGGGTGAGGCTGTCGCTGGCGAAAGCCACTACCGCTGGTGCTGGCGTAGGTGCTGGCGCCGGGTCGCCACCAAGAAATGACTGATCGATGGGTGGTGGAATTGGCCTTGGGTGAGGGCACGAGTGAGTGAGCAATGACTGACGATGAGTCGGGAAGGCTCCCGCGCCCCGAAGCTGTGGTACAGGACGGCGGTGGAGCCCTGGTCCATGCGTCGACATGGGGCAGGGAGAAGAAGAAGGGAGGACTGTACACAGTACACAGTACCGCCCGCCGGGGCTGATACTTTGTACTTGTCCGCGGTAGCAGCAGGACTGGCACCAGACGGTTGGTGGTGGGTGGGCAGGGGCTAGGTGCCCAGGGCCCCAGGTGGGTTGGAAGGATGGGTGCCTGCAAGCCTGGTAAGCAGATTAGGATTGCGGTGACATGGTGGGTTTGTATCCCCCCCGTCCCGCCCCCTTCTGGTGAGTGTCTCCGAGTGTCTGTCTGGCCACTATTGACGCTCGCTTGGTCGACACGCCGCGCCTGTGTCCAGGGCCCTGCTGGCCATGGGCTCGACGTTCCGTCATCCAGCCGTGGAGTGACTTGTGTGTGCAGTTGCGGCCTTGGTGGGCGTGCGCTTGGGGGTGCTGTGTCCCCGCGACCCGGCCCGATAGGGACACCCCACCCCCCATTCGCGTGACAGATCATGCAGACAATACCCGCCACACCCCCTGCGCGAGTGACCTGGCCGCGTACCGAGTACCTGTCTGGTAGCCGGTACCCACGCAGCAGCAGGTGGGCGCAACACAGCCGTTGCCGTTATTGCTTGCTGGCCCTCCTTGTAGCTGCTCCCTCCTCCTCCTTGGTCCCCCTGGCCCTGGGTAACTGGTACTCGGTGGCCTGTCTACCGCCCTGCCGCTCCTGCGCTCCAGGGTCGAGGACCCAAACTTCTCAGGTTCAGAGTCCCAAGCTCAGTGTCGATCGCGCGCACACTGGTCTTTTTATGTCTGTTCTGCTGTCACTTGCAAAGCACTAAAGGACTGGCTGGACAGCATCGGTCTGGACAGGCTTGTGCCTCCCGTTCTCGTCGACTTATTAGATAGACCTCACGCTGTGGGGAGCAGTCACTTTGTCGACAACCACCCGCACACCTCGTGCTCGTGCTTACACCTCCTGCCACAGCAATCTGCTGCTGCTGCTGCTGCTGCTGCTGCGTACTTCTACCTCTCTGCACCCCTCCCCCCTCCGACCCGGCTAAGCCTGACCTTTTCTGTCCTGCCTGTTTATCTACCTGTCTTGCTGGCTGTTGCTGTTCTCCTCCGTACCTACCTAGGCCGCCTACCTATATCTGAGGACGGCTCCACCTTCCCGCCTGTCGGTATTGGCCGGTCCTTCTATCCTATATTTCGCGCCACGCTTCGTCCACCTTGAGATTCCCACTTGCAAGCCCGACTTGGCTCGAACTACCTGGCTGGGCTTATATACCACTCACACATCCACACACACTCTTGCACAGGCGCGCGCGCGTGCAGTACATATGGTGCCTTGCTTCCCGCCGCCTGCTCTCATCCCTTCCAGCTCCCCCTCTGGCTTCATTTGGTCTTGCCATTTTCTTTCGGGCCTTTTTTTTTTTGCGAAGAGCCAGCCTGCCTGTTCGAACCTTTTCCCTCCTGGCCAACCTACCCTTGTCCGGCCTGCGCCCAACCTGGTGCCCTGCCCTTCCCTGCCCTGGCCCTGTTAGTCTGGCGCATCTTCTCTCTGCGTCCTCCTGCCTTTTCCACCTCTTCTGTCTCCTGCTCCCACACCTGCACCGGATCTGTCTCTACACTTGCATTTGTATCGACGGCCGCATCCACGCGCGTCTGTGCCCTTCCCTCGCGCCTCCGCGCCGCAGGCCTGCGAATACTTTGTCCCCAGTACCGAGGACTTCGATTGGGAACCTGCCTGCCACCCAACGCTCGCTCGCTCGCTCGCTCGATCAATCATTCAATCAATCAATCAATCACCAACCAGCTCGCTCGCTTGATTGCTTGCTCCCTCAGTCCAAGCTTACGGGCGCTGTCTCTCGTTTTTATCGCACACCCGCGACCCGCAGGCAAAGACAACTCCCGAGAAGGAACAACACGAAGGGGGAACCCCTTGCAAGGAAAAGAAGAAAACCAGAAGAAGAGAGTTGTCAACCTGTCCAGGCTCACCGTCGCCGACCGCCTCAGTCACCTTCAACAAGACGTGCTTGCTTGCTGGTTTTATTCGACCCCGTGCAGAGTGGACTGCAATACAAGGCACACCCGCAGCTCAAGTACTCCAGAGGTCCGAGGCCAAGGTCATCGACCGGAGACCAGCACGACACTACTGAGGCTCACCAACTGCGATCAAGTCCACCCGGCCAGGCTCGAATGCGATTCGACCCAACGGCTCGTTCCAAGCTAAGGGGCGCATGACCCTTCACCATACCTCTCACATCACTCAGTCCTGCTTAACGCGCGACCCCGCGTGCTCTATGAAGTCGCAGCCTCGCCATCTCCCCAGGCAGCCTTCCCCACACGAGACCGAGACACTACCGTCACCGCCACCATTACCACCTGGCCGCCTCTCTTCCCAGCCTCCTTGGTCTGAATCTGCAACCTGTTTAGCGGTCCCGCTGATCCTGCCATTGCGATTTCCTCTCCGCGATCCCCATCCGCGATAGCCCACCTACGCTTTAGCTGGGAACCATCCCTGGCACCGCGTCGACCGTGGTCACAAGCCAAATGTTCCGTCAACGGTAAGTAAAGAACAACATTTTTTGGCTCCTGATTCGTATTTTCTTACCTAACTGCCCGCCCATCTCTTGCGTCTTGCTGTTGCGCTGGGCGACGGTTAGCGCGTACAAGCGCCCTTCGTGCCTAATCGGCGAGAGTGCCTGTGCGAGCCGAGCACGAGGCTGGATACGAGCTGGCGTCGTCTGTTGAGGTCAGGCTCGAAAGTGTACGCTAACGGTTGCTCTCCGCCACCTACAGGACAAGCTCACAAAAACCGGGCGACGACCTGATCGCCAACTTCAGGCAGCATTTCCCTGAGGTGGCAGCAGGCTCGTCTGCCGCCCCCTCGTCATCCCAGACAACTACAGCCGGAGTTCCAGGAGCCGCACATAATGCGCAAGACAGGTACGTGTGTTCGGGGCCTCTACGTGTTATGCTTGTTTGGTTTTGCATGGTGTGGATACATGTGCGCGCCCGCGCGCCCGAGAAGGGGAGTGAGAGAAAGCATTTCTCCTGTTGGAGCTATATAATGCACGGGGTGCAGGCCGACGAGAAAGGAGCAATTACTTTCTTAACGACCTCAGCGATCATCTCACGTTACGCCGGGCCCGGCTTGGCAAGATTTCTCCAAATCTCTCAGTGTGTTGCCGCGGGATTGCGAGGAAGGCGGGGTACAGGCGGGCGCAGCACCTCAGTTGTCGAGGCTCCTGTGGCTCTTGGGGATTTGGGGGAATCGGGGCTTCCGAGTCGTGCCCTGAGGGGCATCTTGGACCACCTAAACCCAGCCTTTTTGGTCCTCTTGTTTCTGTTTTGTCACGGGTTTAGCCTTCGTGCACACTTTTCTGTCGTCCCTGGATTGCTGTGGACAGTCGTGTGGACCAGACTTCGACTTACTGACTGCCAACTTTGTCTTTATAGATCGCACGGTTTGGGTCATGATGCCTTCCATGACCAGGATCCCACCCCCAGGGCCTCCAATGAGCCCTGGAGGTTCACGCCGTCACTGATGGATCCCAACTCATTCGCCTTCGCCAGCTTCGCCAACGCCCCGCCAGGCTACTATACTCCAACGCCTGGCGGCACGAACACTCTGTATCATCCCCAGGCCGGCGACCTGCACACCCCTACCCTATTTGGCATGGGCCTGGGCACACCGCTTTCGATGCCCACGACAGAAGCTGCCATGCAGTCTGGCCCCGCCCCGGTCCCAGGTCCTAATCCTGGTCCTGCGATGATGGATATCTCTGGCTTCCATCACGGCCCTACGAACCTGCATGCGGCCCAGTTCCACCAGCAACCGCAATTCAACCCGTTCGTCCAGCCTCACCCACAGCAGCAGTCCTTCGCGCCCTCGACTTTTGTCCACCAAGACACTGGATACGAGACGATGGACCAGGATGGCTCCCCCATGGGTTCTGACCAAGGTGACGAGCGCATGGGTTCAATTGATAGCGCCTTCCATGGCCAGTCACCTATGATGGGCTTCCAGACCAGGCAGCAGTATGGCATGTCCATGCCCATGCCCATGCACCCTTCGGCTGAGAAATACCGGTTCCACGTCACCCTCAACGCGCCGACCGCAATGATTAAGCACGCAGATGAGATTCCGGTCACCTACCTCAACAAGGGTCAGGCTTACTCTCTGTCCATAGTGGACACACGGCCCACCCTACCTATCGCACCAGGGACTCGCCTCAGGACCTTTGTCCGTGTTTCGTTCGAGGATGAGCAACAGCGCCAAAAGCCTGGGGTGTGTTGGAGCCTGTGGAAAGAGGGCCGGGGCACGAATGAGGCCCACCAGCGTGGTGGGAAACTGCAGGCCGTTGAGTACGTCGAGGCCGGCCAGCCAGCGGAGGGGGACGACAAGCGCACGAGGGTGGAGCTGGAAAGCGCTTCATTTGATGGCTTCTCTGTGATTTGGACACCTGGCATAAATGGTGCCGTCGAGTGTAATGTCGCCGTACGCTTCAATTTCCTCTCCACCGACTTCAGCCACTCGAAGGGTGTCAAGGGCATACCAGTGCGGCTCTGCGCAAAAACTAGCACCTTGGAATCCGAGGGTCAACCTTCAACCGACACCACCCCGGAGATTTGCTACTGCAAGGTCAAACTCTTCCGCGACCATGGCGCTGAGCGAAAGCTGTCCAATGATGTCGCTCACGTCAAGAAGACGATCGACAAGCTCAAACAACAAATCGCGCAAGCCGAGAGCGGCCTCAAGGACTTTGGCAAGCGCAAGCGGGCTGGAGGGTCACAGATGAAGGGCACCGACGGCAGCCAGAGGCCTGGCAAGGTCCAGAAGCACAAGCGCACTTGGTCAATGTCGTCAGCCAGCTCGGCTGGCGGCGGCGGCGGCAGCGCTCGGAACGCGCTCGAGGACGATCTTCACTTCAAGCTGCAGACCTTGCAAGATATGTTTACGAGCACCCGGCCGGTGAGCGTTCTCTACCTGAAGGGCGACGACCTCGATGACCCGGACGCGCATCCAGTGTCGCTGCCGGGCGATGCTTCCCTCGACCTGGTCAAGGTCGAGTCCCGGGACAGCACCGCCTGGAGAGACCGCAGCACGCACAGCTCCGTAACGGGGTCGCTTGTCTCGCCGTCTCCTAGCTCACTATCGCTGCACTCGGCAGCGTCTGTCACCGTGCCGGGCGTGCCATGGCAGGAACGTGCGGCTGTGGGGTCCGACCCGTCGTCGCGACAGGGTTCCCTCCAGCCCACCCGGGTCCCGAAGTCAGCGGACGCGGGAGGCCTTAGCGGTTGGATCGAGGCGTTGGGTGTTGATCCATCCTACCGGCCACCGCCCGAGCGATCGGCCAAGCCGATCGCGTGCTTCTACGTGCTAAAGAAGAACGGTGCCGAAAGTGACGCGCGCGAGTACCACAGGGCCATCTACCTGATGCAGCGCACGCTGGCCGAATTTGTAGCACGGATCGCGTCGAAATGGAACATTGACGTCAAGCGAGTATCCCGGGTCGTGCATACCCTGCAGAGCGGGCTGGAGGTCGAAATGGATGACGACGTCATCAAAGAGCTCTCAGAGGGGCAGGACATGATCCTGGACATTATCGAGCAGAAACAGCCAGTCAAACGCGAGTGGGAAATGTCACTGGACGACGCTCCCGGAGAAGAAGACGACGCTTCAGGGACACAAACACTTCAACAACCTAATTACGAGTTCCGGCTTGCCTTCTGAAACACGACTTCTGGGAGCGGAGAGGTCGGGGAGGGGAGTGGAGGATAAAGAGAGGACTTTTTTCTGTGGTTTTCATGGGGCCAAGAGGCACCTAGACTCTTGGGCCTTGTAATCATTAGCAGGTCGGCTCCTCAAAAAGAGTGCATCAGCGAACACGAACACGGCCACAACTAACTATACATTGGGTTGGGTGAAGATGTGTTTTTACGGCGTTGGCAAAACACTTCTCGAGATACCAAGCCCCTCATAAGGGGGGCAGTTTTTTGTTGTTCTTCTTGGGATGCGCTTCCCCCGGCTCAGTAATCTGGCGCGAACATTTACATCATTTTTGTCCACGGGTGTGGTATGCCGGTGTTGCAGCCCGCGTGTGAGGATCAATTATTGGGGTAGGGGTAAGGACAAGGACGGGATGCGTGGTGGACCATCATAGGCGCACATAGGTTGGAAATATTCTGGCCGAGAAAGACCAGACCAATATAGGAGCGATGAAGTTGGTGTCATGGTAGTAGCTGAGCCCACACAGGATCGTGAAACCTGTCCATGCCACCCGGTAGATTGGATTTGGGTGCTGCACACAAGGGCGAGGAGCTCTCGCCCCCCCCCCCCCGGCCGGCCTCCCCTCGGCGTAACGCTCTTCAAGATGCCGGGAGCTGCCCGGGGAAGGGTGAGAGTGACTGAATGAATGATGCCTGGCTGCAGCAGGTGTTGATTGTGGTACAAGGGGCAGATAGATGGTGGCGCCCAAAGGGTATGCTCATCTCCGGCAACGCCATGTCGTCTCGTCAGGTGCAGCCGTTGTTCCTGGCGGCATACCTCAATCTGCACCTCAGGGGGGCTATAATGTTGTGGACTGTACATCTTATCCACCGTGGGCCAGAGTCACAGGTCTGGCGCGTGGTGCAACTCGGTTGTGCTGACGGGCTGCTGATTCAACCAGAGCCCTGGTTATTCACTCACGGGTTGACGCATACCAGTCTACCCAAGTACCTAGATATGTACTTGAGTACTTAGGAACGCCATCTTAGTGCCCACAACTGGCTACTACACAGTACTACTACCTATTACTGCCATCACCACCACCAGTGCCACCATTTGCTTGTGCACTGCCGGGGCACATGTAGTCCTTTCTTCCTTGAGTGGCGCCATCAACGGCCATCGGGACCTAAGGAAGAAACAGACAGCGAGGAGGGGGCTGTCTACATTCTCTGGCCTTGAAGTGTACACAAGCAACAGATCTCTCACCTCTATCACCTCTCTCGCGCTCTGCACTCTACACTCTCACACTCTACACCTACACACACGCACGCGCGCACACACAAACCTAGATAGAGACAAAGGTTGAGAGCGAGCTGATCAACCTACACAGTACCTCCCCGGGGCGGGGTTGCCATTCTCGCTCGGAGATTCCATGCCGGGCGGACGGACTATTTGAAGTTTGATGAGGCCGGGCGGACCAGCCTAGCCAAGATGGCTGGATGCCTGCTCTGGGCCGTGTGCGAGTGGTGATTGGGAGGAAAGCCACGAGGCGCTAGGCACGGGTAATTTCGCCTGTCAGTCTCCTTATTTCATTCTAGGGTGGTGTTTTAGTGGCCCAGCAGCCCCGGGCGCTGGACTGACAGACTGACTGATGTCGTCGGCGCGGCAGCGTGAAACTAGACTAATATAGCTGCACACCGTCACCGGCTGTCACGACTGACCGGGGTAAGCCGGCCGGCGGGTGTTCCTGACGATGCTAAAGTGCACTGAAAGGTGACCTATAAAATAAGCTCATATATGGTGCGTGTTGCTTGCAGGACAGGGCTGTCGGACGAGACGCTTTGGGACAAAGTCCCGCGCCAAGTTGAGGCCAGGTCGCTGTGATGGCCCGCCGTACTGTGAGATACAAGGTTGCGGCCGTCCCTGGGGATCCTTGCGAGCAATGTTGTGAAGCAGACACCCAACACTCAGACACATTGACGTTTATGTGAGCCCCCAACCGCCACCCGCAGGCAACAAACAGTGGAGTGCTTGAAGGTCGGCACTGCTTGTCTCTCGGTTCGTCGGCACAGAGTAGCATCGATGGGCCAGGGCGGCAAGGCGGATGGACACGTCGGCCACGTACCAATCACCTGCCCGAAGGGTCGCCCCAAAACGACAAACACCAGCCAGCAGCGCCTTTGCTCTCACGGACTGAGGCCGCCGGTCATGGCCCGTCATTTCGAACACCCGAGCTGCCGAGCAAACTGGCCACACGGCACTACGGAAGCGAAGCAACAGCGAGGACCGGCGCGTCTGGACCCGGACGGATTGTGGGAAAGGAACGTGCAGAGGGCCTGGCAGTATGACGGGCCTGCGGGCCATGACGGGGTGACGTCGAATGGCCGGTCAAGCCACAGTGATCGACACTCTGGGCTCCCGTCCCCAGATGTGGCGAAGGTTGCGCGTCCAGGGAAAAGGATCTGGCTGCCATGCTGCCATGGTCGGTCGGTTGATATCTGTATGGCTCTCGCGTGGCCACACACCGCCAGCGACTGGGCGACCGGGTGACAAGGTGAGTGAGACAGGACCCCCAATGACGGCCCGTCGACGTGGACGTGTGTTTGGGGGACTCGCAAAGCTCACGTGTGGCAGACTAGACTGCTGGGAGACTGCTGGGTACTCGGTACTCGGTACATGGCAGCACCGGGTGCGGGCACTCGCCACACTCGCTCTGGACCACCAGTGGCTTGCACCCAGACAGCCAGACAGCCAGACAGCCAGACAGCCCAGATTGGAGGGGGCGTGTAGGGCAGCGGGTCAAGGAGAGGCTCGAGAGGGTGCGAGCGCAGTGAACCGACAGGATCGCCCTGATCGCCCTCAACCACAGGCCGCGAACCGGTGGTAGCAGCAGATTGGCGGCAGACGGGCAGACGGCTGGACGGGTCTGCTGGTACGCCAGTTGGCCAGCTAGCTTGCCTGCTTGCTAGCAGGCCAGCCAGTCACGCTTCAGGCCCCCCCGGCTCCCGTCACGTCGGGGCAGCATGACGCTCCCAGATGTGGGTGGCCGTCTGCCGATCAGAGGAGGCACATGGGCCCGGCCGAGGGCAGCAGGACCGGGGGCAGCAGCACCGGGGGGCCCTCAGCCACAGCAAGCATCGAGCATGCCACAGACAGGTACTTGGATCCCTCGTACCCGACCAGCCAGGCCAGCCCGACGTGCCAGGTGCTCAGGGTTGTCAGGCTGCCTGGCTGCTCGACGCAAGGCCGTGGCAGCGTGGGCGTGGGACGACATGTCTTGGCGTCACCAGCCACACTTGTGGTCTCCTCGTTGGGGATCGTCAGTACTAGGCGAAATACGGAGTACAGCTCTGTCCATCTGCATCTGCAGCCGCGCAGCCCATGCCGAAGCCTATGCTGCATGTTTCAGCTGCCCATGCCGTGGCCTTGTCCTCTCCGGTCGTGCAGATACGCTGCCCACTGCCACACAGTCAGAAAGTTCCCTCTTTGCCACATGCGCAAACACGGCGCCGTCAAGCCACAACAAGGGGCCCCATCTGGGAGGCCAATGGCGGCGTCGCCTTGGGCCTCTGCCGTTTCCCCAACGGGTAATCGTTCAACGTGCGGCAGACTACTTCTGACTACCCAGGTACCTAGATACCTAGGTACCTAGCACAAAGCACTCTAGTGCTCTAGTACTCCGTACCTCCCTCCCACCTTGTTCGCCACAGTTGGGGCTGGAGGCCGCCCATCCTTCGTGTCCTCGGCGTGGACATCTCACAGCTGCACAGACAAGACAGGTCAGGTGACAGTGAGCAACGACCGTCAGCAGTTGCGACGGTTTCCGGCCTGCGTCCATGAACCGAGCCCTCCCAGGATAACCTTGGACGCATGGCCTGTTGGTGCAGCGTCTTGAGACAATTTCTTCTTTTCGTTCCTTTTTGCCCCCTCTTTTCTTTTCGGCGGGGTGGTTTCATGAGTGAAATTGATGATTTAATACAGCTAGTCTTACCGGATGGGCAATGAGAACTAAATGAGCAACAACAAACAGTATTATAGGACGGCAATGAAATAGACAATTCATGCTCGCACCAAGAAACCCGATTGGACCGTCATCTAAAATGGACCAGGTTAAATCTGCGCAACGACAAGACCCTGCCATCGGCTATCACGCAACCAGCATTAGGCCGGCCAGCACTCCGACCACCCCGGCCTGTACAGTGTTCCGAGACGCCCCTGCAGTGAGGTATGTCGGCGACGCAGACGGCGGGGCCAGCGGCGTGTTCTCTGCTGGCGTTGAGCCACCACCCCCCGCCACCTCGTCCAGGGCAGGCCCCCCCACAAGGGATATCGTCTCGTGCTCCTGGTTCCCCACCGTCATGCTGGCCACGCCGGCATCCTCTGTGCCCGACGGCTGGCACCCGTGGCAACGCGCACCCGGTGTGAACCCGAGAACAGACGTCTTGAACACCGACGTCTCGCAGGTAGAACATGCCTGGACAGTGACGGCGGGCGTGGGGTCTGGGGACGCCGTGTTGGACGTCTGTCTCGCTGTCAGCATGTCTTGTCCGTCGGGTGGGAGCCAGCGGTGGACGCGTGGGTCTGCTCTTACCGTTGAGACCGTCATCAGGTGCACGCCCGTCGGCAGCCCAAATTCGCACACGTAGCACGGTAGGCTCGGCATGGATGTGTGACAGATGGATCGCGTCATGACCTCGTACGTCTCGGTGGACGTCGTCGTTGCTGTGCGGGGCTGGTCAGCATGCATCTGTGCATCCGCTCGGATGGCTGCGTCACTCACAAGTCTGTCCATCCGGGCAGATCTCTACAACGTCAACCATGACGATCACCTCGACTCCAACCCATTTGCCGCAGTCGTCTGTCGGCGATGGCCCGCCAGGGTAGGACTGGATCAAGGTGTTGGACGTCGGTGCTGTCAGAGACCCTGGCCAACTGTACCCACCAGGCAGAGATTCTGTGCTGACGGTCACCGAGACCGTGCTTGTTGATACCGTACTTACCGACACAGTCTCACTGGTCACCGGCGAGAAAGACCCCGACCAAGATCCCGAGGATCTCACACTCGACGGGTTCGCACTGTCTGAGGCGGATGAAGTCTGCATCGACAGGGTGCTCGAGCTGGCTGATGGCGACGGTACAACAGAAGGCCCGGAAGGCCCGGAAGGCCCGGGGCTCGTGGGAGCCCAGGAGATCAGTGTGCTACCAGGTGAGCTCGTCGACCCCGAGGGGACGGGATTGCTCGCTGGAGGGGCGCCGTAGCTTGGGAATGCGACAGAAGACGATGCCGTCGGTACCGGTTCCGGTTCCGATAAGCTGCTCGCACTGCTAGATGAAGGCACGCTAGAGATCTCAGTCGTAGCTGACGATGGCGTCCCCGTAGAGCCACTCAAGACCGGCCCAGAAGGCGAAGAGGAGCTGAGGTCTGAGGTGCCACTTGGAACTGGAATTGAAGACTCCACCGAGCTGCTTGGGCCGCCTCCAGATGTCGTTACAGAGCTGGAGGCCAGTGGGGTTGTCACGCTGCTCGGGGGCCCAGTGCTGTTCGAACTTGTCAGTCCGGGGGGGCTGGGTGCTGGCGGTGATGCGGTGCCCAATGTTGAGCTCGGACTGGTTGTGCCCGAGGGTGAAGGATTCGTGGTGGTTGGCTGTGCGTTGGGTCAGTCTGGAACAAGTGGTTACCAATAGTGGCGCAGAATACTCACAGACACCGATGTTAGCTCAGAGAAGGGGGATGACGCTGGATTTGACGTGCTAGGGGCACCATTCGAATCCCCTGGCACGGTTGACACACCGGATGACGAAGCACCCTCGGTGGAGACCTCGGAGGATGTAGAAGCGGTGATGGAAGGAGAGAAGCTCGAACTTGTCATGTCTCCAGCGGATGAGCTCGAAGCTCCCTCACTGCCCCCACTCGAGGCGGAACTGGCTGGCGGACTGCCGATGTTACTACTTGGTGCTGAGCTCGGCGGCTCGGTCATGGGGACGCTCGGGCTTTCGCTGTTCGATGGGTTGGAGGGTCTAGGCGAGGAGTGTGACCCCGTACCCTCGGGTGAAGTCGGCAAGGTCGGGGTAGTCGTGCCAGACATTGAGCTTCCGGATGCTGTGATGGAAGCATTTGGGCTGATACTTGTGCTTGAGCCCGGCATGCTCGCGGACCCGGACGTCGGAACAGTTCCCGACAGTGAGGTTGATGCTGTATTAGCATCGGAGGATAGAGACTCGGTCCTACTCTCGCTTCTGGAGGCGCTCGTCTCGACGGCGGAGCTGACCGTGCCACTCACCGATCCCGAAGACTCGGAGGACGTCCCACTAGATGCTGGATTTGAACTTGCAAGAGAAGATGGTGCAGAGGTATCAGTTGGCCCTGAGGGCGGCCCTGTGCTGGGAGCTGGGGGGCTTGACACGGCAGCACTCGAGGTTGGACCGCTCGGCGACGAAGACTCGGTGTATGGCCCCCCGGTCGACGACCCACTTGACACCGTGGGCAGTGAGCTGACTGTCCATGTCTCGACCTCTGTCGTGGTGAGGTCCGTGATCTGGGAGGTTGACGCATTTGTTGCGATTGTGGTGGCACGGCCCGTTGTGATCGTTATGGGCAGACTCGAGGACCAACTCACAGTTTCCGAACTCTCAACCGACAGTGATGAGCTCGGGTTAGAGGGTGAGGGCAGCACTGGACTCGTGTGAGAGGACGATGGTGACGCCGAGCCTTCTGGTGTCGAAGGCGCCGACTCGGACGACGATGTCTGGGCGGTGGAGGCACTGGAGGAACTTTCTGATGTTTCCGCCGAGGATGGAACAGTCGACAGCGCTGTTCCTGAAGATGAAACCGCGGAGGAAGAGGTCTCGCTTGAGCTATGGCAAAAATTATCAGCAGGATGCCATTTGAGGGGGAGGGGGGAAGCGTTTAGTCCTACCTGAGACTGGGAACTGAAGTATCCATTGATGTAAGTGGCGGTGGGAATGTCCTTCAGAAGTCAGCGCCATATCCTCCCATGGATATCGATTTATCACTAATCTTGAAGCCGCCGACGTGCTTCGGAAGATACATACATCGTCGTAGTTTCAGTGGTAACTAGGTCAGTTATTTGTGAGGTGGACGAGTTTGTGGCGATGGTAGTGACAAAGCTGCTTGTTACCGTTGTCGAGATCACCGGTTCTGATACGGAAGCCGATGGCGCCGTTGTGGGTACCGAAGACGACCTTGGATAACATCAGCACTCCTCCTGTTCCATGAGGTCCCAGCTACCTACACAGAGCCTGCACTCGTCGCTGGTGGTTCCCCTATGCTTGACGGCAGCAAAGACGAAGACACAGATGACACCATCGTAGTGGCCGAATCCGTGACGCCGCTTTGGATTGTCAGCTGCCACTCGACGGAGGCACGAAGCTATGGGGTTCCCTACCTAGAGCTCACTGACGGTGGAGGTGGGACAGCAGTAGAGACACCCGTGTAGGTGCTGTTGGTTGATGCGGCGGTTTCCGAGCTAAGGCATGAATGCTGAGCTAGGCGCAGGTAACGCCGGGGCAACAATACGATGAAGACTCACCTCGGAGGCACAGGCGATGATGATTCTGTGGTTGGAGTAACCCCAATGCTGGACGCTGGAGCAGAAGCTGTCGCCGATGACACATTGAATGCGGACGAGGGAGACACCTCAGTGGAAACTGTCGATACTGCCACAGAACTTGAAATGAGTACCGGGGACGATAGTGTAGTCACTGCGGTGGTGGCTCCTGCTCCCGCAGGCGTAGACGAACTCGGACCTGGAGATATCGTCCCGGTAGGCACCGAGACCGTGGGGAACACCGGTGGAAGTTCTGATGTGGCGGCAGTGGTACTGAGTATTCCAAACCATAAGCATGTCGCCGTCATTTCTTTACAATATCCAAGAATAACACGCACCTGGAATTCGCATACGGGACCGACGAGGATGCCGACGATCCCGGAATAGAAGTCCCGTTGATCGCCGAACTGCTGGTACCGGAACTTCCAGCAGACAGGCTGCTCGGCGATGGCACAGGTGGCGTGGACGTCACCAACAGCGTTGACCTATCGCCCGTTTAGCCAGCAAATCAGTGAGCCAACCTATATCTTGCAACATACTCTGAGCTTGCCGCCGAGGAAGAACCGACCCCCCCAGTGCCAGAAGTCAACACGCTCGAAGACGGAGCAGTTGGCGTTCCAGATGCAGAAAGACTGCCAGCGAGTTAGCAAAGAATTGTAAGCGCAGATAATTGGCCTCGTCACCTCGGGCTTGCTGTGGTCGACGGCGCTTCGCCAGTAGGCGCCACACTCCTGGCAGCATTAGCACAAAGAAATGGGAGTTTGACTTGCGTAGCTTACGTCGAATTGCCCAGTATGAAGGAAGAGGACGGCCCAGATGACCCTGTACTGCCTGAAGCGGCAGATGCCGAGCTATTCAGGCCTGGCACGGTTGGCATGGACGATAATGTCGTGGGGAGACTACCTTTAGAGTCAGCCCTTTAGCTGCCAGAGTTTGTAGGATGGATACTCACCTCGTGCTTCCCGGAGCCGTGGGAGCAGAGCCCGTCGGAATAGGGACGACAGGGCTGCACCTGTGTCAAATTTGTACCGCAGAACCGCAAGGAGGGCAGAGTATTTCTTACGTCTCAGCCATGGATGTAGACGCGGCCTCACTGGATAGGACAGACGAGGTCCAAGCAATGCCGGAAGGCGAAGAAGCTACCGTTGGTGTGGGAAAGGGGGCGGAGCTGCCAACGTATCAGCCAATAGCCGAGCACATCCAGGAGTCCGAGACAGACCTTGAGTTCGCGAATGAAGCCGAAGAGGGGGTCGGGGCAAAGGACGAGGCCGTCGCCGCGGTTGACGAGCTACTGGCCGATGCCGGCAAACTTGATTGCAGTTGATTAGCTCTCTACGGTGATTGCAATTCCAGCGGAAAGTCTCACCTGGAGTTCGCAGATATCGGGGAGGAGGCAGAGGATGCCACCACCGAACTGCTGCGTGTTAGTCGCAACGCTGCGTCTAGCGTTGATTCTGGCATACCTTGAATTTGTTAGGGCAGGCAGTGAAGTGGAGGAAGGAGTGGACAGAGTCGTGCTGAAGGTCGAATTCGGGCCCGGCGGCCGACACACGCCCGGAACGACAGCCCCGTTGAGACATTTGCAGGATGAGGAGCAGGAGCTTTCTGGCGTCCCATTCAGGGGCCCATCGTCACACTCCTCCTCCAGACTCGCATCCCAGACGCCATCACCACAGCCATCCGGAGTAGCGCCTTTGACAATAATATAGGGAACTCCGTTTGAGCCATCTGCAAAGTCCTTCTGTCCGTCCCCGGTAGCACCCTGTGCGATTGCAAGTGGCACAAACCCAAAGAGGCCCGTGGTGGGATAAGATGAGAAGACTTCGTGCACGCTGCAGGACCAGTCGCTCAGGGCGGAATCGTCAAGAGTGCCCAGGGCAGTGGAGTCGGCAACCAAGTGTGCGTCGTTATAACATGCCAGCCTCCCGCGAACGGTGATTGTGCCAAAGTAGGACAGCGAGTCTACAGTAGCCGCGTCGACAGAGTCGTAGTAACAAGACAGGGCAAAGTACAAGCCAGTACCATTGCCAGAGGCAGAAAACCGAACGGCGTCGTCAATCAGAGTCAGGGCGCCAGGCTGGCTTGAGGAGTGAAAGGTAGGGTCCGTGCCGATGAGGATGATGTTGCCCTTCACGGCAGGACTCCAAACAGCCTTGGTCAAGTCGAAGAAGTCGATCGTGTTGACGGCACCACAAGTGGGATCTGGGATCACGATAGCCTTGTAGTTCTCAAAATCAGCTGTGGTATAGCTGTCCCATTCTTCAGGGCTTGCAACGTGGACTGAGGAGGTCAATCCGTCAGCAAGGAACACATTATTGTACTTTCCGGTGCTACTCTACCTGATAAGCCGAGAACGGACGTTGCTCGCTCGTATTCCTGAGTGTCAATCATGGAACTATGGAAGAGGAGATCCTGGGCCGCGACAAGGCTTCCCAGCCCGGCCGAAGCCAGCCCGGCCAACGAGCCGAATCGCATGACGGCTCTCAAAATCTGGTGAAGAGGACAATGGGAGACAACAATATCGCAGGAAATATAGAGGAAGAGACCGGTCAAGAGAAAGAGAGACACAAGTTGGATGATGTTCAGGACAAGTGATGTTACCAAGGGTCTCTAAAGAGACGGCCAACTCTACTTTATATGATGCAAACCACGACGATGCGAGATATCAGAATCATATGTCTCGGGCAACACGAACCTGGCCACATAGCTCGCTGCGCCATAACAAGAACCGCTCGCCAGAGAGCGCTATGTGGCGTTGAGAAGGCTTCATCGTGAGCAGAGAAGGACTCAGGTTTTGATTGCGAAGAATCAAGCTGACGGGAGACAAGAGTCATACTGAGTGAATCAACGCAATGATCGTTCCAGAGCCCAAGGTGGCCTGGTCTCGCGCTCGTCTTGGGACTGCACTGACGCGGAGAGCGAGCGCCGGGCGCTTAGGAGCGAAGTTGAGCCGTAATCAGACTGTCTGGGATATGCACCCGAGACGGACTGACTGGGCACTGAAGTAACCCTCGACCGTCGGACGGCAGCCGTTGAGTGGTCTGGTCGGCGATTGATATCGTATTGAAAGCCCAGGCGCGGGCGTGCTTCGTTTATGAGCACCAACTTGAAGTCGCATATGTATGGCGCACCACGTCCTCTGTGGGCGCATTCCATCGCCGACATTTGCTTCCAATGGGAAGCGTAACGGTGCCTGGCGATCGGTCACAATGCCGAGTTGGCGGGCTCCGGGACAGAACACAAGCCATCAACGGGGGGCTGTCAAAACGGGCAGACAGGTGACACAGCATCGAAGCCACGAGGCAGACGCAGGCAGACAAGATCAGGTCCAGGTGTGGGTGGGACAAAGCGAGGGCGAAATTAATGCACAAGACAGAGAGCGGTAACATGTCTTGAGACGTGGGCAGGGCAGGTACCGGATCGTTGCACCATTGCGATGGAGTAACCCTAGGTGGTGTATGAGTGCTCATGTTCGAGGCCGAACCGAGACGATAGGACGGCTCCATCTTTGAAAGAGCATGACCAATGTCCCCTGGATTGACCCGAAAAGCAGGTTAGCCTGGAGCTCTCAGCTGAGCCCTTGTGCCTGCACGTGTCTCGGTATTGATCCAAGCCATCGTGAAGGCCAGTTGCATGGCCGATCCAGACCATAAGCGGCAGTTTGTTGACTTCCCGCCTCGTCCTTTCAAGGCAGCGCCAGCAATTCCCGGATTGCCGTTCGGCAGGCATGGCAAGTAGTCGTGGCACAACCGCACAAGGAATGACCAAGCGGCTGTGGACGCCAGGTCCTCGATCCGAAAGCGCTGTGGATCAGTTCGAGGCTGCGCAGAAAGGTGTATACGAAATTAGCTTGCGGGTGTGGATCTCGATAAAGGCTACTTTGGTGGGTTGTTGTGGCCGCATTGAATCGTTCAAATCCCATGATGTGTGAATCCAAAGTTGATTGGTCTCTTGTTTCCAAAGGTAGGGCCGGAGTGATGCTTGCGTCGCCGACGACTATCTTGGAGGCCAGGGGCATGACCAACCAGTAGCTGCTCGCTGGGATGCCGGAGGAAAAGAAACGGGCTCGCTAGGGCTAAATGCAATCGAGTCTAGTTACATAACAGGACGAAGGCTCAGACATGCCTGTCAGACATGTCATAAAATATGTGTAACGACGCCTCAGACCCTGGGCTCAGACGGCAGTTCTAGTCTTTAGCCACGGCACTGCACCATACAGTAGAGTCCGTCTGCTGTCAACACCACCGGAGGCTCGGCTGCCTTGGCCGCAGCGATAATTGCGAGCAAAAGGCGGGATGCCGGGACACCGCCCCGGGAGCCCCCACAACTGGTTGACCGGGCTGGTTAGAGACTTGATGGCGGCGATGGGTGCCCCTTAGGATGGGCTGCGTACTGCTTTTGCTTCGAGAGCCTGTGCCGTGGTTCCACGTGCTCTGTCTTCCAGGCTGCCTTACAAAGCATGGCACGAGCGGCAGACCCATGAAGGAATCGCGCCCTCGTGGCGGCCGACACAAGTGTCGGAGAAGATTTTCAAGCGGCACTGCCCTGGACTTTCCCATCCACAGTACCGTCGAGACGGGGGGCATCGTCACCAGGGATGGATTTTGCCTTTTGCCACTCCTCGGGGGTCTGGCATTTTGCAGTCCACCTGTGTGTGGGCGGAGATAAGTCAGCAGTGGGCCGTGACAGAACCAAGGCAGGCACTGGGACACAATAAATGAAGATGCCGGCGATGTGTTCACAGGCTCGACGGGGTATGACTTGACCTACGCATGAATGGCGGCAATCTCCTCTTTAAGGGCAGCGTTGACTGTGACAGGTGCGTGTCAGCAAGGACTGAGCGCGGAGATGCATATATCAGACCGTGACGGACCCAGGCGGTGTCTCTTGAGTGAGTTCTTCCCAGCAAAGTCGGGCGAGACAATCAAGGTCGAGAATGCCTGGCCACAGCCGCCTGTGAGGGTGTCAGGACCAGTTACAGCTGGGTTCAGCAAGACGAGCGCATGCCTGGGGAACGAACCAGACATGTCGGTGATTTCCACGTGGACGGCGTTGAGCCGCTCTACGATGGAGGCCCTTAGCGCGGCCTCCGATACTGCACTGTTGTCCATGGCTGGCGAGAAGTGGTTGTGACTGCTCTGATAATTACCACGAGCTTCGGGTGGCCTTGTGTCGTCGGGTGGTGAATGACAAAAGATGTCCGTTTGGGGGGGCGGTGGAGAAGGCTGTCGGCAACTTATCATGTGGTGTGTTAGTGAGTGAGCGCGGTAGGTACACAGGACACAGCCTGTTGACACGCGGAAACTAAAGTACCACCAGCAGCTGGCGGAGGATCAAACTTACCTTGAACCTAGGTGGACTACCTACCTACCTAGGTAGGTACCTAGGTACACAGCAATAATCCCCACGAGCTGTCGACGTCGGTGTCTACTGCTTCCTTTCTGGCCGGCTTCCAATGACTTCTTCCATGACACGGCTTCGCCTTGCCAGCACCCCTTCTGCCGTCCGCCTCGCAACCACAGGTCCAGCCTCGCCTCCCACAAGCAGCTGCTCAGCTGCAGTGGCGATTCGAACCAGGCTCAAGGCCAAGGGCAGCCCCTCCCCCACCTCTGCCAGCACCTTTTTCCTCCCGCGAGTGACCCCACCGTCACCAGCAAGAGGAATGGCATCCCTCGCAGCACAAACGGCACAGAATACCCCCTTCACCCGGGGGGTCGTGCAAGCCCTGAGGTCACTGTACATACTACCGGCCCTGCCTCCAACCCAGCCGCCGTCAACCGCGCCGCCTGCAATCCGGACGTGTCGAGCTGACACCACCACTCCAGGTACCCGGAAGAGGTCGCCGACAGGGCTTGGGACAACGTCGGCCTGCTCCTGGGCAACATCGACTCCTCCAGCCAGCAGCAGCTGGGTCTGGAGCCCACCCCTGAGCACAAGACCGTCCTCCTCACCAACGACCTGAGCCCAGCTGTTGCACAAGAGGCTGTCGACAAGAAGGCATCTGTGGTTGTGAGCTACCGTGCGTCCGCGCCGCACTCCTCTTCGCGCCCCTCGTGTCTCCCTCCCTCACTGACCCTTTGACCCGGCTGCTGAAGATCCCTTCATCTTCAGAGGGCTCAAGTCAGTCGACATCGTCGACCCGCAGCAGAGGATCCTGCTGCAATTGGCCCAAAGAAACATCGCTGTTTACTGCCCCCACACCGCCGTAGACGCCGTTCCTGGCGGCTTGAATGACTGGCTGGTCGACATCATCTGCGGCTCGCAGCAGCCCCTGAGCCGATCCGCCGTCCAGCCCACCTCGGCGCCTGCTCCCCCCGGCTTCGAAGGAGCTGGATATGGCCGAAAGGTGGACTTCTCCCAGCCAGTCGCCCTGACTGACCTGGTCCGCCGCCTTGCCGCCGGCCTCGGCGGCCTGAAGCATGTTATGGTGGCCGTGCCAAGGCACTTTGATGTGTCGGCAGCCGCACTCCAGTCCGCCGCCGTGTGTGCGGGCTCGGGCTGGGACGTCCTCAAGAGCTGCAACGTCGACGTCCTCGTGACGGGCGAGATGAGCCACCACAACGCGCTCAGGGCCACCATGGAGGGCAAGCTGGTCATCACCGTGTTTCACAGCAATTCAGAGAGGGCATACCTCCGGCAAAGAATGCAGCCGGCCCTGGAGGCGGAGCTTCGCAACATCGGCACAGAAGCACGGGTCTTGGTGAGCGAGGAGGACAGGGATCCATTCGAGGTCTGGGATGTGGAACGCCTCGGTGCATAACTCGTGCAACGACAGGCCGACGGGTTGGAACAGGAGCAAGAGGATAGACATGCGTACCAGATGACCTCGTTTGCAAAGCAGCGGGGTTGGGAAGGCTTCTATGGAGATGTACACGTGGATGTACGCACTCTCGATCCACCGCCGCCACCGCCGAGTTGAGTGGTCGGGGGACTCGGTTCGAGGTCAAGACTTGTCCTCGTAAACGTCAGGGGTGTCTTGCTATCGGGCGGGCTTGGGTCCCGGGGTATCATTTTTAAGGACATGAACCAATCTACATTCTCACGAGGGCGAATCCGCGCCTTTGACGGCTGCGTCCCCTTCTGCCAGACATGCATCAACATCACGGCCCCCAATACCCTTCTGTTTCCAGGCCAGGAGCAGCCGACGAGGAAGCGCCCAGGCCTCTCTGGCTTCCTCCAGCCTGCCCTCTTGGGCCAAAGCCCGTATCCTGTCCGGCGTGTCCAGCACCCCAGCGACAAGCTCCCTGGCCCTTTTCTCCCTCGCCTGCGCCTCCTGTTGGCTCTTGGTGTCTTCCGGCTTCGGGGCGGACTCCCTGAGTGTGTCCCTAATGGACGATGCTTGTGAGTAGATGTGGGCAACGGCTGGGTCGAGCGTGGCAGCCATGGGGTTTAGTGGATCCATGTTGGAGCGCATCTGCCAGAGAAGTGGTTAGTCGCTATATTCCCAATGCGCGGGGAATTCCCGGGACTTTGTGAATCATGTACCTTGCGTATCGTCTCGGTGGCGGTGATAAGCTTGCTGTAGTTGTCGTAGACCAGTGCTTTTTTCTCGGCGTCGAGTGCACGTATCTCGCCGAGGACCCTGGTGTAGGTCTTGAGCAGCTCCTCGAGGCTGCTGTCCTTCAGCTTGGACTTGACGTAGGCGTCGGCGTCGAAGCCATCAGCATCGATCTCGGATGTCGGGACGTCTGAGTGGGGGAAGTCGGCGGCATCGGCCAAGGAGGCGGAATCGGTGTCGGTGACCTCAAGCAGCGGGGGCGTGGCGGAAGCAGACGTCTTTTTGAGGTTGTAGTACTCGCGGAGGGCAGCACGGTTATTGCGCTTGTTGGGCGCGGTTGCGGAGGCGGGTGCAGACGGGTTGGGAGAGCTGGTCGCAGACCTTGGGATGTCGAGACTGGGGCGCGTGGACGAGGTGGGAGTTACGATGGCCTGGGAGGAAGGTGTTCGCCGAAAGGTGGAATGGGGGTCTCTGGGCGACGCTATGGTGGACATGTTGGCGCACGCAGCAGGTGGGATCAGTCTCTGGGCTGCTCGGGTTGAAGGGGGATGGATGATGTTCCCGCGGAGCCGAACGCTTCGTTACATTAGACTATGTCGTCGATGCGGTTGTCCAGACATTAATGGTAGTAGTAGGTTGTACAAGACATGCTGGAGGTACGTACCGTTGTGCCGATGTACAGTACATACCTAAGTACACTATGTGCCTCCCAGCAGCTCGCTCCGTGCAAGGGTTGGAGTGCCAACCCCTGCTACACATGTGGTCGCATGTGGGCGGGCATGGCACCCTGGCGAATTGTTCTTCACCAAATACATGACGCCTCCTGGCAGGCCAGTAAATTCGAAAGAAGAACCTTGGAACTGTGAGAAGCCCAGACAGTGCGCTTTGCGAGTGCTCGGTGGTCTTCGTCGTCGACCAAACCGCCCAAACACATCTCCAAAGGCCGCACCGTAAACCAAAAACAATGAGGAGCAGTCTAAACTACCCACCATGAGCCTAGCAGCCCAGATCAACACCCAGCTCCGGGCCCTCAACCTCCCACCTCCATCTCAACCATGGCTGCAGGCGCTCATCTCGGCCCGAGACCCTCCTCCTCCTCTCCCTTCGCTGGTCATGACCGCCAAGACACGCCTTCTGGCCTCGGATCTCACCACACCTGGTCTACTGGACCCCGACTCCATGCCAGCCATATCGCTGCCGAGCGGGATCACCAACTCAGCCGTAAAGGAAACTCGGCTGAGTCGTCATGTCTACGTGCAGGTTGCCGATATTGAGGACCTCGCCAAGAGCAGGTGGGAGCAGGTCGAGGAACTCGAGGCCATCGAGAGAGGCGAACAGACCCGGGGTAGAGAGGTGGTCCGCCTCCCCGCGAACGGTGGGGTTGTGGATGAAGCTCAGGATGGAACCGCCAGCGGGCCAGCACTGGCTAGAGCGCAGCCTGGACCTGCAGGAGCCGCTTCGAACAAGCCCACCCACCGCCTGATCTTGCAGGACTGCAAAGGCCAGAAGATTTATGGGCTTGAGCTGACACGAATCCCCAGGATAGCCATCGGGAAGCTCAACCTAGGCGAGAAAATCTTGCTGAAAAAGGGCGCTGTTGTCGCCAGGGGATCTGTTCTGCTGGAGCCCGAGACCTGTCATATTTTGGGCGGCAAGGTCGATGCGTGGTGAGTCCTCCCGAACTAGGCCCTTTTCCACCAGCAGCCGAGATGAGATGCCGTGCTGTCGCCTCCACAATATGATGAGAACCGTGGAATCGGCTGACATCGTGAAGGCAACGCGCTTGGGTGACCACTAGGCTCGCCCGGTTGAGGGAAACGGTCAGACCGGCTCAGCAAGGCTGAATGGACACATGATTTGTTTTCTTACAATCATGGACTCGAGCAGATCCTACAATGTACTGCACACACCTGTCCTGTGGACTGCTACAAGGGCCAAGGCCCTCCATGAATTTGGCTACTTCTTGCCTACAACACCCGCAAGATCTTGCCACCCCGCCTTCATCCACGGCGCCAGCACGATTGAGATCTGCGAGTTGAGAGCTCTCCCAGTCGAGCCGTATGTCTTTGCCAGATCCTCTGCACTGACTTCTCCCTTGGGTGGTATGCTCTGAGACGCCACACGCACCGCCATTTCTCTAGGAAAGTCTTCGCGATCGCCTGCAAAATCCCCGAGACTTGACCAGCCGTGTGCCAAATGAGGGTACAGAAGGACGTCAGTCTGTGCTTGAACCAGCACTCCCTGCTCCGTGCCGGCCTCCACCAGGAGCGCAGCCGCTTGTAGAACCTCCCCTATGTGAAACTGCTCTGCCGATGTAGTGCGTTCGTTCGTCCGGAGCCTCTCCAACTCGATGCGTACCGCGTCAACGCTTTCTTCGTCATCATCCAGGATTCCCACGACACCCAGCAGGACAACTGATTGCACGTGGTCAGGTCTGTCGCCAATAACATCGAATAGCGAGCTGCGGGCCTTCTCCCGAGCAGACTCGGATCCAGTTGCCCACAAGACCTGCGCAAGAAGACAAACGGCGTCGGGATTGTTGTCTGATTCCTGCAAGGCAGAATCAAAGTATACCACGGCCTCATCTACGGTATTCTGGTGGTAATGGGCGAGACCCACCGTCAAGTGTGCAGAGAGCCTCGCCTTCTTTCGCTCTTCTGGAGTCAGCTCGTTGTCAGACTCATCGCTGCTGAGCTGCAGCGCTGTCTCGCCGCAATCAGCAGCCTGGTCATAAGAGCCAATAGCGAGATAAGCCCTGGCGAGGTCCGCTTTCGCCAGTGCAAACCTCTTCAGAGACTGCGCAGACTCGGTCACCTCGTAGTCTGCTTCTAGCACCGAGCACATCTCTTCCAGGGCTTGTGCCGACAGTCGATGCTCATGCGTTCGTTCTTGCAGCAAGGCGCACAGATGCCCCAGGGCAAGTTTCTGCGGCCGCAGCGTTCGAACCTGGCCCAGTGCAAAGATTGACTGGATAAGGATTGTTGTGTCGGTATTCGCCACGTCCGTCAAGATCTGATCGAACACCGACGTGGAGAACTGCTGCCTTGAGATCAACGAGGACGCTTCGGCGATCTCCGTGGCATGGGCAAAAAGACTTCGTGCTTCTTTTACGTCTCCATAGATCAAGGCGACAAGACCCTGGCCAAGCCATGCGTGAGCATAGTCGGGATCCGTTGATTGTGCTCTGGTGAAGGCCTCGTTTGCCAGCTCGAGGTCGTTCTGTAGAAGGCCAAGAGTGCCCAAATTTGTCCATGCCTGGACGTTTCGTTCATTCAGGTACAAGCTGCGGACAAAGGCGTGCTGCGAAACAGCCGCATTGACCTGGCTCGTCACCACACCGAGTGCGTTCCAGAATTCCGGGTTGCCGGCCTCCAACTCTATGGCCCGTTTGAAGCATTTGATGGCGGCTTTCAAGTACCGACTAGACCTCCTCTTGAACTCTTCAGGAAGATTGACATGCGCGCGATGCTCCGCCCAACCGAGATTGTAGTACGCCACACTTTGTGCGTGCGTGTCGTGGGCTGAAGCGTCAATGGCACGCTTGTGGGCAAGGATTGTAGCATGGAGTGCGCGGGTTAAGTCGACACCAAGTTTCTCGTCATCGGCGAAAATGCCTTTGGCGAATATGACACTGGCTCCGACCCCATCAACTTCTTTCATGGCTTCGAGTCCCGGCTTATCTTCATCAGCCCCGAGCAGGCTCCGGATGATGTCGATGGGAAGTTCCGTGACATGTCCCTGTATGCTGGTAAAGATTGAACAAGCGTCTGCGACCGCCTTCCAGAAATTGAATGTATCTTTGATGCCCTGCGGAGCCTTAGTGGCGAACTCTAAGGCGCGCTTTGCCATTGTAACCGACTTGCCAAGAAGGCCCCTTCCAAGACAGTCTGCCGCATTATCGGTAAGTGTCTGCATGAGGGCAATGGCCACGCCTTCTTCGTTCGGCCGACGCAGCATAACGTCATGATACAGCTTGATAGATTCATCAAACTCACCAAGCTGGCGTTTGATGTTAGCGAGCATGAACTTGGTGAACCAATTATCCGTAGGACTAGTACCATCCGCCGTTTCTTCTAGCTTTTGTGCATTCTGAATGGCCTTGGTGGCCGAGACATAGCGCCCAGAGCTGTAGTAACTTTCTCCAAGGCCCACCCAGGAATGATAATCGTCGGGAGATATCCGTAGGGCGGATTGAAAAGATACAATTGCTTTGTGGAAATCTTGCTTGTGTAATTCTGCGACACCGAGGGCGGCGAAAGGCCAACTGATCCCCTTTCGTTTGGACCCCGGAGGCGGCTTGACTTTGCCAGAGTCGACAATCCGCTGAGCAACAAGTTCGACACGATCCCAATCTGCCTCGTCTGCAAAGGAACGTGCGAGCCTTTCCGCCGAGACAGTCTCAGATGGTGACAGCTCAACCGCCTTCTGGAAGCATTTTCGGGCCCTCTTCTGGTCCTTGGCGTAGTCGGCGTAGTACACACCCAGGCTAGTGTAAGCCGGCGCAAAGTTCAAATTACTCTTCAGGGAGCTCAAAAAACACGAGTAAGCACTGCCAGGCGCACGATTCTTTCTGGCAGCCTTCGAAGGGTCCAATGCCCATATGCAGCTACCCAGCCGGTGTAATGTCCGCGCCAAGAGTTCATGAGCAGTATCGCCTTTAGCCGCGATCAGAGGTATGCATTTCTCGAGCTCAGCTGCGCTGGTCGCATAATCGCCCTTAAGGGCTTTCACCCAGGCTGCCTCAGACTTGACACGGAGGTTGTCAGGATCCCTCTGCAGGGCCCGGTCCAGGAAGTCAACGGCTTCGGTGTATTCCTCTTCCTCCTCGTAGATCAAGCCGACTCCGATCAGGGCGGGTGTTGAAACGGGGTCCCGCGTCAAAACATTCTCGAACAATGTTTTCGCCTCTTCGTGATGGCGTGGGGATTGATAGAACACTAGCGCCGTGGCGAGGTGCAAGTTGAACATGTCGCTGGTATCATTAAATGGCATGCCAGTCTTGTCCCGCTCGTCCCTCAGCAGGCGCAGGGCTTTGCGCGTCAACTCAACATTGCTCTCGTGCTCCTGCAGTGTTTCATAGTACTCGGCAACCAGGCGGTGGGCGAAGATAGACTTGGTTGTCAGAATGGCTTCCGACATCATAAGCAATCGATCCTCGTCCGTCAGCGGGATGACGGCTGTGGGTGCTCCACCATCGTCGTCGTCCTCGCTCTCGTCGCCGGAATGTACAGCAGCGTCGGGAATTTCAGCTTGCGGCTCAAGCTTTGGAAATGGCGAGATGTCGCTGCTAAGGTAGCCCGTAATGGCCCTGGACAAGTCGCTATCCGGGAAGAATGTACAATAGTCTCGGAGAACGGTGACATCCCAAGATTTCGTCTCCTTGGCATCCTTCCAATCGATACTTATCTCCCAAGCGAGCCTGTATGGATGCTTGATGATGACCATGTCGTTGGCCAGCTTGAGGACGACCTGCAGCTCGTGGGCCTTCTCTTGACCGTGGGGGAATGCGAGGAGGCGGTCATGGCAGTGTTGCAGGAGGCGTTCCTCATACTGGCGACGAACTTCGTCGTCATTGGACCAGTTGATGAGTTCGCGATAGACGTGACCCAGGCGGCTACGGCCGAGCACCTCCCGTTTAACCTCGATGGTGACCTCGCTGACTTTTGCGCCCAGCCTGGTCCTTCGCTCGCCGATCAGAGTATTGATTTGCTTCTTCTCGTCTACCTCGAGGAGCTTGGCGATGGTCTCGTACGTCTCCGCGGGGCGGGTACGACCCTCCACGGCCGAATAGACGGGGCTGTCTGGGAGTGTGATGCCCAGTGCGTCGACGTACTGCTGAGTTGTCCCGTGAGCACGAGCAAAGGCGATGAAATCATCGACAGTCTTCTGACACTTGTAGGTCTGCTCAGAGTCCCGAAATATTTCGGCCAGGCGGACAGTGGCAGACTGGAAAGATGATAGCTTCTTTGAGCCCTGCCTTTCATACAGCTTGACGAGGCCCTGCCAGGCCTGAGCATCGCCGGGTTTCAGCCTCGTGGCCGCCTCGTACGTGGCCTCTGCCTCATCCAGCCTGTTGGTCTTGTCCAACGCGAGAGCCAGGAGAACGAGACTATATCGCTGTCAATGATTGAGGTAAGGATAGACGGCAGGGCAGACGATGTGGTATGGTCTTACGCTTGGTAGTTTTTAGGTTCCCGCTGAGTGAAGTCCCGAGCCTGCTGAAGGGCATCGTCGTATTTCTGCTGCTTGACAGCATCTGCGATGGCCTTCAGGGCCGCCTTGGAAGACGACATGGCCGGAAATTTGAAGAGGGTGTTGGTTGGAAGTCTCGCGGCGACGGTGGCAGTGACGGCGAAGTGGCAGGGGCAGAGTCGCAGTCGGGCTCGGTATCATTTTCTCCAGATCCAAACACGCCTGCGTCACGCTGTCGGGCTGCAAAGGGTGGTCAGAAAGGAAGTGTCAGACAAGCAAAACACATCAATGTCAACAAATGCTGCTTCTTTCTATCTGCTGGCAGGCCTACAGAAGTAGACGACGCGCTGCCGCAGAGGGGCCACGCACCGGCATGCTATTCGATGACGTGAGGCTGGGTGGTGTTAAAGCTTTACCAGCGTGCGGGACCTGCCCGCTACAACAGCCCGTCCAGGTACCTGGGTTTCGCAGGTACTCGAGTACTCCGTACCTAGGTACCTAGGCAGGTATTAGCACAACGGTGGGGCACACTACGCGTCCCCTGGACGCAAGCGCCAATCTATCTAATCTACCATCCATCTAATCGATAAAGAATAAATTTCCATGCCTGCGCCCGACTTGCTTCGAATCGCCTCGCCACGCCGAACGCGAACTTGTCTGCCTGTGTCCTGCCGATATCCTTTTGGCCTGTGTGGGCAACTGAGCACGAGTGGAGCGCCCGCCATCCCGCCACCCCGCCATCGAAATGGACACGAACCCGGCGAAACGAAGAAAAATAGACCATGGCGAGTCCCATGGGCATGTCGTGGATGGCAACGCCGCTCTGGACGCTGCCGCCCAGGCTGGCACCCCCCGACCGAGCACCTTTGCTCTGCAGACACAGGAACTCCTCCGCGAGGTCAGGCTGGACTACAACAAGACTTTCGCCGGTGCCGATGACCTCCTGCATCGCATCAAGTCCACCCTGGAGGCTACAAAGCCTCATGACCCTACTCCTGTGAGCTCCCTGCCCGTCAAGCCCTGATGCTCCGTGACTGACCATATCCCTCACCTTCAGATACATCAAGCCTCCAAGAGCCTCGAAACTACACACGGTCTGGTCGTGCCCTTTCCCGACCCCAAACCGCCCAGCGACTCGCACTACAAGGTCTCCTTCGCAGCCCCGGCCCAGTTCAATGTCGTCGGGAGCTACGTCTCCAAGACAATGGTCAAGTCGCAAAGTCGCCATGCAGTCGACATGATAGTCGAGATGCCCAATGAAATCTTCCAGGACAAGGACTATCTCGATCTCAGGTACTTTTACAAGAGGGCGTATTACCTGACCGTCCTGGCCGCCTCCATTCGAAGCGGGCTCGCTTCCTCGGTTTCGCTTGCTTATGAGCACTCCGATGGGAATCGCCTGCTTCCTGTTCTCAACCTGACCCCCAAGGAATCCTCCAGCAACTACAGCATACGCATCATACCGTGTGCCCCACAAGGCTGGTGCCCCACCAGGAAGCTGCTGCCTACAGCCTGCTGCATTCGATCTGCCACGGACGCTGGCGAGAGCCCGAGAACCCCAACGCCCCACTACAACTCAACGTTGAAGGCCGAGGGCTGCTATTCTTCTTATCTCAAGGTCCTCCGCCAGGCGGAGAAAGCCTGCCCGGCATTCAAGGATGCATGTATCCTTGGGCGTGTCTGGCTGCTCCAACGCGGCTTTGGGGGCTCGCTCTCCAGGGGCGGGTTCGGCCACTTTGAATGGGCCGTCCTGACCGCGCTTCTCTTGAAAAGTGGAGGTCGCAAGGGCGGGGCGGCCCTGTCTGCCTCGTTCAGTTCTACCCAGGTCTTCAAGGCCGTGGTGCAGTATCTCGCCGCCGTCGACCTCTGCCGAAAGCCTCCTGTCCTCGGGTCATCCAGTGACGGCTTGGACGCCTTGAACGAGCCTGGGCCGGTCATCCTCGACGCCGCGCGACAGCTCAACCTGGCTTACAAGATGAGTACTTGCTCTGCCTCCGCATTGAAGCAATACGCCAGGTGGACCCAAGCATCGCTGGCAGATCAAGATGCAGACCAGTTCAACCCAACCTTCATCATCAAGGCCGACCTGCCGCTTCACAGCTATGATGCTCTCGTCCAGATCAAGCAGCCAACAAACACGGATCCACACAACGTTGGCGAATTTGGAAGTGCCGCTGCCCAGTTTGGGGGGAAGGCTGCCAAAGTCCTGAGGAGGGCGCTCGGCGACAGGGTCCAGCTCATACATGTAAACAGTGCCAACGACTCAGACGAGGCTACCTGGGAGCCCACGTCCACGCATCCTTTGCGGCCTTCGACTTTGCTTGTGGGAGTGCTATTCAATGCAGCCAACATGGCTCGCCAGGTCGATCAAGGTCCATCGGTCGAAGATAAACAAGCGGCCAAGGACTTCCGGAAATTTTGGGGTCAAAAGGCTGAGTTAAGACGCTTCAAGGATGGTAGCATTCTGGAGAGCTTAATCTGGACGCAGGCTTCGCCGCTTGGTCTCTGGGAGGAGATTACCCGTTACGCCCTCAAATTGCACTTGAACATACAGGATGAGAGTCTTGATTTCTATGGGGCCGGGTTTCCAGCCATCATACCCATCAAATCATCAGATGCGCCCGCGTTCCAAGCTGCCAGGGAGGCCTTCGCCGGGTTTGAGGCAGACCTTCGTAATTTGAGCCACCTTCCCTTGCAAATCAGGCAGGTTGCCGCTGCAGCACCCGAATTGCGCTCCGCATCGGTGCGGCCCCCATCTTTCAGCAATCCCAAGGCTTCAACACTGCCAATGGACACCGTGGTCTACTTCGAGGCGTCGGGAAAGTGGCCTGATAACTTAGCCGCTATACAGCGCACAAAGGTTGCCTTTCTTCTCAAAATCGGCGAGCTCTTAAGTGAGTCGAAGTCCGGTGTGGTATGCCGCGTCGGGCTGGAGGAGGCAGGAACAGAAGTAGAGAACCTGGTGTTCTTGGACGTAACATACGAAGGCGGTGCCTCCTTCCGCCTCAGGATCCATAGTGATCTCGAGGAGAGCCTGCTGGAGAGACGAATCGCGGATAAAAGTCTTGATCAGCGCGTGCGTACCCAGGGCGCTCAGCTGCAGGCCTCCTTCAAGCGCCTTTACTCACACCTGCCCCGCCACACGCAGACGATGTCAATCCTCTGTACTCGCTTTCCTGCCTTGTCCCCTACGATCAGGTTGGTCAAACAATGGTTCAACTCCCACAAACTCTCGTGTCACTTCTTGGACGAACTGGTGGAGATGTTCGCTTTGCGGGTCTTCCTGGAGCCATACCCGTGGCAAGCCCCGTCAAGCGCGATGACAGGATTTCTGCGGACGCTGCAATTCCTGTCCAGGTGGGACTGGCGTATGGAGCCGCTGGTTCTCGATTCCACCGGGGAGCTGACAGGTTCTGAGCGATCCGCTGTTGCTACCAGGCTTGAGGCCTGGCGGAAGATCGACCCTGGCATGAGCCACACCACGTTGGTTGTAGCCACGTCCAATGAGACATCGGGCACCGCCTACACCATTCACAACGGACGTCCTATGCCGTCAAGAGTCGTTGCCACCCGTATGACCACGTTAGCCAGGGCAGCGTGCAAGCTTGTCAAGAACAAAGGGATCGAGTTGGATGCGAGATCACTCTTTCAACCCTCACTGAAGGAGTACGATGTCCTGATCCGCTTGAATGGCAAGGCGATGAAGAAAGCGACTGACCCCGACGATGTGAAACAATCCCAGTTTAAAAACTTGGACGGCCGGACCGGGCGGACAACACAGCCTGCGCTTTCGCATCCCGCCAGGACTCTTGTGGCACAACTCAACAACCTCTTTTCTGGGCCGCTTCTCTTCTTCCACGGGCCACCGGAAGACACAGTCGTGGCTGCAATTTGGAACCCTCAGATACAAAGGCGCAAATTCAGGGTTAATTTGCCCTGTTCATACCAGCCGGTTGCAATCGAGGAGAAGGAGCTCGGTGACGAGCACGTTGATGTCAACAAGGGAGCGATTCTTGCCGAAATCGCCAGGATAGGTGGCGAGCTCGTTGAAGAAATTGAGCAGGCGTAGCATTTGAGCATTTGTTGCTGTCACGGTATCAAAGAACCAGTTAGGCCACCCATCAGTTCGATATCAGGCACTCCCTATGGAAGCTTCACGGTTCCGCTTCAGAATCACCGGATGAGTATATCAAGCAAACATGTGTTGTGCACAAGAATACAAAGATGCGTCGTTAAAAGAGTGTATTGGTCAGGCCATAGCAATATGTTTGTCATCCCGCCCATCGGAAATAAGTACCTAAAAAGGGCCTCATCATACAGGACATTTTTCTTTAGTTGACTACATGTGTTTATGATGAGTATACCCGCATGGCCTGCTCAGTGCCGAAAGAGAAAGAATGACAGATAGGCGTAATGCCACTTCTCCAGTGACTGAAACTCGAAATCGGTACCCAGGGCTTACTGCGCGCTCTCGGCCTTCCTGACTTCGAAGATCTTTAGTGCTTCTTCGGCCGCCTTGACGCCACTCAGGGCCATGGCGCCGAACGTAGGTCCTGTTACGAGTCAGTCTTCTTGCCTCTGCCACGGGTCGAACACAAGACGGCTTACCCATCCGGTTGGCTCCATCAACTTCGGACAGCTCCATGCCACCCACGATGAGTCCTGGCACGATCTCCCTGGTGCGTTTGACAATAGCATCCTCCGCTGTCTGCATATCAAGGCCACGCATGCCGCCAAGTTGCTCGAGCTGCTTCATGCTCACAAGGCGCTTGACCGAGAAGGCGCCAAAGGGACCGTCGTGTCCAGTGGTGCTAATGATGAGCGGTGCGTTGATGGTGTTGGGGTCCATGCAGGACTGATCGTCATGGTGCATGGAGACCAGGGTCCAGTTGGTGACAACACCTGCAATGCGAACGTCCTCAGACCCGTCGACATGACGACGGGTAATGAGATCCTCAACAGTGGTGGCGTTGAATAGCTTGACGTTGGGGAATTGCAGCACCTTGGACAGGATGGTGGACGTGAAGAGAGCTGCGTGCTTAACGACGACAAAGTTGCCCTCGTCCTCAAATGGAACGCCAACCTCGGTCAGAAAGGCATCCTGTAACCCGGTTGACTGTCAGAACGGCCGCACCGCGCAGCAGACAGGAGCAGATGCCGCGGACATCGCGACGGGTGGAACTGGTAGAATTCTTGAAGAGTTCACTTACAGCTGGCTTGCGCATAACCATTGCCGAGAAAAGCTATTTTGGGGCTCTGGGTTAGCATCTACCAACTGGCCAACAGTGTGTCGAGCGAGGCCACTCGTCATACCACCAGAGGGTGGATCTAAGGGTTCTCAGAGTCATTGTTGGCAACCCACCTGACCGCCCAGCCAGGCACCCCCGCCGGGCGCCACGCCGGCTTCGATGATTGCAATTTTGAGGTCTGGGCGCAGCTTCCCGAGCGTGTAGGCGGCTGACAAGCCGCAGGAGCCGGCGCCGATGATGACAATGTCAGACTCGGCGTACGAGTCCAGGTCCGAGAAGTACCGGCTCGTCATGGCGCGAGACACTTGGCTCTCGCGAATCGGCGAGAAGGTGAAGGAGTCCCACTGGCCCATCATGCCTTCGATGGCCTTGGAGTCAACGCCAGCCTTGGCAACAGGCTTGATGATACCCTTGGCGGCCAGGCTGGCCGTCTCGGCGTCGGGCGCGGTCACAAGGGCAGAGGGAGCCATTATATGTCTGCGGTGACTTTGTTAGCATCGTCTGTTCTCGCACGAGCAGGGGAGGAAAACGCATGATCCTTTCGCTGGTATTATCCAAGATCAAGTTCCGAAGCCGTATAATCTCAGCCGCTCCGCCGACATGCCGAAATCACTTGAGTGCTGCTGCAGCAGGACTCTCGGACCTAGCACGGGCGGATTGGCACCGGCTCATGCGTGTTGACTTTACCTGGATACCGATCATCTTGGATGACCTGACCAATGAAAGACCTCATGGCTTAAGCTGAGGGGCGGTAGTACCGTGCAGTACGTATGCCTTGCTCAAGGTTAGTCACAGCTGTATTATCACGTCATATTCAGCTGGGTGAGATACTTTGCTATGTCTCGACTGGTTCTGAGAGGAAGCGGGCAGGGGGGGGGGGATCGCAGAGCTTGGGTAGGAAGATGAGGATGATTTTGCAAACAAACTTGGTTGAAGGTGAGGGGCCGCTGCTTAACCTTTTATAATTGTAATGACGACAGCACCGGACGGTCCTCGGCAAGAAGAATTGATAAGATATAGTTTAGTTACTCAAGCTTTTCATTAGACATGACGACACGATGCAGCTAATAAAGAGGGGAAAGGTAATATAGATAGTCGAGATAATCCCTAAGTATAATTATTACTTCTAATAAATTTTAACTAATTTTACTTCTATTAAAAAGTTATTAATTTATAACTTTATTAATTTATAATTAAATTAATTTTAATTTTAATTTTTTTTAAAAAAAAAATTAAAATTCTTTTAAAAATTATTAAAGTTTTTATAATTTACTTTTAATTAATTTTATAATTATTTTATATAATAATAGTTTTTAAAAAATTAAATTATAATTATTAATAAGAATTTATTTATTTATATATAAATTATTAAACTTATAAACTTATATAATAATATATATATAAACTATTTATATTTTTTAATTTTATTATTAAATTAATAATAAATAATTAAAGTTTTAAAAAATAAAATATAATATATCTTTTAAAGATTAATTTAGTTAAGTTTATTATATAAGATTTTTATAATAACTTTATAATTATTTATAATATTATTTATTATTAGAAGATACCTTTTTATATTAATATACTAAGCTATACCTAGTTTATTTAGGCTAGTGTATTAAAAGTTAAAGCTATTATAGATTATAGGCTACCTAGTTTTAATATTATTAAGTATTATATATAAGATCGCTATATAATTTAGGTAAATATAAGTTAGTTAAAATAAATAAAAATAAAGCTATTATTCCTTTAAAGGTTCTAACTTTATTTAAGTAAATATTTATTTATTAGCTCTATAAGTAAAACTATTTAAAAGTAGTTACTTAATTTATTATATAACCTATTAAACTAAAAGATAATCTTTAAATAAAGTAACTATATTTTATTATTTAAGTTTATAGTTCTAATAACTTTATTATAAATAGAAAAGAAATAACTATTAATAATTAAATTTATAACTATATAAAATAAATTTTATTTTTAAAAAAGTTATTAATATTTAAAATAATTAATATATTTTTAAAAAATTAAAGGATTATAAATTTAATTTAAAGTATATTAAAATCTATAAGAATCTTAAACTTAAAATTAAGGAATATAAAGTTTTAACTTTTTAAAAATATTAAAGTTAAAAGTTTTAAAAAACTTAAATAAAGTTAAATAAAGTTATAATAATATAATATAATTAAATAAAAATTAATTATAAAATTATAATTATAAATTTTTAACTTTATATTTAAAAGAATAATAATATATATAATATTTTTAAAAGTATATATAAATAAATTTTAATTTATTTATTAATTTAATTAATAAATTATTAAATTTAATATTAAAACTTTTTATTTATTTATTTATAATTTAATTTATTAATTTATTAATTAATTTAATATATTTTTAAAATTTAATTATTTATTTATTATTTTTATTATAATATAATTTTTATTTATATATATTTTAATTTATTAATTTTAAATAATAATAATAATAATAATAATAATAATAATAATAATAATAATAATAATAATAATAATAATAATAATAATAATAATAATAATAATAATAATAATAATAATAATAATAATAATAATAATAATAATAATAATAATAATAATAATAATACTAATAATAAATATAAAATTATTAAACCCTTTTAAATATAAAATTAAAAAACTTATAATTATAATTTTATAATTAGTTTTTTATTTAACTATTATTAGTTAGCTTAGCTTACATATAAGAAGTAGTTGGTTAAAATAGTGTAGATTGGTAATAGTTAGAAGGTCTATCTAGTTAGGCGGTAAAGCGCCTAGTTAGGTTAGCTAGACCTATTAACTAATAGTAGTCCGTGTATATATATAGGCCTACTAACCTTACAGTAACTAATCTACTATAGCCTACTATTCCTATACTAATAACTTTTTAGTCTTTTAAAATCAAGGTCTAATATCCCTTCCTTTTAGCTAATTAAAGAGCTCTATTTACTAATAAAATAGTTTCTAATTAAATTACTAAATTACTTAGAATTACTATTAAACATATAATTATAAATTAGTTAATTTAAGTAGTTTAAAAACACTCTAAATTAACGTTTTATAAATTACTTAAATCACTTAAATTTAAATTACTTTAATAGGTAAAATTAAGTTTAAATTATTAATTAATTACTTATTAGGTTGTTTATTAAGTAGTTACTAACTATTAATATCTAGTTAATTAGCTAGTAGTTGCTTAGTTAGCCCTTTTAGTAGTTTCTTCTTTTATAGTAAACTATTGCTTACTTTATTAGTCCTTTATCTTATATTTAATTGAGGGTCTCATCTTTAGCTTAGTTAGCTATATAGGTAGTTATAGTATCTCCTCCTTATTTAGGTAGGGCATTTAAATGAGGGTGAGTAGGGTGTTAAGTGGTAATTTATTTAGCTTAGTGTAAATACTATTTAAATAGAGGTTGTTATAAAGGTCCTTAAGAAGTTTTAACTTAATTTATTTAAGGTAGTTATTCTAGTATTTAAAGATCTTATAAAAATATTAAAAATAATTATTAGGGTTATTTTAAAATAAGTTACTAATAAGGTTACTAATAAACTATTAAACTTTATTATTATTAGACTTAATAGCTATATATTCCTTCTTATAAGTATTATTAATATACTTCTTTAACTTATTTTTTAACTTAAATATCTTTTTTTTATTAGGGTAATATAGGTAGATATACTATTAGTATATATTTATAATAGCTATAGATAATTTTATTTTTAGAGATTTAAGACTATAATAGCTATAATGTTAGAGTGTTTTATTAGTAGTTATAAGAAAGAGAGAGAAAGAGAGAGAAGTTAAGAGAGTGTTTACTTATTTAGTTAATTATTTAGGTGATATAAGGTAGGTAGATAGATAAATAGGTTATAAAAAAAGTTAAGTGAGTTATAAGACTTACCTAATAAAGGGGTTTTACTTAATAGTTAAATTTACGTTTAGGTAGTTTAGATAACTTACCTTTTAAAAAGGTTATAATAGTGATAGTAATATTACTAATTTATCTTTTTTAGACTATAATAGTAAAGTAGCCTTACTAATTTATTCTCTAAGAGGACTTAATATTTAAATAGTTTAAATAATTTATCTTACTATTAGAAGTTAGTTAGTAAAGTTAGTTAGTAACTAATTAATATTAGTTAGCTTAGTTTATATATAAGAAGTAGTTAGTTAAAGTAGTGTAGATTAATAATAGTTAAAAAGTCTGCCTAGCTAGGTGGTGAAGCGCTTAATTAGGTTAGCTAGACCTATTAACTAATAGTAGTTCATATATATATATAGACCTACTAGCCTTATAGTAGTTAATCTATTATAACCTACTATTTCTATAACTATATTATATTATTATAATTTTATTTAATTTTTAATTTTATTTAAATCTTTTTTTAAACTTTTTTAACTTTAATATTTTTAAAAAAGTTAAAACTTTATATTCTTTAATTTTAAGTTTAAAATTTTTATAAATTTTAATATACTTTAAATTAAACTTATAATCCTTTAGTTTCTTTAAAAATATATTAACTATTTTAAATATTAATAACTTCTTTTTAAAGTAGAAATCTATCTTTATATAGTTATAAACTTAATTATTAATAGCTATTTTCTTTTCTATTTATATAATATTTAAATAAAGCTATTAAAACTATAAACTTAAAATAGTAATAAAGTATAGTTACCTTATTTAATTATCTTTTAATTTAATAAATTATATAGTAGGCTAAGTAACTACTTTTAAGTAGTTTTACTTATAATATAGTAGAGCTAATAGTCTTTTAGGTTTGCTAGATAGGTGTTTACTTAAGTAGAGCTAGAACCCGTGTATATCTCTAGTTAGGGGAATGGTAGCTTTTATCTTTATTTATTTTAACTAACTTATATTTATATCTAAGTTATATAGTAATATTATATATAGTATTTAATAGTATTAAGATTAGCTTATAGTTTATAATAGCTTTAACTTTTAATAAATTAATTTATATTAAGGCTAATAGTACTAACTTAAACTAATTAAGTATAACTTAATATATTAATATAAGAAGGTATCTTTTAATAATAAATAGTATTATAAATATAATAAATTATAAAGTTATTATAAAAAATCTTATATAGTAAACTTAATTAAGTTAATTTTTAAAAGATATATTATATTTTATCCTTTTAAAACATTAACTATTTATTTTTAATTTAATAATAAAACTAAAAAAATATAAATAATCTATAAAATTATTAAAAAGTTTATATATAATTATTAAGTTAGAAAGTAAATAAATATTTATCTCTATATATAATATAGAAGAAAATATAGCTTTTAAATTTACTAAGAATAATAATACCTTTAGTAGTTATTAATTCTAGGTGTGGTGGTATCTTCCTAGTCATTGCAGGAGGCTTGACCTTGTGACGGCTTTTTGCATGGCAATGAGCCACCTGTGCGTCCACTGGTCTCCGGCGTGTTATGGAGTGTTGACCTCCTCGGCATGTGCCACACGCTCCTTTTCAATTACCCTAGTGGCCATGGCTTGTGTTTCTGCACAGATATACCCTTTGAACTTCCTAGACGCAACCTTTTCCTCGAACATTTCATGGATCTCTTCCAAAGTGCGACCCCTTGTCTCTGGTAGAAAGGAGTATATGAACAGAAACACGAGAGTGTTTGATGCAAACCAGATGTAGCTGTAAACCTACTTGTTAGGAGACCTCCTTAAGTATAGCGTCACAAGGGAGATGTCAAGAGACTGAGGTACACATACCCGTACTTTGCACTCCACCCTAGGCTAGCCGGGTTAATGAAGTATGGAGCAGTGAAAATTCCAACCCAGTTACCCAAGAAGTTCAAGGCCGTCGCGAGCCCGAAGGTATGAGCACGAAGGTGGTTGTTGGGATACTCCGCGCCGACCATCCACGCGTACGGACCTGGCAGCAGCATGAAAGGGTTAGCGGTCTCACATGTTGCGTTGAGAATTGCCCGGATAGACCTACCAAAGGCAGTGTAGAAGAAAGTAAACACCGCAATAAGACCAACCACGGCCTTGCCAGCGGTCTCGGTTCCCGGTGTCACCGTCCAAGCCACGGCAAAACCCAACTGCGTGAGTCCGCAGACAGCAACCCCAATCATGAAAATGGCTCGCCGGTCCACCTTGTCCGCCCAAAAAAAGCTGGACAGAATCCCTAGTAGCCCCGTGCAAGTTATCATGGTAGAAAATTCAAAAGACCGGTCTGACGCAATGCCAGCCGTTGTGAGGAAATACGTCGTGTATATTGTCAGGTAGGAGGACCCTATGCAGCAATTAGCCCACGTTGGGGCGTATGGTGAAACGGAGGAACAAGGCACCGAGACGCTGAGAGCACTTGGGGGACAGTTCGGATAGAACCCACCTGCTGCACAATGAAAGCACACCACCGCGATTGAGAGCATTGTCCTTCTCCGATTGCTCTTGTTCCATATCTCGAGCCAGAGATGCTTGTTCCTGTGTTTGCTATGTTCCACCTGCTGCCTTGTAGAAACTCGTATCTCGTTCAGCTCTGCCTGGAACGTCGCCTCTTCAATAGCATGGCCACGCAGTCTTCTCAGCGCTAATTCAGCGCTGTCTTCTCTGCCATGCGCCATGAGCCACCGCGGACTCTCTGGGAAGAATATCAACGAGATCGACTGGACTGTTGGTGCGATGAAGAAGAGGGCCAAAGGGATTCTGTAGGCGTTCTTGTCCTGCATGTTGTGTGTTCCATAGTCCACAGCCGCACCTACAACCGAACCCACGCTGAGCTGGGTCTGGTAGACAGCGAAGACGATGCCACGCAGGTGTGCAGGTGCTGCCTCGTTTATGTAGACCTGGCCAAAGGTAAGGAACCAGCCCACGGATATGCCTTTTCAACTCACATTTGTCAGAGGGACGTCAGTTGCGAGCAGGGTGTGGTTTCGTACCAAGCAAGAAACGGGCAAAGTAAAGCGGTCCCACGCTGGTAGTTCCCATCATGATTGCCGTCGAGATGGCATTCAGCGCCGAGGCTGTCCAGAGGCCGTTCTTACGCCCAAAACGCTGGCTGAAGGGACCGATGAGCAATGAACCTACAAAGGTACCAACGGTCATGAGAGACGATATAAGCTGCTGGACTGTGGTGTCAATGGCCCACTTCTGAGTCGTCTCATCGAAATACCCAAAGACTCGTAGGAAGCCCGGCATGGCCATAAACCCTCCGACAAGTGCGTAGTCTAGTCCATACTGGAAGCTCGAGACAGTGATGACCGCGCAAATCGCAAGGCACTTGCTGTGGCTCCGATAATCGAGCTTGAGCGGGTTGCTTGAGATGACTGCGCCGGTACCCATGGTGTATTATTGCACGCCGCGACTCTGATGAACCGGGAGAAATGCAACCTTGTGTCCCAAGAATAATCTTTGGATCCAGTGACCACGGCGACTGGAGATTGTATCCACAGAGCAAAGGGAGCGCAAAGGGTTCCACTGTCACAGAGAACACGATGGACCCGGCAAAAGGTATGCTTATTTCCCTTCTTGCTGGGCTTGCCATGCTGACCACTGCCGGTTGATAGGCGACACTGATCGACTGAATCGGATTCGTTCATAAAATTCCCCGCACACCCAGTGTCCTTGATCCCTGGAGTGGCACGATTTGATAGGGCCCTAGGGCTTTACGGGTTTTCATCCCATGTGCTTCGGCCTGACGAAATGGCAGATACCTACAGGTACCTCTGCCACACCCCATGCCCCTAGTTTGCGAGGCGGTGGAGGAGAGTATGTCATGTACCAAGGGGTATATAGCCCACCCTCCGCCTATAGCGGCGACTATTCAATACAATACAATATAATACACCTAGTATACTATATAGTGGCTAAATATAAATATAAAATTATCTATTATTACTAATTTTAAGTTAAAATAGTTAGAGGATGATGGAGGTAATAATATATTTGAAAGGTAGGGGTATTTAGGAACCTTATAATATAAAATATAAAGTATATTACTACCCCTACCTTGCCTTGTTAAACGGGTTGTTGGCCGGTCGTTTCGAGGACCCCCGCTCCCCAACTCGGCAATACCAGCACACAAGACTGAAGAGTGAATACTTCTACACGATGGATTCTTTACCACCTGCGAAGTTGCGGCGCGCGCCTTTGTCCAAGGGGCAATCGATTGATCATCTGGAATTTGTCGATGTAACTCCGATTATCGGCCGCGAGTATCCCGCCGCGAAGATCAGAGACATACTCACAGCAGAGAATGCCGAAGAGCAACTTCGAGACTTGGCCATCACAATCTGCGAGCGCGGGGTGGTCTTCTTCCGAGCACCCCAGGACGACCTGTCCATTGACGAACAGAAACGCGTCACTGACTTGCTCGGCAAGCTTACTGGGAGACCCGCCGAAAATGGCCTTCATGTCCATCCTTTGTACAACGATAAGAACAACGTACCCATGGCCGACGGAACCACGGACAAGAACATGTAAGTCTCCCTGTCCAAAGAGGCGGGATCAGTGAACTCTATCGACAGTGGATAACCATTCTCAAAATTCAAAGATATGTGATAAATTCAGAGGCTCAGAAGAAAATGTATGCGACCATGAAGAACCCTCCCGGACGCGTGCCCGGTGAGCCGTGGGACCTGGGACGTGAGTGGCACAGCGATAGTCTTTTCGAGACCTGTCCCTCCGACTTTTCGTTCCTCCGGATGCAGGTGACGCCGCCCGCCGGGGGTGACACGCTCTGGGTGTCCGGCTACGAGCTTTACGACCGTCTCTCGCCACCCTTCCAGCAATTCCTCGAGACCCTGACGGCCGAGTGTGCGCAGCCCGTCTTCAAGTCGGCGTGCGAGGCTGGCGGGTACGAGGTCATGTCGCCCCGTGGCTCACCCCTGAACGTAGACTTTGCATTCGAGCCCCACCATCCTGTGGTCCGCACGCATCCGGTGACAGGATGGAAGAGTGTCTTTGCCGGCGTGGGCCTGCATGTGTCCAAGATCGATGGGGTATGGCCATACGAGGACCAGATGATCAGGGACTACCTCATGAGGATAATCACGCGAAATCACGACTGTGTTGCCAGGATGCACTGGACTCAGGGTGCCTGTGCTATTTGGAGTAACGTTTGCACGCTACACGCGGCCACGGTAAGCTCTTGATGGGGAGATAATGCCATGGAGTCCTAGGTCACCTTGGATACTGACCTGTTTTTCTCAGCCAGACACACACCTCGCTGATGGGGTCAGGTTGGGCGTGCGAGCGACCGGTATTGGAGAGGTGCCCTATTTGGATGCTGCAAGCACAGGGCGCCGAGAGGCCCTGGCGATACCTCGCTTCTGAGCGATACTGGTAACTATATATGGGTTCACTTCTATTCCGTATGTAGTGTCGCTTCTATTCTATATACATCCAAGGATATATTAAACTAGAGCGTAATTAAGCTAGTTAAGCGCCCAACTACAGGCCTAAGGAAGCGCCTACATAGGGTAAAGGGAGATAGTAAAAATCTCTTAATTTAAATATACTTAAAAAAGAAATAAAAAAGGATTAAATTTCTCTAACTATTTAAATAAAAAGTAGATAAATATTTTTATATAAAATATTTATAAATATAAAAATTTTATTAATTTATATTTTTATTAATATATATATATTTAAATATATAAATAATAATATAAGTTTAAAATTTATATAAATAAAGATTATTAAAAAAGTATAAAATAATATTATAATATAAATGTAAAAATAAATAAAGTTAAGTTTTAAAATAAAATTAATATATTAAAAGTTTTATATATATTTATATTTTTCCTTTTAAATATAAAGTTAAAAATTTATAATTATACTTTTATAATTAGTTTTTATTTAATTATATTATATTATTATAATTTTATTTAATTTTTAATTTTATTTAAACCTTTTAAACCTTTTTAATATTTTTCTTTAAAAGAGTTAAATTTAAAAGAGTTTTTAAGTTTAAGTTTAAAATTTTATAAATTTTAATTTCTTTTAAATTAAACTTATAATTTTTAACTTTTAAAAATATATTCATTATTTTAAATATTAATAACTTCTTTTAAAGTAAAAATTTATTTTATATAATTATAAACTTAATTATTAATAATTATTTCTTTTTTATTTATAAACTATTAAAATTATAAATTTAAATATTATATAGAGTAATAAAGTATAATTACCTTATTTAATTATCTTTTAATTTAATAAATTATATAATAAATTAAGTAACTATTTTTAAATAGTTTTATTTATAATATAATAAAGCTAATAAATAAATATTTATTTAAATAAAGTTAAAATCTATATATATCCTTAATTAAAAAATAATAACTTTATTTTTATTTATTTTAATTAACTTAAAAGCTAAAATTATATAGTAATATTATATATAATACTTAATAATATTAAAATTAAATAATTTATAATTTATAATAATTTTAACTTTTAATATATTAATTTAAATAAATTAAGTATAACTTAATATATTAATATAAAAAAGTATTTTTAATAATAAATAATATTATAAATATAAATTATAAAGTTATTATAAAAGTTTTATATAATAAATTTAATTATATTAATTTTAAAAATATATTATATTTTATTTTTTAAAACTTTAATTATTTACTTTTAATTTAATAATAAAACTAAAAAATATAAATAATTTATATTTTTATTTTTATTTATTTTTATTTTATAAAGTTATTATAAAAAGTTCTATATAGTAAACTTAGTTAAATTAATTTTTAAAAGATATATTATATTTTATCCCTTTAAAACTCTAATTATTTACTTTTAATTTAATAATAAAACTAAAATAATATAAATAGTTTATAATCTATATATTTTTATTTTAATTATTTAAATTATATTTTATATTTTTAATTTTTTAATTTTTATATAAATTTATTTTTAAAATTAATATTATAATTTATTTATTAATAAATATTATATTTTTATTTTAATTATAAATAAAATTAAAATATTTAAATAAAGAAAATATTTATAATTTTATAATTAAAATAAATAAATAATAAAATAATTAAATTAATAATAAATTAATATTAATTATAATAATAAAATAGTATTAATTAATATAAAATTATAAAATTATATAAGTTTATTATTATTATTATTATTATTATTATTATTATTATTATTATTATTATTATTATTATTATTATTATTATTATTATTATTATTATTATTATTATTATTATTATATTATTATTATTATTATTATTATTATTATTATTATTATTATTATTATTATTATTATTATTATTATTATTATTATTATTATTAATAAAAATATTTTTATATTTTAAAAGTATATAATAAGTTTTTATTTTTATATAAAGTTTTTATAAAAGTTATTTAATTTAAAAATATTTATATATATATAAATAATATTTAAAACTATTAATCTTTTATTTTTATTATAAAAATTTATATAAATATAATTAATAATAAAGTTAAAAATTTAATTTAAAATAAAAAAGATTAATAAATTTAATATTTATATAAATTAAAGTATTAATATTTTAAACTTTTAATAAAATTAAGGTTATTAATTAATTATAAAATAATATATAATTAAAATTAAAATTAAATACTTTTATAATTAAATAAATTAATTTTATTTTTAATAAAAGTTTAAAAATAAGTAAGTTAAATTAAGGAATTAATTTATAATTAAATTTAAAAATAGTTTTTATTTTAAAAGTATTTTTATAATATTTATTTTATTTAAATATTTATAGTCTTTTAAGTTAATAAAATTAATAACTTTTACTATTAAGTTTTATTTAAATAATTATAATAATTATATTTTTATTATATTTTTTTAATTTTTATATTTTAAATAAAGTTTATTATAAATAAAAGGTTTTTATATAATTTATATATTTATAAAAGCTTTAAATAAAATAACTTTTAATTTTTAAAAAATAAATATAAATTAAATAAAAGCTTTTTATTTATAATAAACTTTATTTAAAATATAAAAATAAAATAATATATAAACTATTATTAAATATTTTTAAGGATTATATAATATTTAATAAGTATATTATATTATAAATAAATACTTTATAATTTTTTTATTTAAATATATATAAATAAAATTATTTAATTATATATAATAGTTTTTAAAAGGTTTTTATAGTTTTATAATTTAAATTAATTAAAATTTCTTTTTAAGTTTATAATTAATTTAATAAAGTATATAATATTTATTAATAATTATATAAGTTATAAAAGTAATTAATTATTTATTATTTAAATTAAATATTATATTTTTAATTATTATATTATTTTTATTAATAGATTTAATTATAATATTAATAATATAAGTTATATTTATAAATATTAATTAAAAATATATTTTAATTTAAATATAAATATTATTTAGTTTTTAATTATTTAAAATAAATCCTTTAACTTATAAAGAAATATAAAATATTTTATTCAATAGATATTATAAATTTTATTTTTATATTTATTTTTATTAATAAATTAAAAGTAATTAATAATAGATTTTATTTAAGGTTTTAAAATTATATTTATATAAAAAAGAAAATATTTTTAATTAGTTTAATTAAATATAGAATTTTATTAAATTAATTATATAATATTTAACTTTTAAAAATTATATTATTATTTAAATAAATATAAAATATATAAGTTATTCTATTTTACTTTTAAAGGTATTATATTAAAATATATAGTTTTAAAAAGTTAAAAAGTATATTTAATAATAATATATTAAATAATAAAATAAATAAATTTAAATAGAAAAAAGGTTTATATATAAAAGGAAGTTTATAACTTTAGGGAATATTATATAGTTAATTAAAAAAGAAGGGAAAGAAGAGGAGTATTATAAAGGTTATTAAGTGTAAGAATAAGCTTATAAGTCTCTCCACTCTAAACCTAGTGAAGATTTTTGTTTCTTATAGGTTATGAGCCCGGTTATTTATAACAACTTATATACTATCGACTTATATTTAATTTATACAACTATTTCAACTAATTAAATCAACTTTTACACTACTTAATATTAAATCTTAATCTTTTAACTATATAACACTAATTAAGCGTTATTAACCAATTTTCTTAATAAATTATATTATTTTTTAACTATATATAAATTAATAAATATATATTTATATATATAAACTTATATATATATTTATATATTTATTATATATTATACTTAAATTTATATATTACTTATAAATTTAAATTACCTAAACTTATTTAATTTAACTTTTAAAGTTATACTTTTAATATATATATATAAATAACTTATATATATATTAAAAATAACTAGTCTTAATAAGGTTATAATTTCTAAGCTAAAAGGGACTAAGAATTATGTAATCTAGTCTTTTAGGGCTGAAGCTTATCTTATTAAAAAAGGGTATTTTTTAACTATTAATAATAATAAAGAAGAAATAGCTAACTACCTATTTAATAATAAAGTGCTAGTAGTAATTAAATTACTATATAAAGACGAACCTTTATTACAATTAAGGGGTATAAATAGCGCTAAATAGGCCTAAGAGAAGCTAGAATCCTTATATAACCCTAAAGGGTTTATTATAGATTATTTAATTCTCTAAGAGTTTTTTAATATTAATCCCTTAAAATTTAATAATAATATTAAGGGGTATTTAAATAAAATTAAAGAACTTATTAATAACCTAAATACTAAAAAGATAAAATTACCCAATAAAGTAATTATTAGTTGGGTTTTATTTAATTTAAGTGATAATTATAAAAATTTTATCTTTAAGGTTATTTAGGTTTTAAGGAATAACCTAAGGTTTATACTCTTAAATTACTATTTTTAGCTATTATTAATAAATATAGGGGTAAAGAGAGTAATAATAAGGTTTATTATATTAAAGGGTTATTTTAAAATAATAAAAATAAGGTTAAGGGTTTTAAAACTAATAATAATAGTTTTAAAATTAATAAAAAGCCTTATAAAAAGATTAAAGGTATTTATTATATATACTATAAGATTAATAATTATATAATTAATAAGTATTAGTTTTTATATTCTTTTAAGGCCTTTAATAACTAGAAATTACCTAATAACCCTAATTATTCATTTAATAAAATAATAGAGATAATAAAGCTTTAAAAAATATATTAAAACTAAAAGGCTTTATTAACTAATTTTAATAATAAAAATAATAATATCTTTAATATTAATTTTAATTTAATAGAATTAAATAATAATAATAATTTAAATAAAAATAACTTTAATATAGAGAATAAAAATAAATAATAACCCTTTATATAATAATAAT